AAGTGCCCGAGGAAGACCATTCCGAGTAATTTCAATCATTTTTGTCAGTGTTGGTTGAATCATGTTGAAATTTGTTGTGCAGATGTGTTTTTGTGGGACGTTCGCTTGTCTGGGACGTTCGCTTATCATGTACGTTAGCTCGAGAGCAAATTTATCCTGGCTGGTGTTGAACTGAGTGGGTTCCTTGGCACCAAGATTCACGGACTGAGCACTGATGTTCAATGCGAGACTCTCAGTCAGCACAGATCCATCACAATGACACAGTTCCTGACATAGCGTCATATCATGGCACAATGTCTCTATATAAGGGGGTAATTCCCCTGGGAGGATTAGAGAGGACAATTTTCTGTTCAAACAAGAAAGGGACATTCTGAGACACCCTAACCCACTATCTTGATCCTTCATTTGTGTGGTCACTCTGGAATCGTGACTCCAATTCAAGCCTCATTTTCATACCTCAATCTGTTCAATACCATTTGGTTGATCTAAGCTTACTTGAGCATGTAACTGTTGGCTGCCCAACAGCAGGTGTGCGCTGCTAGAAGGTTCGACACTGTGGGTCAAGTGGGAATAGCTTCATTCAGGGAGTTTAGTAGACCATGCTTGTACGCGAGCTGGCCGAGGGTCACCGAGGCCCATCACGGGCCCAGCTCATTACAGGCCGAGCAGCTAGACTCAACTTGTGACGAATCTCAAAGCCCCAACTTCTGAAAGGGACTCCTGAAGGTTATACTTGACAACGGGGTGAGGTTCGGTGAAGCCAAAGGGTTCACAACAAGCAATGTCCAAGGGTACTGACAATCTTGCACTTGAGTTGCTTACTGGAGAACTCCCAGAGTCCTCCAGAACGAGTGACTATATACTAGATGCATTTGGTTGCTCTCTCGTGCTCTCTAGAGCCACCTAGAGCCAATGCTCTATGGTGCTCTCGAGAGCCTCTTAGAGCGTCCTCTGATTGGCCTTGCACTGGTGCTCTCTCATGCTCCTGAGAGCTCTCTGGAGCACCTCTAGGACTCGTTCCGATTGGTCCTAAGTGATTGGCTCGAAACGTCCTACGTTCCCCACTGGCTTCTGCAAGTAAGCCGCCGTTGTTGACTCTCGTTGGTTCATTTGTGACACGACTCCGCTAGTGTATTTGCATTTATAGCCGTAGTGATAGGTACCTTAGGTGCCTAGAGTACAGTTATACAAGTATGGTCGCTAAAGTCTTTCGAGAGCTTATATAGCATAAGCTTATCATTGTTAATAGCTTTATAGCTACTATCATAGTACGATTTACACTAAGATTTATACCTAGTACTTTTGACAACTATCTCGAAAAATAATCATTAGAGCTAAGAGCTAGTTAAACTAGGTAAACTGACTTCTTATATACCTAGGAGGGCTGTTTTCTGGTTTGAAAGCTAGCTTGGTATATCTTTTAGCTTATAGGTTAGTAGTATAATAGGGGCATTATACCAGGTTATAGCTCACTAGAGTTCTTCACGGTCGTCTAAACTAGTATGTTTCTTTAGAGCTACGTACTACTAGTCGATAGTTCTATCAGCCCTGCAGGTAGTTTTATAGGATTGAGTAGCTACCATTAGCGAACCTACGCCAACAGCCACGAAGTTACCGCACCGTAATAATTGGGCACCAAAAAATGGACACCCACTCAATGTCACGGCCCCCACCATGAGCCCTACACTTGGACAATTGGCGGGCGAGACACTGTGGATTTCATGGCGCAGCGACATGACTCGCAGCAGAGAGAGGATGTCTGGAGAGCGGGAGACTCAGATTGGAACTTGGAACTTCCCTCTCTCAAGGATCAGTCAGTTGGTTAGTGGTGCACGCACAATACAGTCGTCTTGCCTGCTGCCTGTTGAGGATTCGGTGCATCTTCCTTGGTGAGCTTGTGTGTGTCACTTTACACTCAACTTGATGATGAAGCCCGTCTCTTATGTTCTTCCAAACAATTGCTTGCCTCTTCCTGATCCTGAGAATCCTGGTGCCAAGCCATTAGTCACCTCTGAACTGCCCTCCCTGACCACCTGCCAAACCAACAAAACATATTACTTCATCATTTGATGCCTAGGCTAAGATGTGGCTCTCTGTAGCGGCAAGATCAAGATGGCCTATCTACATGTAGAGGCTCCAGAGCGTTGAGCCCCAGATCCACAGTGAGGGTCTAGACCTCCTTGTCTGGTAAGGCTGACAGCCACACTCTCATGACCCTGCCCAATCAGCGGGCATCCATTGAACGTTCATCAGCCACTGCCGTCTTGGCGGCCGGACCCAATGCCCCTCTCCGCCTTCCCCGAAACAAAAAAGTGGCATGATTCTGCGGCAAATGGGCCCAACATCACGGTCGCTGCGTCAGAGCAACAGGTCCCGATTGGTCTCTGCGACCACCTGTCAAGCGAGTAATTCTCTGCGAGAACTTCTCAAGATGGAAAGTCAGACCATTTGGACATCAGGACGGCAGCTAGCCTATCGATAAGTATCTGTAACCGTACCGGTCCCGTCGGTCTTCGGTTTCTCTGATGGGTCCTGTTCCCGCTGCTCCCTCGGGAGCAATTCCTACAATCCCGGGCACAGGCGAGGAGGTCGTGCCCTCACAACCCGGCAGCGACCTTCCTGTTTACCTATTGCATTGGATAGCATTGACAGCGTTGTTTGATCATACTCGGACTGCCGATTGGAGTTCTCGCTTGTTGGTATGTACTGGATGTCCTCAGTTCTTCCCGACTCTCGTTACCTCACGTTGGCGTGGACGCCCTTACCCCGAGTTGCAGGTTGCCAGGGTGTTCATGCGTATCCATCCTGAGCTGTCTTCGACCCTCCCAACACCAGACTGCCTCTGTGTTCTGTACCCTATTATCGTATGACTGTTCAACATCCTCCTGACACTCTGACGCTTTCCCCCCGCGTACGAAGTCACTGGCCAAGAAACTGCACCTTACCTACTCACCTACTCCCAAAATTCACCTTCATTGCAAGTTCCTGGAACGGTGTGTTGGAACGGCGGTGTTTGTACACGCCCGCACCGTTCTACGATCACAATCATATCTCGCCATCCGCCACTTTCTCCGTCAAGCCTTCCCTGGGGGCCAGTCTCACTCGCCCTTGAGCCGCACAACAAGCGTTGTAGAGTCACGGCGTATCCGCGCTTGTTCAGCTCACTGCCTGTCTGGGGTCTGGCAGTTCTGGTCATTGACTCCTCTCAGCCGCTCGCAGACCAATGTGCTCTGTCCCCGCCCAAAACTCAACAAGACCGACATCTCGCCGCCTCAATCGATTCCTGATCCTTGTCGTGGACGTCACACGTCTTGCTTCAAGTTGACGGATCTGGACCGAAGTACCTGAACGACACTTCCAGAACAATACACGCGGGATCCCCTTGCGGACTAAGCTCGAACACTCTTCTTGTCTCCCTTCCCCGCCCAAGCTTGGCACTACTTGCCCACCATCACGGGTGTTTTCGCCTTGACGCAATTTGAGGCTTCGCAGCCTGAATGTCAGGCGAAGAGCTATACTAGCTTTTAGTCCCGAGCGTTGATTGGGTTGGAAGCTCGCCTTCAAGGTCCTGAACCGGTACTCTGCTCATCAAGCCCTCACGCGCCAGTGTGAAGGTGATGATGGATTCAGACCCACTTAGACACCTCGAGTTCTTCTCGATACCAAACAACCAAGTATGACAGGTCTCGGTCACCCTGTTGTTCTCTTGCTCACACCGTCCAGACGGTCAACACAGCACAACCCCCTTCAATATGGGATTCAAGGGGACCGGGCGTAGACGCCGGCTTCGCCGTCTCGCCGTCGACGGCCCCCACAACTCTTTCACTCGATTCCGTCACCCAACCGTCTCCCCTCACAGGACTCACGAGCATGTCTCCGGACCTTTCGTCGACATCAAGACTGCCGCTACAAGGGACCCAGTCGAGGCGAGTACTACCCGCCCGGGGTCCACGGACGAGAGAGAAACATGAGCGGAAGCGGTCCAGGCTCAGTATGGATGCCACAACCCCGCTGGACTCGGTCGACTACTGGCTTAACTTCGACAAGGAAGATAGCCTTGCTAGCATACCCGAAGCGCCTGAGCCTTCGAAGACGACCATGGACGAAAATGGCAAAGGTTCCACGACGAGCCGGTGAGTGAAGTCGCCGTCAGGAGATACAATTGGCAGCCTCCTTGTCCTGTCCGGAAAGGCCGGCCCGTGCTGACTGAGTTGAAGGCGTACAAATGCTGCTCATCCACCTTCAATGACGAAGCCTGATGAATTCACCGACGACAGCGCGCTTGACAACGCGCTATCAGACGATGACGACTTCTCGTCCTTCAACCTTGCGGACCAGCTCTCCAAAATTGAAACGGCTCCGCCTCTGGAAGTGCCACCACGCGAAGGCCTCTACTCGACACCGCTGAGCTGGGAGCGGCCACAGCCGGGCTTGCGCATGGATTCCCTGATCGGTCTCCACAGCACCTATTTGAACGAGGCCGAACAAAGGCGGTTGATTGCCATTGCCATGAACCCGGGGCCTAGCATGGGAGGACTGGGGTTCAACATCAACCTCAGTTTTGGCGGGATGACGCCCGACATGCCCATGACCTTCGGAACGGGTTTGGAAAGCACAGGCACAGGTCGGGAGCCCAAACCAGTCTCGCCGCCTCAGCCCGCCGCAACGCCAACCCGCCCCGCACCCTCAAACGCGCCGAAGGAGGGGGACTCGAGCGAGAAGGGCAAGGAGAAGCCGAAAACAGGCGACAGGACGGCGCACAACGATATCGAACGGAAGTACCGGACGAATCTAAAGGACAAAATCGCGGAGCTGAAGAATGCGGTCCCTGCGTTGCGGCCATTGCCGGAGACTGGTGGCGAAGAGGATGCGGCCCAGAACTCGAGAACAGCCAAGGTTAGCAAGGTAAAAAGCACTGCAGCCACAGTCCCATAGCTGAAAGGTGGGAGTTCGTCATTGACGGGACTCTAGGGGACCGTCCTCACGAAAGCAACCGAGTATATACACTTCCTTGAGCGGCGCAACAAGCAGATCGTACAAGAGCATAGGGAACTGTCGCGGCGACTGCAAGCTTTCGAACAGCTACTCAACGCGACAGCCCGGCAGTCGTACGCCATGCCGACCTACAGCAGAACGCTATTCGATCCTAGAGGGTTCTGCTAGCTCCTCACCGTATCTCTCCCCCGCCGACTCATACTTTCCATGTGCAGACCTTGTCAATTTCCTTCTTACTTACTCTCACCTGGGTCGTCAGTACAATGTAACATGGTTTGGAACTAAAAATGGGTGGAAAATTTGACTCGGGCAGCACTCAGCGGCGCGAAGCTGTCCCGGCATCATCAATCGCGGAATCGGGGTGGATCTACAAATGGGAGAAGGAAAATGGCGAAATTGGTTTTCCGCCGCCACGGTCTGCTCAAGATGTTTCAGAATGTTGTGATATCCAGCGACGGGTTTTCAGCTTTCTGCTTCGTCGGTCATGGTTGCAGGCGAAGATGGAATGGATGTCGGGGCAACCTTCTCGACGTCGTGAAGCATAGAAGGGCAACTCAACTCACATCTCCACGACTTACCTGCGAGTCTTGATTGGCTTTTGAACGAGGAAGAGGTTAAACATATTCTACATGTTGCTCGAGGTGGTCGGAATCAAGATACCCATCAATACATCCCCTTGATACTCGTGCACATTCGTTTATCAAACACGACTTTACACTGTGATGTACAAGCCATTGCTACCTCAGCGCTTCGATATCCTCCACCTCCTTAACAGCCTCGGGCGTCAGCAGGACTGGCCCCTCCTCATCCACGCACACACTATCCTCAATCCGCACCGCCAGCCCCCTAAAATGCCTTGGGAACCTCTCATCGTCCGGCACATACACGCCGGGCTCGATCGTCACGCAGTGGCCCGCCCGCAGCGGCACCGACCGCGGATACCCGGGAACGTCATGCACGTCCAGCCCGACATAGTGCCCGACATGATGCGGAAACAACACGCCCATCATGTCCCCGGCCCTTGTCATCATCCCGCCGCCAAACTCAAACCCCAGCTTGTTCAACTCCTCCTGCAGCGCCGCCTCGGTCGCCCGGTGAATCTCGTCCAACGACAGCCCGCTGTCCGCCCTACACAACCCGACACTCGTCCTCTGCACCCTAAGCACTGCACTGTACAGATCCCGCTGCGGCGCACTAAACTTGCCGCTCACGGGCCACACCCGGGTAATATCGGTGATGTACCACCCGTACTCGCCGCCGGCGTCGACCAGCACCGTCTCCCCCTCCTTCAGCAGCGCCAGATTCTGCGTGTAGTGGATCATGCGCCCGCGGCGGCCGCCCGCGACGACGGGGACGTAGGCCTCGCCCGACAGGCCATCGTGCTTGAAGGCGTGCGAGAGGTACGCATGTAGGTCCTTTTCTGACTGCCAGGGGCGGCGCATGGCCTGAGTCAACGCACGCCCTGAGACGCGGCCTGCGTGGCGCATGAGGGCGATCTCGGCCGGGGATTTGATGGCGCGGAGGTGGTTGATGAGCGGGGTGAGGGGTGCTGTGGAAAGGGTGGTGGGGAGGGATTGGAGGATTGAGGTGAGGGAAGACGAAGAAGGCGTGGCAGGGGGGTGCATAGGGATGTCGGTGTAGATGCGGGCGGCGGAGCGGAGAAGGGGCGGGAGGAGGGAGGAGAGGGTATGGATGTCGCCTGCTTCGTCCGCGTTGAAGACGTCCTCGGCGGCGCGCAGGCCGCTCCAGGGGCCGGACCACTGCTCGGCAAAGGCGTCTTTGGGGCGGCAGAAGAGGTGGAAGGTGTAGTCGCCTAGATACGGACCGGTCTTGCGGATGACGGCGAGGGACTTTGGCTCGGAGAAACCGGTCAGGTAGAGGAAGTTGGAGTCCTGGCGGAAGGGGTGGAAGACGGCGCCGGAGCGGTACTTGACCTCGGCTGAGGAGAGCACGGCCACGGCGCCGTCGGGCAGGCTGAAGGCCAGTTTGGCGCGGCGGTCGGCATATTCCTGGGCGGTGATACCGGGTGTTACTGGGGAGTCGATATTAGTTTTTAGTCTTCATTCCTTGAGGTTTGGGAGGTTGAGGTAATACACCTTCGCCGGGCTTGAGAATGTGCGGATGAGTTTCATAGACTGGTTGGCCGAAGTCAAGCTCAGCTGCGGAGATTGAAGTCGTGTAACTGCGCTTCCATGTCCTCCCAGGCAAAAGCCTTATGAAAGACTGAGGGGGCCTGTGTATTTGCCGCAAAGCGACCCTTACAGCTCTCATCTCGTGGTTGTAGTTGGATTGATAAAGAACCAGGGACTCAAGTGAGAAGAGCATGAGTGAGAGTTTGCACAGCTCCCATTATCGTCCAATCCCAGTCCGGCTTGATGGACCGGCTTCACGAAACTCTCCCATAATGTGTGGTATTCACCCGACAATGTGATCAAGAGTCTCAAAATACAGATACTGTGTATGTGTCTTTTCCATTTCTTTGATCTGGGATATTGAGACCAGAATTGATCTTAACATCCACTTCCAAGTTGTTTGTTGCTTTCACTTCGGTCACGGGGCAACTTGGGCTGCAGGGCAAGCAAACTGCCAGTCTTGGGCAGTGCTGACAACTGGCAGCACTCGCCAATTTGGGCCGTTGCTGTGAGCGACAGAATAATCAGCTGGCAGGCGCGACTGTGGGGCCAGCGTTTGTTGTGCTGCCCTCCAAGCAGGTTTAGTTCGTGGGAGCTCGGGCCTCTTGTACCGTTCTGGAGATTGCACGACCCACAGCCAAAGCCGGCCTTTCCTGTTCCTGGACTGCCCTGCCTGGGACCTGTGGTTTGGAACCGAGGAGTATCGATCAACGACAACAAGCACCGTCTTGCCCAACTCCCGCCCGTGGACCAAGGACCCCGACGACTGCTTGTCATGAGCCATTGACCATCTGTCCCTTCGCACCAACCTCTCCCTGCCGTTTTCCGTTCGTGCTTGTGCGGCGGAGCATCATTCTGCAAGGGACGCGTTTCTGCTGTGCTGGGCTCGCGTGAGCTTTTGGTCCCGGGCGCTGCTGCACGCCCCTCACAGGTCGAACCAGAGTCACCCTCGCGTCAGTCCAAGCACTGCAGAGTGGCCCGCACCACTACAGCCCTCCAGAAAGCAAATAGGCTGGAGCATGACGAACTGGTCATCTGTATGACGACAGTATTTCTACTTCCGCACCACATCTCTCTGCCATGTCGACTAGGAGAGTCCCGCTTTCCACCAGCCATCCCAATGTCACCAATTCCCCTCTACGAGCCGCTTCGGCTGCTCATAACGGCGCTAAGAAGGGCATGCGGGAAGAACCATATGGTCAGCCTCCGCCACCTAAACGACAGATGATCGACCGTGGAGTGCCATCGCCGTCCCGAACCAAGACGACAGCCCGGACCATCGTCCACAGGTCAGCTTCGCGCCCGACGGGAGCTACCACCATATCACACAAGACCACCGACAACAAGCCAACCGACGAGGAGCTGGCCAACGAGCTGGCAAATCTGCGGGCATGGCATGCCCAAATCTGTTCCCGCTTCCCAAAGATGGTGTTCTACTTCGAGAGCGTCCCCGATGACCAACGGTCCAAGCTTGCGAAACACGTTGGCCGTCTGGGTGCTGTGAGTCGTCTCCATGCAGTTATGGTCTTGTATTGATTTCCAGGCTTACTGTTCACCCCGGGCAGCGCGAAGAGAAGTTTTTCTCCATCGACATCACTCACGTCGTGACCACCAGAGCGATCCCTCGAGAGAAGCCGAAGCATGACCACCACGAAGGCGCTGAGGCGCAGGCCGACGGAGAGCAACCAAAGACCATTGATCCTTCCCTCCTCGACCGGACTGCGGACCCCACAAGGAGGAAACTGCTTTTCGACGCAGCCTCGAACAGGAAGCCTCCGTCCAAGACACGCAGCACAGATGTCCTGGACCGCGCTCGCGATATGGGCAAGAAGATATGGTCACTGGAGAAGCTGATCAAAATTCTAGAAATTGCGTTGGACCCAGACCGGTATATTAGCGCCGCGCTGGGACTCGAACGTGGCACTACGCAGAGCACCAGCAAGGCAGCAAACGAGCAAAATAACATAGCCCAGCTCCTCGAACATGAGCGTGTTCATGGCCCGTCGGATCGCGACCCAACAGTTTCAACCAAGGATCTGCACATGTTCCGAGGACCATACATCTATGTCTATGATGTTCAGGAGAGAACCAAGCCGATCATGGTCAGGGAATACGTGAAGGTCGATGATCCAAAGAACGGGGATTGGCCTCAGTTTCGTATTTCGTCACGCGGTCGGTGCCCCTTCGTTATTGACGAGAACTATGACGCGGCCGAAAAAGAAAACCGGGAGCGGGACCGGGCCTTGGCTAAGGCTCGGTCTGCTAAGGCTGCCGTCGGGGAGGCTGCCCCACCGGCAGCCCCGAGACCGAGGACGGCAGAGGTTATACTGAAGCCTGCTACAGGCAAACGCACCTTGACGCAGATGGAAGATGGCCATAACCGTGGGATGGCGCCCGTCCGGGCAACTCAATCCTTCGACCGGTCGAGAGTCTCGAACCCGCCATCGATCGAGTTTCAAAACGCCTTTATTAGTCACTCAAAGGCCGGTCGTCTCCTGGCCGGTGAGCCTGTGGCGTCTGGTCTTCAGCCGTCCAACGTCACGTCAGCAATCCGGTCCCAGATGATATCATCGACTACTGGTGGCGTGCTGGGAGCAAAGGCGGGGACGAGCAAAGAGATTCACGGGCTTCAGCGGAAGGTTGTCCTGCAAAAGGCCAGCACGCCGGCCGTGTCGCAAGATCTCAGTTCTCGCCGTTTGGCCGACATGAGTCATGATAGCAACACGTTCGTCCGCTCAGCCAGTGTCAGCATGGTGGCGCAGCGGAAGCTCGATATTCTAGAGGAGGAGGAGACATTGCGACAGAGGGAGAAGCTGCGGCGGACCGCCAGCGTCCCAGTTGCCCAGCCAAAGACCAAGCGTGATCCAAAGCCGGGGTACTGCGAGAACTGCCAGGACAAGTTTGCCGACTTTGAGGAGGTCCGTATCTTTTCAGTTTGCTGGTTTCGTAGCATTTTGCTAACCTCGCCTGAAGCACATTGTATCCCGCAAACACCGCAAATTCGCGGAAAATGACGACAACTGGACACAGCTCGATGCCCTCCTGGCACAGCTCAAGCGCGCACCTCGGTATTGAACGGGCTGTTCCCGTCATGACATGTGTCCGTCACCACGTTTTACGCGCCTCAGCACCGCTCCCTCCGGACTCTTCATTGCTTCTTCGTTGGCTCCAATTGGCTGGCTCTCCTGTACACCTCAGGGCCTTTCTTCCGTTCCCCTCCCTATCTTTGCTGCCACGATCGACCCAAACATCAGGAGCATTCGCATTGCATATCCGGCAACTAACACTGAACGTGCCGGCGCATCTCGATCAAGCGAGTACATATTTTGTCGCATTTTTCGGCGTGGCCGTTGTGGACCTTGAACGGCGGGAGTTGGGTTAGGTGTTCTGTGTCCTTTTGTTGTTGTGTTGTCATCATCTTTTACTTCCAGTTGCTGGTGTCATGGCAACCGGGACAGGAACGGGGCAGCTCAGCTTGGTCTGGCGGAGAGCAGCGGACGGGCCGTGTCGGGCGTGGGACCAAGGGCTGAAGGCAGCATGGCGGAGATGGGCGGCTTATGTTATATATGGGCTAGTTGGCTGTTTAAAGGTTCGACCTGGGCCTTAATGGGGAACGAAACCTGTTCGGAATATTGCACCTGCTGGATGGGCGGACTGACTCCGATGGCGGGTTGCCATCTGTCCTGCCCAGCGGTGGTTCGGATAGCACGATGGTCCGTGGCTGGCGTACCACAGACTATATTAGGCTTCGTGCATGTGTATAGTGTATGTTAGGATCATGGGGTTGTTTACATGAGGTTCCCTTGTCTCAGCGCTGCGGCCGGCTACTTCGCTGCGTGCCTGCTGTTGCTACAGTCCTGGAACCTGAGCTCTGGCTTCCGCGGTCCCTTCTCGGATGGCCGCTTCCTGACAGTCGCAAGGCACCTGCCTCGACGCTTTGCAACGCTTGCACGAGGTTACGGCAGGTGCCATGGCCTCTCTCGCGCCGCCATCCTCTTATCCCTCCCGCACCTTTCACGTGGCTCCCGCTCGTACGCTAGGCTCTTCCCCCTTTGGCATCCCATGGATATTGTATTCATCCTGACAACAGCAGCGCAAAATCTTATTCGTCACGTCACTTACAGCAACCGAGCATCGGCAAGCATGGCGTTTCCGGGCGGCTCCAAGGCTGAAGACAAGATAATCACGCCGTTCAAGCGCTTCTGGCGGACCACCGTCAGTCAGCCATCAGCACCACCCAAAGCCAACAACCCGATACGGTTTGGTATCTTATTCGGGCGCGACTTGGAGTAGGTCTCCCCCATTCATTCATCCTGCCGTAATAGCTCCGAACTGACATGGCTTCACAGCACCTCAGCCCTGATCTTCCCGGCGAAGCACCATCCTGGTGCCGTTCTCTGGGGAGTCGCTTGTACGGACAGCCGGGAGGCCTTGCAAGCGCGGAGCAAGCACGGCTTCCGCTATGCGTATGAGTCGTACGAGCGTATGTACAGCTATTTGATTGATGACTGCACACCACATTGGCAGGCACCTGCTGACACGTGCAGACCTCCTCAACGATCCGACAATTGAGGCCGTCTACATCGAGGTCGGCATTCAGCATCGCTTGGAATGGGCATTGCGAGCTCTTGACAAGAAAAAGCACGTCCTGCTAGATACGCCATGTGCCGGCTGTCCACACGATGCATTTCGCCTCTTCAACTCTCCGTTGCTCCGCTCCCAGGAAGCGCCCGTCATCCTTGAGGTCGCACCCTACCGCTTTCATCCCAGCTGGCTCGAGTTTGAGAGACACATCGACAGGCCCTACATCGAGAAGGCCACCGTCAAAGTGACCTTGCCAACCAGCCTGATCTCCAAGACCGATACTCGGTTCAGACGTGAGCAATCTGGCGGGGCCCAGCTGGACCTGACGTATGCCATGTTCATGCTACGGTCCATCTTCGGTACCGAGCCATCGTCGTGCGACGAGATGGCGGTGCGCCGCGACCCTGCGGGCCCGGCCCGGTACGACCGCGACTACAACTACAAAGGCAAATGGCGCTTTCCGACCACATATAGCAATGGTCAACCGCCCGCCGTCGGCGAGGTGAAATCGACCGTGAAGACCGGGTTTCTGAACGTCCTGCCCTTTCGTCCCTGCGTCGTCGCCACGGTAGTGCACCGCAAGAAGGAGGTGATTAATTTGAACAACCACGACGAGAACAAGGTGGAGGTCAAAAGGACAGTGACACTCAGCTACTACGTAAGCGATGCGTCGAAGCATGAGATTGAGATTGTGGACAAAACTTTCGTCACTGATCGGGCCAACAACCGCCTGGTTAGCGAGACAGCGAAGAAAAGAGACACTTCGGCCTACACTCTGGACACCGCTCCCACTGCCGAGGGGCTCGAAGCGAAGCCATATTGGACAGCACCAATGTACCAACTCGACGCGTTTCTCCAGCGGATCCATCAATCACCGAATGCCAGCCCTGCTTGGGTCAGCGGCGACGACAGCATTAACCAGATGAACATGATGGGTGGCGCCTATGTCGCAATGGGCAGACCACTGCCGCCGAACAGCACTTTCTACTTCGATTACCAGATGGAGGGCCCTGCTCACGAGAACGGGCAGCCCCAGGCTCAGGGAAACCCCCCGGTCCAAGACCAGCCACACATCCGGATCGACGCTGCGAGTCAAGGAGAGAACCCAATCGAAGAAGCTCCCCAAGTTCAAGGGCAGCTTCAGCCTCAGACGAACGCCCCCGATCATAAGGTAAACCCGACCCAAGGAGATTCCCAAGCTCGAGGGCATGCCGAACCCCAGACCAACCCCCCGAGCGCAGAGGCGAGCCAGGCCCAGGGAAGCTCTCACGCCCAAGGGCAGCTCCAGCAGCAGACCAGTACCCCGAACATGGGGCAGACCCTGGATCGAGAAATCCCTCAACCCCAGGAGCAGTCCCAACCCCGTGCGTCGAATCCGTCGGGAAGCTCGGCTCAAGGAAGTTCCCACGTTCAAGGGCAGTCCCAGCTTCAGGCCAAAGCTTCGGATCAGGTCCATAGCCAGTCCCAGGGAAGCTCTCACGTTCAAGGGCAGTTCCAGCCTCACACCAACCTGCCAAATCAAGGAGTAAGCCCAGTCCAACGTAATCCCTTTCGGCAAGCGCGGTCCCAGCAGCGCCGGGCCAACACCACCAACGAGGGCCAAAGCCCGGCCGAGTCGAGTTCCCAAGCTCCAGGACCAAACCAATCGCAGATCAACCTGGTGAACCCGGGGACCCCGGGGGCATACCCCGGCTCAGCACGAAGTTCAGACGAGGACGAGCCTGGGCCCGTCAGCATGACACAGATCCAAGCCCAGCCAATGATCTAGGGAATGATCTAGGGAGCATGTAGCGTCTTTGTTGAGACCAGCTTTCCGGCTTTTGCTTCGCACGGCATGCCGGTGGAAGCAACATGATCTCTGTCGGATGGGGAGGCGAGGTCCAGGGAACGCGGGAGAGAAACACACACCAGCGATGCCCAAGAAAGCGACAGTGGGAGCTCGGGCTGCAGTATCAATATGTGGTAGTCGTTACCGTCATCTAAGTAATGTACCCTAGCGAATGTTTCTAGTTTTGAAAGATCCAGCTGTGCCCGCGCGAAGAGTGAAGCTGGCCCGCCAATCTCATGAAGCGAAGGAAATGCCATGGTAGAGCAGAGCGAAAATAGCTTCCCTCTACGCCCTCCATTTCCAGTAGGCAGCCGGGAGACAACCACCGAGACTTTCGGCGCCTTTCAGTATGCCGTGCACCTCGGCCGGCATGCCGTCGTCGAAAGGTCTCCCTTTCGATCGAGCGGACATTCCCCCACCCTTCACAGCAGCCTGAAGCAGAGCGGAACACAAATGGCAGACTGCTCAGCTTCGGGATTAAAAGGGCAGATATTCTATCGTTGCCTCATTCTAACAAAAAGGAGGCAGAAGCAAGAGGTGAAATGCGACGTCCCCAAGAAGAAAACAAAGGCAGTACGGATACGCTCGTCGAAACCAAAGAGTCTTTGAGACCGACGAGGACGCCCATGACAAGTAAAGAAGATAAGCAGGGCTTGTGAATTGCGTCTACGGCTTAACCATATAGAATGCGCAGGCCAGCGCGGCGATAGCAGCTTACCCCGTCCCCCCAGAGGGGTGTTGTTTTATGTAGTCAGGTTAGTCGTGCGCGAGTCCTGAGTAAATTGACTGACCGTTAACGGCGCCATCCGCCCAACATCCCACATCCAATATTCGACATCCAACATTCGACATCCAACATTCAACATCCAGGTACGTATGCAGCAAGATTGTCTGGGGAACTGAAACTCGCATGGAATGAGCTCGGCAATGATGCATAGCAGTGTAAGTACGGCTCGGAATAAGCATGGCTGGATAAATTCTTGTTGAATGGCTGTGCCACGTCTCTGGCTGGCGGCAGGCAATTTCAAACACCGGGAGTTGCTTATTCTGCAAAAGCCACAGCCAGAATCTCGGGTCCAAAACTGGCGTGGGTTGCTCAGCGCCTGCTTCTGTCCGATGCATTGAATGTGTCGCGAGTTCGGGACCTGCAGCTTGCTTTCGACATGCGCCCACGCAATCGGTACCCGTTCGTGCCCGCGTCCAAGACCAGCTTTCTGTACTGTGTAACTACCGGATGTTCTTGCCCGGAGGTCTCTGGTTTCACCCGCGGGAAGAATGATCCTTGTTGAAGCGTGGGATGACCAGAGAGATGGGGGTCGAGCCGTGAATAGCCTCTAGTCTGCTCCGAAGCATGACAATCGGCACGCTGAGGCAAGATATCAAGGTGGCAAAACTCTGCTTTTCCCAGAGCCGGAAAAGCAGGCTCATGGGGCGGTCTTGCGCTTGTCGAAATTTGAAGCCGATTTCCGGCCGTGGGTGCTGTTTGCTGAAATGTGCCGATGACGTCGCGTGCCCCTGGGAGGACGTGGGGGTTGCTCTCGGAATGAGAGCGTGCATTGGCCAATGGATCGCAGTCTTAGAAGGCACCCAGGCTCGAGCCGGGGGAATTCAAACGAGGCAATCTTGTGGCTTTTGCTGAGCGGTTTGCACTTCCGTCCAGCGTTCCGATTGTTCCCCTGCCTCCTTCTTTCCAGACAGCCGCAATGGTCAGTCTAGGCCTCCGGGTATCCTTCCGGGCGGCAGTCGGCGGTGGCCGGACCGGTTATCGGGACCGAATGACCTGACCCCATTCTTCCCTAATAATAACTCTAACCCGATACCTGCCGGAAAATGGAGTCCATCTTTGCTTCCAGACATCCGCACTGCGGATATCAGCAGCCAGATGGAGGAGGCCCCCGAACACGCCTCAGCGACTATCCGAACCTTGGCCCGATCCAAGGCTCTTCAAGAGCTTGCCGGCCATCGCCCGGTTTGTGGAATTTCAGGACCCGAAGATTGGGTGTGGCTGTCAATGGCTTTCCATCCTCTTCAGCGGTCCTCCGGGAGGAAAAATTTCAGCCCAATCAATTAGGGACTTTCGAGCTGGGCCGCCTTCCCCGCATGGGTCTGTGACAAAGGGGTGTCCTTTTGTGTGTAGCTCCCGTTCCGCGAATACGTAGTTCGCTATGCAGGTGCTTGCAGGAAGTGGGCTGTTGCCGTTGTTGATGTTATTATCATGGTGTTCTGCCCGAGGGTGGAACTTCCCTGCCAATCTAGGTTCACCATTGAAGGGCTCGTGACAGCGTGCTCGCAGCCTGCTTCGCAGCTGCATATTCGGTTTCACTTTTGATCGGGCTCGACGCTGAGAATGGAAGTTCCGCCTTCATAGGTACCTCGAGAAACAACAGCGCAATCGCTTGCTCAAGTCGAGGAAGAACCCTTCGACCCAAAACAGTTGGGCAGAAGCCGAAGGCTTTGAGCAGACTTGGGGGTCAAGAGCGGGCGCCAGGTTACCGTCACAGTCCGGCAAGGATCGCACACTGTGGCCACAGTATCGATCGCCTCCCGCTATGCAGGTGCCGGTCCATTGGGTGCGGGGGGCGTCCGCTCTGTCAGGGCCGGGATGGTGTGGTGGAACCCAGCTCGCTTTAACGACGCGGCCTGTTACCAAACCCTTACATAACATTGGACGCACCTGGTTCGGTTCAAGCCAACTCATCAACGAGTGTCGCGTGACGAACGTCAATATCGCTATCCTCGCTAAATCAACAACCGTTGGGAAGAACAGGGACGTCTGCCATCAGGACGATTGAGCAAAGAAGTGGACGAGAGCCGACCGCTCTGCAACTGTAGGAAGAAAGGGCCAGGAATGAGACTTTGTGGCCTCGTCGCATCTCCCGGGACACGACACCCTTTCCGCATCATTCTGCCATCAATTTCGACCGATCACCATGCGTTGAGTTCTAGAGACGGCTATTGATGACACTAATGAGTAGACGGGTCGAGATTCAGATCTCAGTGAGTCTGCCGAAGAGACCGGTGCACATCTAGCTCGATTCAACACTGCATTGGTCTCCTCAAGGTGTTCCGGGCGAAATATCAGCCAAGGTACTGCATGTGCGATGTGGCGTTGCTCATGAGAGAGCGTCGGGTAACGGCTGCATCGTGCGTCCTTGAGAGATCGGAGAATCGGATGAGGGTCAGGCAACGGGCCGGGCTGCATAATAAAGACACTTTCCGTTCGATCACCCCCCGGCCAAGCATCAAGATCTCATTCCCACGGCCATTCTGGCCTTTCTGACAGTGACGGCCACGTGGATCTGACTTCGCTGCGAGAAATTCGAGACCGATTCCGTGCCATCCTGCCATCACAGGGAAGCCACTGGCCCCAGCCACCACCTCCTTGGCCCCAAGCAACTGCTTCCAGTGTGGAGAGGAGCCAATGAGGGCGAGGAAGACGGCCTTAGAGAGCGCCGCCGGCTGCTTCTAGCCTAGATTCCCATCGCCACACCTTTCACACCCTCATGGCCATTCGATGCTGCCCTGGCAAAGGGCCCTGGGCGTCGTCTCCTCTCGTTGTTTCTCGATCCGGCCAGGTGCATGCCACTAAGCGCAGAGGCTCAGCAGTGACCATGGTGCTGGATCCGGAGCAGATCGAGCCAGACCTGGGGTATCTGCACGTCAGCGCCGGGGTGTGTGTGTGAGACATGTCTCTCTTTTTTTCTCCTATTGGTCGTCTGATCCGTGCCCCGACTTCCGGTCATGGACCGAGGTCTTCCCTTTCCCCTGAGAGACAGAACACTGGGAACTGAAGATCACTTCAGTTGCAATGTGGATCCCTGGTGTGTAATCTCTGTGAGCAATCAGGGTGCCATCGTCAGCCATGAGATGAACAGCGGGAAAGGAAGAGACGAAGACACTACTTGGCACGTTTTGAAGCTGTATAGGATGTCAAACCCTGGGACACGGCATCTGCTTCGAATGTTGAATACCTGGATGCGTACAACCCCTTGAGTTAAAAAGATAAGAGGAAGACTGAAAGCCAAGGAAATCTTTACTTGAAGTTGGTGTGACGATGGTTTTTCTGGAAGTTCCAATTGGTGGAATCAGATGCTTGCGTGCGGAAGACATCCCAAAATCGAGCTTGATGATATAGCAGGTAACACAAGATGAGGCGTCGTAGAATGCTCAGCAGTGTGATGGGCACTGGTCGAGGAATTCCGGTGTTTGGTGCATCGAGACCGTTCCCTGAACTTGTGTTCTGTCCGAGGTGGAAAACTTGAAAGAGCGTGGGGGTCAGCACCACAGGTCCCGCTCAAGATCAGGTGAGCGACTGTATCTCCCTGGGCAAGCGCGCTCATTGGGCAAGGAGGCGAAGAGGAAAGAAGAGGACATCAACGCGAATAACTCATCCAGCGCAGTGAATCAGACAGGTCATTAAAAGAGCTGACGCTACCTACGCTTTACCCTCAAGTAGTCCACTTTCCATTACTTTGCCAGGTCGCAGTTGACCCTGACCTGATGTTGCTGCTTTCCGTCAAAGCTTTTGAAGTAGGTACCTTGCAAAGGGAGTGCCTAGTTCAACTTCAACTCCACCTGCAGTCACGAGGCTCTCAATCCCGTTCCCCGCGAAAAGCTGGTTGGGCGAGTTGTGCTGGATCTGCAATGGTCACAGTAGATACCACAGTATGAAAAGTATCGACGCTCTGTGCTCCCATTAGACACTTGGGACTCGCGAGACAACGATGGGAAGCGAAGCCGCTGCCGCTTTCATGAAGACGAGGGAACGTAGGACGCAACCCAGATTTGCCATGTGAACACTTGTTTGCCGGCTGATTGACCCGTTTGACATTATCCTGCCACAGAGCAGCTCACCCTGGAAGAGAGCAGATACCCCCACCGATTCGGCAAGTGAGGGACCACATTGCTGGGACGAGCTTTCAGGGGCAGGGATGACAGCTGGCCAGCGCACTGGCCAGCGTCCCAATTCCATCGAACGGATCAAGGGTGGGGGATTTCCTCCCACGTTTCCGAAACAGGAGAGGAACAGAGAACTTGTGGATTTCTATTTCACCGGGGTGGATCTCTTCATTCTTAGTTTTCACGCGCGAAGGATTTCCGAGTCCCCTCACCAGGTGCTGCCTGCTTGATGCTGCAGTTTCCTCCGCAAAAGGCATTCCGGCCGCTCAACCCAATCTCGCTCCGCACGTTGGCAACTCAATGAGCAGAACACCAGCCAAGAGTGTTTCATTGCGACCCGCGAGAGCCCCTCCGCCCTGCCAGCCAAGATGCAAAGGTCACCCTTGCGGGTCAAGCCTGACTGAGAAGTAACGTCGGTCAACCAAGATACAGATGCAGGCGTTCTCAAGAGGAAGTATGGATGTGGCTGAGCGGTCGGAAATTCCATGTAGAGACGGTGTCAGGTGCCCCTCAACGACCCCTCACTGCCCCTCACTGCCTGTTTTTGCTCCCGAGACAGCCAGTCGCAGCAAATTGGGGACGATTGGAACCTCATCGTTGGCGCTGATGACGCCCAAAGGAGATCTTTGCTTGGGTGAATGGGAGGCCGCCAACCCTGCCGTGGTTGCAGCCTGGCCGAGGTCTACGTGCCATCATGATCCGCTGTCCCTTCTCCTGTTCTCCTGCGGCATCTCCACAGCAAGTGGTACAGATCGAGGATTGCGCTTCTCATCATGTCGTCGCTGAGAAACCGACACGCGGTCATGACCTCAGTTCTCGAGCCAGTTGTTCGAAATTTGCGAGCAGCAGTCGTCTAAGGTACGCTTCCCATGGCCCGCCCACTTCGCGTCCGGCGAACCAAACCTGTCAGCAGACCACCTCAATGCCAACATGACCCATCCGCATCTGGCGTTACGACTTGCACGAACCCACGCACGTCTTGAGGTTCGAAGTTTGTACAAGTACACAGTACAGAACGGAACAGGCTCATCTCACATCCAGTTCCATGGTGGCGGTTCTTCGCGTACCATACCCGCTAACGTATCAGGTACCAGATCTGTTGTTCCACACGGCGGGCTTGCAAGGCAATGGTGCAAAAATGGCAGGCTCGGCTGGCGATGGGATCAAGATCACGCCTGAAAATGTGGAAGGTATTTGTCAATTCCCAGACTCGGATGCCCTGTTCTCATTTGGGGAACTTGGTTTCTACTCTGCTGTAGGGCCCTGATTGCCTTGCATGCGCATGCATGGTGTCCCCGTCTCATGCGCCTCCAAACGCCCTCGAGCGCGTCCTCTGATACGACTTCGCATCGTCTGACCGGTCACAAGCAGCATCAAACTTCGTGAAGCAGTAGGCTAGTTTGATGGGACATGAGCTGCCGGGCCGTCCTGCTTCCTACAACATGTCGCTCCCTTGGAGACAGTTTTTTGTCCGAGGAGAAGAGCTTTTGGTGCCCGCCTCGCAGACGACATACGTGGAGATCGACTGGCCTGCCACATGTGGTTCAGGAACATTGCCCGACGCATTGAGGGCAGCTGATCATGCAATGGCCATTTAGCTCTTGTTGGAGTCAGCATCAGCACCACTAGCACTGCCAATCACGCTCAAGCCGCCAGAGACACGAAATTCGCGGTTGGCCGCTGCTTTGGAGTGGACGTCTATCTTTTCTCGAAACCTTGGGTGTCCTTGGGAAGCCGCTGAATAACACCATCACGCCTCAGAAAAGACGCCTCCAGCATCGGACACCTCAGATAGGTTTCCCAGCCAGACTCCTACTGTGTAGATAACTATTCCCCTTCCAGTTTAGCCTCACCTGGGCATCACGGCTCCTTGGCATTTCGCTGTCTGCTCGATCTCGTCGCTAACCCCCACACCTGGGACCCATTGATCGGGGCCTGATCCTGGTCCGACCAGACCCAGCCAAACGAACACCCCGGATTTGGAGAGCTTGGGCGGCTTTGGCGCGCACACTGTGTGCAGGTACCTGGGCGATGCCAAGGGCCATGACGGCTCAGAACGCCCCTGGGCGACGAGAGTGGGCGCAGGTGATGGCAGTCTCCGTGTTCCTGGAGTCTCAGCTTTACCACATTACATGAAAGTTTACATGCGTGTACCTTCAAAAAGGCAAGCCGTTGCTCGGAGCCGCGCCGCGGCGCCATTCTCGGACCAAGTTTGCATCGAGCCTTTGCATCGAGCCTTCTCGCGTGGGAGCTAACAAGGGGCTCTTGGGCCGAACAGGAGAAAAAAGAAACGCCCGAGACGCTCACCGGTACTTGGGGGCATCGAATCATGGCCACCATCCTTGCTAGCCTAGGGCGGTTCCCTGTCTTGTTCCTCTGACCCCTGCCCTCGACACTGCCCTGTGCAAGTCATCATTGTGTACAAATATGCTGCCCTCCCCTCGAGTGTTCACAGCTTCCCTCATCTGCTCCCAATATTACAAGCTCTTGCCTCTCTCATCAGCTTCCCTGATATCCTTCCTCATCGGCCACTCACCACTCTCCGCTGTCATCCGCCTTTATACCGCCCACCATGGCACCGCACAACGACGCACCTTCTCCCAGCGGCAGCTACACCGCCGGCTTCAACAGGATGCCCTACCGCCCGGTGGTTACCTCCAGCCTCATGACGGGCCATCTCAGCCTACCAGAACCTCACTCCCCTCTCAGCAGCTCGTACAGCACCACCTCAGAGACCTCAGACTTCCACATGGCTCGTCCGCTGGTGCCCGGCGTCTACGTACCAACCATGTGCTTCTTTGACGAAGAGACCGAGGATGTCGACACAGACACCATTGCTCGGCACGCGGTGCGCCTCGCCCGTGCCGGCGTCACGGGGCTCGCCACGCAAGGCTCCAACGGCGAAGCCGTCCACCTGACGCACGCCGAGCGCCAGCTCGTGACGGCTACCACCCGCAAGGCTCTCAACGAGGCCGGCTTCTCGCAGATGCCGATCATAGTCGGCTGCGGCTCGCAGAGCACGCGCGAGACGATTCAGCTGTGCCGCGAAGCCTGGGAAGCAGGCGGCGACTACGCGCTGGTCCTGCCCCCTTCGTACTACGCATCGCTGTTCGCGCCAGCCTCGGAAACCATCATTTCTTTCTTCACGGCCGTGGCCGACGCCTCGCCCATCCCGCTCATCATCTACAACTTCCCCGGCGCCGTGGGCGGCCTCGATCTCTCGTCCGACACCATCATCCGCCTGGCCGAGCATTCCAACATTGTCGGCGTCAAGCTGACCTGCGGAAACACGGGCAAGCTCAACCGCGTAGCCGCCGCCACCCGCAAGACCAAGACACCCGGCTCCAACGCTGCCCAGCCAGACTTCCTCGTCCTCGCCGGATCAGCAGACTTCACGATCCAATCCCTTGTCGCGGGCGGCCACGGCATCCTGGCGGGACTCGCCAACATCGCGCCCAAGGCCTGCATCCGGACCATGGAGTTGTTCACCCAGGGCAAGACGGCCGAGGCGCAGGAGATGCAGGAGGTTGTCGCGCGGGGCGACTGGACGGCGATCCAGGGCGGCGTAGTGGGCGTCAAGTCCGGGCTGCAAGGGTGGATGGGCTACGGCGGGTACGCGCGGAGCCCGCTTCCCAGGCCCAGCGGGGACCAGGCCAAGAAGTGGAAGGAAGGGTTCAGGGAACTGGTTATTCTGGAGAAGTCGCTTTGACTGTGACTTTCCGAGGAGATGATTTGTTTCTTTCTGTCATGGACACCGCATGGCTTCCCGGAGGTGGAAAAGGCGGGGGTTAATGGGCACATGTTCGGCGTTGGGTTGATGGAACGGGACAAAAGAGACATGATACAGGTATCTGTCTCTTGGCGTTTGGGACACAAAAACCTGGGAAGCATCCATGACTCAAAGGTTTTGAGATCAATATTCTTCTTAATACTCATCCCCATTCATGACATCTTGGACCGACAGCTGCGCGCTTCTTGAAGAGTGACGTGCGTGTCTGGCATCCTGCTTTCGCTCTCACCATGTTGTATGAGTACTGCTCCTCATGGTGGTCTTCATTCTTTCTCCGTCCGTGACGCAGTAGGAGTCCGCTCCTTCTGACCTCGGTTTGTCCATATGGTGCTGTGTCCGCTCATGTGGCAGAGCATTTTTAGGGAGGACAAGCTACAAAACTCCTTGATTTCGCCAAGAGAAGCTGGCCCCGGGGTTAGAGGGAAGGCGACGAGGTACTGAATCACTGCAATGGCGGCGCAGGCGTCGAGCACGCCTCCTCTTCGTCCATCGAGCCCAAGCGCACCCCTGTCGCCTTTGGGTACCATCACAGCGCGATCGTCAGTCTAGCCACCAGCCACAGGTCAGCCCACTGCAGGAAGGACCAGGCGGTATGGAGTATTCCGTATGTGTGCTTGTCCTCCCTCTTGGAGCTTCTGGTGTAGCGCAAGCAACAGTCCCCTGTGTCTCAGGTACCCGGCTGCCTCCCCTGCCCTGCTCCTAGATGTCGCTTCTTTGGCTTCAGCCACCTTGTTTCTGATACGATGAGTCGAGTGCCACGTATCCCGCGGATCTCACTGTGGAAGGCCGGAACGCCTGACTGTGGGCTTCTTCGGCTCCCGGAACCTGGTCCGGGTGTGCGCCACCTTACTGTGTAAGTTGCCTCGTCCACAACCCCGGGCCTGCGAGCAAAGAGAAAAACAAGCCCGCGCAGCAAGGTGGGAGGACCAGGGAGCCGGGTTTGGCGGGCAGTCCCAAGTTGGGAAACCGTTCTTTCCTGTTGGCGCCGGCAGGCGGTGCTTGCGTCCAAGGCAATTTGCTCTTGTCATGGAAAAACGTTGCCAATGCGCGAGGAACAGTGGCGTAGAGTGGCGGGTGGGGGCTCTCAAGAATGGTAACCAACGTCCTGAACGTAACTTGAAGACTTCAGGTACCAAAAAGTCCTCTATCTTAAGGCAAGAGGTTTATTCTGCATCCACGATCCTGGAATGCATGGCGACACGGTCACCGTGGTCACAAGCAGGAGATTGCAGCAGTCGACCTATGCAACGTCTTCATTGCTTCCAGCACTCCTTGGAACATGGCAAGCTGAAGGATTCGGAAGCCGTTGGGTCGACTCGGGAAGTTCTGAAATCCGAATGAGTCTTTTCCGTCCGTTTCTCTCAATGTTGTTTTCTTTCACCTTCAGATTTTAGTCATGCCGTAGGTACCTTATTCATGGCAGGAACCTCCCGGAGGTAGTGCATGGGTCTGACGACTGATCGCCTTGTGCAGTGGGCAGGAGCAAACGACAACCCCCACGCACACACTGGCAACTCACGAGGACACCTGTAAGGTGACCAAGCAAATCTGACATTCGAATCAGCAACAACAGTCTGAACCGACTGTCTGGCATTTGTCCGATGTCGAACCCCGACGAGGGACCCCGTGGTCGAGCAGCTTCCGGTCTCTTACCGCTTCTTTCATTCATCGCAACCGGCAGCCAACCGCATCTTGATGAAGAGGCACAGTACATACCGTTTGGCTTGCACAGCTCGCCAGGTATAGTACAAGGCAGGCTCAGCAACTGAGTTTGTCCTGTTGCTCCCACAGAACGTACGGCTTCTTGGAGCACGGGACTGCGACTGCTGGTGCTGTCACCTGGATGATGGTGACCGGGAGCATGGCCTCTAAGGCATGACTCGGGGCGGACAGGGCAACTACTGGCCAGGCACGAGGATGGCAGGTTTGCCTTTCATCTGAATTCAGTGTGTTTGCTATCAGAGATTGCCTAGTGTTCGGGAGTGACAATGTTCGCCATATGGTTACAAAGTTGCCCTGCGGAAACGGGTCTCGACCACACGGAACTCAGCTATTTTCTTCAGCTGCCAGCCGCCTCAATACTGACCACCACGCACGCATAGAATCCACCAGCAGTTGCTGGCCCCAATCCTTTCTTTTCAACGACAACGAGGCCCCAATCGCGTGCTGAACGTCAACGGCGGATATGCGGAAGATCGCAATCTCGCTCACCGCGACGCTCGCGTGGGTGGGGGTTTAGTCAGCCTCAGCGCCTGTTCCCGTGGTTGGCGTCCGGGCTGGCATCGACAGAAATACAGGACGCGCGCCGGCGAGGCTCAACATCAACACCCTCTGGTCGCGCGGGGGACCGCAGTGGTAACACCTGACACAACAGCCTGACCAAGATCAATAATCTGATTTGCCCATAGGGATCTCTACATTCTCGCCTTATTAGAACTTCAGGCCGCAGACGAGACGGACGAGCTCTCATACTTCGGACTCGCAGGTGTGTATTGTTGCATAGCCCCTGGATTATCTCCGTCCAGACCGGCTAACATCTGCCAATCCGTCGGCCAGGAGTCCATGAACTTCCTTACAGTGCGTGGAACGGGGTTGGACATGTAGATGGTGCTCCTATCACAGGATTCTGCCCTCACGGCGTGCGTGTTTTTGACATGCCACCCCCTATGCGAGCCGTCGTCAGCTGACACACACATCAAGGACATACTCTTTGTTACTTGGCACCGACCATACGTGGCTCTCTTTGAGGTGCGAGTACAGACCCCGAAGCCCATGACACCACTGACTTGAGCTCCCTGCAGCAAGTCTTGGTTTCTCATGCGGTGAGAATAGCGAGCGAGTACCCCCCGGACCTTCAGCCTCAGTATGTGGCCGCGGTCCAAACACTGCGACAGCCTTACTGGGACTGGGCGGTAGATCCAACCCCACCTCTCGCTGTTACGCCGTCAATGTCATCGTCAGAGCCACCCGTGGTGTTGTTCAAATCCCCAATCCGCTTTCCGGCTACCGTTTAAGCGGCCCTCGGTTGAGTCGAGCTTTGGCGGCTTCCTGACTACTTACCCTCAGACAATTAGATGTCTTGGCGAGGAGAATATACTGGACAACCATACGGTGTCCAATGAGAACATGCTCTCAATCGCTGAAGATCTCACCAGTCACGTCGTAAGTCTCCCGTCAAGGAAGAGGGGGCCACGGCTCTCCCTGATGAGACCATTGGATAGCGGCTAACGAGGGACAGTACGATATCTTCGCAAGGATTGAGACCTTAGACGACTCCAGCTGGCGCGTCTCGAGCTTGGAGTTTCCCCACATTCTGGTCCATGCCCTCTCGGTCTGCAATGGAACCATGCCCGATCTCAACTGGTCTGCTTTTGACCCCCTGTTGCAGGTAATTCGAGCCACAGCCTTAGACCTGCCTGCTGACAGAAATGTAGCATGTTGCACCACAGCAACGTCGACAGGCTCATCGCGATGTGGCAGGTGATCCATTATCAGGAGGCCATGTTTAACTTTACGGCAAAGTCTACTGGCCAGTACGCGACCCTTGCAAACAGCCCAGTCACTGCCGACACGAGCTTCCCCGTCTTTGGGAGCGCGAAGCGATGGCCGGTTTCCGTGCGCCCACATCACACTTGATGGTGTTGTCAGGCGTCAATTCCATTCCTGCTGTGTCACCGCTTGGCGGGGTTTGTCCTTGATGCGTGTGGCTTTTTAAAGGACGGTAGCCCTCCGGGTTGGCCAGCGTTGGGAGCTTTGTGTAACGGTGGGAGGCTCACGTACCGTTCTATGGGCAGCTGAGGGGTTTGTGTGTAGAAGGCGGTGTGATGTCGATTGTCTTTCGCTTGTTCGCGGCTCTTTTTGCGAGGCTCCTTTTGGAATCTGTCAAGGGACGGGCTACGAGAAGCGGGGGATTTAATTGGAAGAGTCAAGTGTTGAGCCCAACGGTTGCCTTCCGCAGTGTTCTTGTGAGGCAGTATCATGAGTGGCTGCGCACCCAACACCTCATGAGTCCACGGGTATAAGCCTTGTTTGCGTGGTTGGGGACGGGAATGTATGACTGCAATGTATTGCTCAGTTCCGTGGGATACATGCCCTGGGTTCTCCAACTTCGCTCGGTCGAGAGCTGGAGCTCAGACGCTAAGGGCAGGAATTGCGTGGCTTCAGGTTCTGTCCTCGACTCCGTCTGTTTAATGCGGGCTGCCCGCCATAGTTAAGACAGTTCTCTAACAGGAGAGCAAAGCTGGTAGCAGCAGAACTGAAGCAAGACAATTATTCCAACCCACAGACCTGTAATAGCCCGTCCCATCCGTTCGATTTGACAAGCCTTACCAGACTCAAAGAACCCTTATGTCGCGAGCCCTCTTCGCAAGCTTTCTTCGTGGTTCTCTGTCTTTCTTGCACTTCAGCCCTAATACCTCATCACCCGGAGAAGCAATCTCAAAGCAGGTCTGGATTAAATCATATATGCATTCCTAAGGTGATTGATAGCGTCGATTACAACGGCGTAGCCATCAATTATCCACTTTCCTTCCCATCTTAATTCATCGCCCGGAGTTTTTCCAACCTGACAGGCCTCGGTATCGGCACAGGACAATGGTTCAGGATCAATATGCGGGATACCAGATCCATGCCTTTTTCTCTTCTTCATCATTTGAATCAGCTGCTTTTCGCCCTCCATTCACACTCAAGCTCACAGGTTAGGGCCCACGTATGGCACTGGCAAGCTTAGAGCTTCCTGCTGAAAATATGAGTCTCAAGGAGGAATCCCGCAGTGTCCATAGCAACCCCTGAAGACCGGAGCGGAAGCTAAGGTCGGACGAATCAGTGGAGGTCCTCCTGGACGTTTCGGGCAAGTCTTCTTAGTCACCCGATGCCAAGCCCGGGCGCCGAACTCTTTGCCCAGGCCGGCTGCAATGTTGCTGCTTCTTGCAGTACTCAGCGTTCAGGCGCTCAAATCCAAGCAGAATGCAGGTGGTCCGCTCAGTAAGCACGAATATCAAATCTACATCATCGCTTGGCCGCAGACATCATGGCCTTCCAACCGACGAGTTTGCAATGGGCTATTTCAGGCACTACTCGACGTGTAACATTCCCTATATAGGATAAGGCAGCAGTGTCCCAATCAGCCAGCTACGACAGGTGCCCACACCTGTACATCTTCCGTAGTATAGTGGTCAGTATGTGAGCTTGTCAAATTCCGCGCACCGGGATTTAGCACCGCTCGAGACCCGGGTTCAATTCCCGGCGGGAGAGAGAGATAATCGCAGCCGCACTTCCAGCTGTTAGTGATATTTTTTTGGCGATGTGTCCAATATTTTGGGTGTTTAGGGTTAATCCGGGGCAATTTGTTCAATTGGGAAGGCGCGAGGTGCCTGCCTTGCGCATGAGCAGCAGTCAACCCTAACCCTGATATCCTTCTGCTGGACGACCAAAGGACGATGAGAGCCGAGCACGGACGGCTTGACACCTCAGACTTCGCTTTTTGCTTACAGGAGCTTGCCATTGGCGCCTCCTGTCGAAACACGACAAGACGGGCCGAAAGAGTCCTTCATTTTACCCGTGCTGCAAGGGCCTTGTGAACAGTCATGCTGACTCCTCACGACTGGAGCCTGATAATAGTCGAGTTGGCCGGATGGATGAAGCGAGACATCAGTCAAGTGATCAGTCAGAATGATCAACAAGCGCCGGGAACGGGTTGTTGGTGATGCTCGGTCCAGCGGCCTCGGAGACGGCCGACGCCACCATATTGGTCCCCAGGGCCGAGGAGATTTGGGGCCCGCAGTTGGCCGTGTCAAATATAGCAGCCGCATGCCTTATGAATCATGGCCACCGCTTCGCGTATACTAGAAAATATCCACGGGAGCAGAACCCGAGTTCGATTCTCGCGCTCGGTTTTTTGGCCTGCTTCTTCTGCTCTACGCAGCATTTGCCCAGCCTGCCGCGTGATGCGTGACGGATACGACAGTCCCCACTGTTGCTGACATGCCACTGCACCCAACAACTCGAAATATGGCGAGGCCGAGGCGCTTGGACTGAGACATTCATGCTCAAGACTCGGATTTTTGATGGAACGTTGCCAAAGCTCGGGTCTCTTGAGAACTTGGAAGACCCTCCTGTTTGTTCGCGTTTTTGGTGAAAGTACTGTGTAGTATGGACCTGGTGAAATCGGAAACCGAAACGGATATTTTGAAACTTCGGTACCGGTAACCATTTCGCAGTATTGCTTGTTTGTGTCACCTGTCAACATGCTAGAATGAGAGCCTGTGAGCCTGTCCTGAGAAGTCAACAAGCGAGAAAGGTGGGTTCTTTTCCTTGGCTGGGGCGGTCTCCTGTTTCAGGGGACGTGGGTAGGTTGCGAATGTGTTCGGAAAAATCCTTGGTTTCGGAAGAAGAAAACAGGACATTGTACGGATCCGTATTGTCGAATTTCTGAATATTCTCATTTGCGTAGGAAAGGGAACCTAAGGGCTAGGGCTATACGTGGGATCTATCTGGCCAACCTCTAGCCATGTCGGTCTCCAACAGCTCACGACTCGCAAGGTGGGTACAGAGCCCTAGCAGACCTATATTTCCATTTTCGCCAAGTAATCTCATGGTAAGCATGAATGAAACATATTCTCCAAAATCGGTTGAAGTTTCGCAATGGAAAAATTTCCATTTGCAAGCCTTACGAGGGGAAACATCAAGGGTGAGAGAGCATTTGTTTATTGTCCGACGTCCAGCCATTCGCATGCCCGGCTAGTTGTTTCAGCGGCTGGCAAGTGGCAACGCCTAGTTTCCGAGCCTGGCTGGCGGCCCGGCTGAGCAGTCGGATTTGCGTGATCTTCGATATTCCAGGTGGGACCACGGGGCGACGTAGGCACGGGACCGAATCAGCGGCAAGGACTCAGGGGCCGTGCTTTGCTTGCAGTGGATTTGCCGAGACCCGGGCGCCCCGACTTCGAGAGCCGCGATCCCGTCTGTGCCTGATCGGTAGGCGCGTAAATTCATGGATTCCTGGGCATGGAATTTGAGATTCTACGGGATGACAGAACGACGTGTTCTTTGGTAGCACTGTGGAATGTCGATTGCTGTGTTTTCTGATGTTTGTTTCCCCGGGCCGCTCGAGGCATCGGTCCACATTGCCATTCTGGGAAGCAATCCGAATGGGAAATGAGTGCCAAGCGGTAATAATCAACTACGGTAACGAACGCCAACGCTTACTCAATGTTGCTATAGTCCAGCCAACTGCCGCTGTCGTGTCTGCCGTTTCTGCTGTGTCAGGCGAACATGTGCATTCACGTTAGCGTGCTAAGTAAAAATAGTTACACGATCACAGCATCAGGCCTTCGAAATCTGGCCATCGAGATCTTGACTTCTCACCCGGGACGATGGGTTCCGCATTCAGGCCACTCCTCGCCGAGTGACGAGGCGCAACGGCTCGTAACTTTATGGCCACAGCATTAGTTATCCCCGGCCGTCACGTTTGTTGGCCTGTCCTCATGCATTATTCGTGCCCAAACTGCCAAGCCCAAATTTGAGCGTGGCGCGGCTGGCATGCCAAGCAAGGGCAGACGAGCCCTGCATCGGCCGCCAAGGACGCCTGGGCAACTCTGAGTGACAGGATTGGCTCGCCTGTCTCAGTACCTGATCCACAAGGCGGCTGTGGAGGCGCTTGTCGTTGAAATTCGTACACATGTATGAGGTAGATTTCGGGGATCCCTACTGGACCCTGTTCATCCCTAGGCGGCCCAGCTCCTTCTCAGGGGCAAGGACCAGTGCCAACACGAGCAACAAGCCCTTGGCGTGGCCGGGCCAGAAGGGGCAACCAGGTGATTGAAAGCATTGCTGCGCCCAGAATGGGTCAGGGCCTTTCCTCTTTGCTCCCTCTTTCCCCTGACCATCATCGCAACCTCTGCCACCTCTGCAAAACAAGACCACAATTCGTGGCGTTCAGTCGCTTCTTCCAGTCCCTCGTTTCAAAAGTTCGCGCTTTCACTTTCCTAAACACACTCGCTTCGGTTCGCCGTTGGCCTCTCCTGCTCTTTAATATCCGCCGCTCCAGCCAGTTCGACTTGTAGGAGACGACACACCGCAAACCCCATACCCAATACACATCCAATATGCTCTTCAAGCTCCTGACCTCGGCGGCCTTCGCCGCCTCTTTGGTCTCGGCGCAGACCTACACCTCCTGTGACCCCACCAAGCGCGGTATGTCTTCTCGAGCTCTCGTGGCACTGAAATGCTCCAGCTCCCATGGCTGACTCGACTGTTTGTTCCAGATGACTGCCCCAACCCCAAGGCTGTCGGCTCCAAGCCCGTCGACATTGACTTCCGCAAGGGCGCCAGTGACTTCTTCAAGCTTGCCGATGGCACGAGCCTCAAGTACGACAACAACCTCGGTGCCGTCTTCTCCATAAGCAAGGAGACAGACGCTCCCACCATTGGCAGCAACAAGTACATTTTCTTCGGCCAGGTCGACGTGACGGTGCGGGCTGCCCGCGGCATTGGCGTCGTGACCAGCTTCGTGCTGCAGTCGGACGACCTCGACGAGATTGACTGGGAGTGGCTTGGCGGTGATAATGCGCGGGTCCAGACCAACTTTTTCAGCAAGGGCTGCGTCGAGACGTATGACCGCGGCGGCTTCTCGCCAGTGGCCGACCCCGTCAACCAGTTCCACACCTATACCATCAAGTGGACCCCGACTCAGCTCGACTGGATCATCGACGGCACCGTCGTCCGCACGCTCATGAACACGGGCGTCCAGGGCTGCGCCGGCTACCCGCAGTCTCCCATGCAGATCAAGCTCGGCACCTGGGTTGCTGGCCGCAAGAATGCTCCCCAGGGAACCATTGAGTGGGCCGGCGGTGTCACCGACTTCACCGATGCCCCCTTCGAGGGCTACTACCAGAGTCTCCGCATCGTCGACTACATGGGTGCCCAGGGTGCGACCGAGGCGACTGAGTACCACTACACCGACCTCAGCGGTAGCTGGCAGAGTATCAAAGTGGTCAACAACGGCGAGGAGGCCGAGTCCAGCTCCAGCAGCTCTACCACCAAGTCCTCCTCGACCACCTCGAAGCCCAGCTCCTCGTCCGCCACCACGCTCACGACCGTCACTTCGTCGCAGTCCACCAGCTCCAACGCTACTATCACCAGCTCAGGCAGCAGCCGCGGCCCCACCGGCACCTCGGGCAACCAGGTCAGCGCCACCACGACAGGCAGCACGTCCCTGTCGACCGCCGCGGCCCCCACGCTGGTCGGAAACATGGCCGCTGTCGGCGCTGCCGCCCTGCTCGGCTACCTCGCTCTCTAAGCACCTTCCACCTCTGAGGGCTGCTGATGTCATTTTTTTTTGCGGCGTCTTTACCTCCCGATTCTGTCAAAACCGGTGACTAATTGCACACTTTTGCCACGCTCACTTTCTGCTCTGCAACCCACCCCTTTATACCATGGTACTACCATCTGTTCTTAACGCCGGTCTCCGAAACACTGGGAGAAGGAAACAAATACAACACGTTACCCGGCGTCTTTTTGTTCCATACATCCCAATGGAATCAAGTCGATGACAAGACAGAGTCACTATGGAGTTCATGGGAAAAACTGGGGAGTGTGTACACAGCAGGACTCAGAGTGCATAAACGGTGCAGGCAAGATTTCTCAAGTCATGTTAGATAAGAGGGAGACGCGGCGTTCTTGTACACATGATAGATGGAACGTCACGAACGACGTCATGGACTGAGCGCGTCAGTTGGTGGTGTGGGCCGTGGTTTTGGGTTCGCGATTTAGGATAATGGAGCGTTAAGTTGTGTTCACAGATGGGAGAGGATGGCCTTGCTGCTTCGTCGATACCTTGAATCGATCAGTATTGATACCGATACCTTGGAAGCGGTTGTCTTGGTTTCTATGGAGGTCCGTCGATTGGGTGTGAGTGTGCTGGTCGGTCCTTAATCTTCATTGGAAAGCTAATTTCCTACACGGTGATTCTACGTGCTAAACATGATCGAGTCTAGATATGATCATATACGCGGTTGTTTTATAGTTCAGCCGTACGGTTGTACCCGATCTGGTTGTAGTATGACTGACTTGAGGACGGTGACTAACTCGAGGACGTTTGATGGGCTGTGCGTCGTGACATAGCTGGCGTGCTCAGCAAGTGCGGCAACGTCGTCCATCTTCGAAGATAGATCGTAACACCTCAACATCGAGGATTTAACACACTAACGATTCTCGGGATGTCGCCAGCAATGAATAGCAAACCGATATGTCGGTTTGAACATTTTAACTACAACCAAATGTCTCTTGCATTTTTTCCCTTTGCTTATATTTTTCTTCTCTTTACTCACTACTCTTACATTTTCTATTCTATTTTTTTTTGTTCTGTTCTTTTTCTTTCCTTCCATCGTTTTTCTGTTCATCTGTTCTTTTTTGTTGTCTCTTCTTTAAGTTTTTCTCCTCATTTCTTACGTTTTCTCTCTCTCTCTCTCTCTCCATTCTTTCTTCTTTTCTCTTCTTTTTCTTCTCTCTCAGACAGAGTTGCTAACCTTGGATGTTCTTTGGGCAAGAGCATCCGCCGCCGCCCTTGGTCACTGGCGATCGATTATGACTGCCTCGACCCAACACCCCACCATTAAGTTAGACATCAAGCGCCTCATAACTGTCAGCGTCTCCAACCCATCATCCGGTATGTCCGGACATTCTTCTCTCTCCCAACAATAAAAATGCCCCGCAATCCCAATTACAACAGCATCCCGGCCTTCCATGCCAAGCTCGCCCGGAGCCGGCGGATCCTGGCCGTGTGCGGCGCGGGGCTTTCGGCCTCTTCAGGCCTGCCCACCTTCCGCGGCGCCGATGGCCTGTGGCGAAACTACGAGGCCACCGCACTGGCTTCGCCCAAGGCTTTCAAGAATGATCCCGGGATGGTGTGGATGTTCTATGCTTATGTGAGTCCGCTGGCCTCGCTGCATGCATGACATGGCAACGACTGATCATCGGAGCCAGCGACGACACATGGCCCTCAGAGCCGAACCCAACGCAGGCCACTACGCTCTGGCAGAACTCGCGAGGCAAAACCCCGAGTTCCTGTGTCTATCTCAAAACGTTGACAGTTCGTCTCTCCCGGGGCCATTCTCTTCACTCATTGAACGACCTCACTAACATTTTGCCAGACCTGCATATCCGTGCCAACCGTACGTCAAAGTGCTTGTAATTCCAGCTTCATGTCTCACTGACATTGGCAACCCTCGACCGACAGATCCTTCGGGCCAACTCAAGCTCCTCCATGGCTCGCTCTTCGCCCTCAAGTGCTCTTCCCCGACCTGCTCCTACACCGAGCCCGAGAACCTAGAATCCCCACTTTGCCCGGCCCTGGCAGCAGCTGCAGTCGACGCGCCTTCCTCTCCGACCGAGATCCACCCCTTACTCGACACCACCAAACCCCTCCCCACCATTCCCCCCTCCTCCCTCCCGCATTGCGCGCAGTGTCAGACCGCTTTGCTCAGGCCAGGAGTAGTTTGGTTCGGCGAATCCCTTGACAGTGACATGCTAGCGGACATGGACGAATGGATCCGCCGTGAGAAAGTCGATGTGGTGCTCGTCGTGGGCACCAGCTCGCTGGTGTGGCCCGCGGCGGGCATTGCGGAGGCGGCGAGGGGACCGGGTACCAGCGTGGTGCATGTGAATGTCGATGCCGAGAGCCCCGAGGGGCTGGCGAGGCTTGTCGACAAGGAGGATTTCTCGTTTGGAGGGGATGCAGCCGAGGTGTTGCCTAGGTTGCTGGAGCCCGTTGTTGGGCGGTGGGATGAGGAGAGAGGTGAGTTTCGGAGGTGAACATGGGATGGGTGGCCGGGTGAAGATCTTCTGGGAGTGAGTTGGTAGCCGGCGAGTGTACAATACAGTCGAACCCTGGTTTGTTTGTTAGCACGCGAGTTAGGCATCTTACTTCTTCTCTTACTTGTCTGCATTCTATGTTCTTTTCTCTAGATCTTTGTTATCCTCTTCCTTCTTATCTTCCTTTCCTTGAACTTTTGCTATCTATTATAGATATATAGATATTTATAGTTAACTAACTATAGTTATATATTTAGGTTATATAATGCTAACGTATATAACTACGTTATAGTTAGTTATATAACTGTATTGTTTTCTTACTTATTTTCCTTTGTCTGGATTTTCGTTCTCATTCTAGCGCCCGTCATATAACAGGCTAATAAACAAACCAGGGCTGGACTGTACTTTGAGGACTCGGAGCGCCAACGGAGTATGACAGGAATCGGCACCGCCAGGACACGACAGTGTCCGTATCATTCAGATAAATGCCTACCGAGACAAGGGCAAGTGGAATTGGGCAGTTATTGGAAGGGAAACAGAACTGCCAAGTACCCTGACATCATCCTCAAACAGCTTGAGTTCTATATAGCAGGGACCTGCGTGTCTGACGATCCCTTAGTTCAAGTCTACGATGGCAGGATGTCTTGTAGAACTCAAGTGATCCCGAGAGCGGCTCCGGGTGCTTCAGATCAATTTCGTTCACAGGCCACTATGTCATCAAGTGGCACGAAACTCGACGACGTAATGATGCCCATGCAATGCAGTACCAGGTCTGATCATTATGGGAATTTCGAATATGTGTAACTAAAACAAGAGTTGGGTATCCGGCTTTCATGCATCCACCAAACTTTTCGAATCCCTCCAAACATGCCTTGTCAATGATTATACAAGCCGCATGGCGAGCTCGTTAATCCATCTACGTACTGCCTTCGCCTGCCCTTAATGGGCGCTCTCCCCATCCGCATCACCCTTCACCTCGCCCTTCTCAGCCTCCCCTTCACCGGGACCGGCCGCCTTCTGCTTCTGAATCTTCTTCCAGCTCAGCCCGCACGCCGACACAAAGGCGGCGGCAGCACACGCGACTGAAATGAAGTATGAGTTGCGAAGGCCGTCAAGGTAGGCGGTGAGCACGGCCGTCAAGTACTGCGTGGCACCCAGATGCTGCAGCACCTGGGGGATCTGGGACGCGCCGCTGTTGATGAAAATTTGCGGCGGGATGCCGGGCGCGTCGCGCTCGATACCCTCGATCAGACCATTCTGGAAGACGGTCTGGGCCACGGCGATGAAAATGGCTCCGCCCATGGACTGGAAGAATTGTACGCAAGCCGTGGCCTGCGGTATCCATTCGTGGGACACGCTATTTTGGACGACGAGGACACCGGTCTGGAAGCCGACGCCAATTCCGAGACCTTGAATTGGGTTAGCGGGGCTTTGTGTTTAAACTAAGGGAAACCGCGGAAGGGCATACCAGCAAGGACTTGGTATCCGAACCAGACACGGAGCGGGCTATCGAGCGCAAAGGTGGTGATCATGCCGGATCCGACGGTAAACAAGACCATGGACGGCAGAACGAAGGGGTTGTAGTACCCAACAGCGGTGATCAGGCCTCCAGCGGCAACAGAGGTGATGACGACGGCAATCAGCATTGGGAGGATCTTGATGCCGGCCTGCACGGCGCTGTCGCCATGGATGGCTTGGAAGTACAGGGCTGAATGTAACCGTTAGCCAATCCGTTAGCCCTCCTCCTGCACCATGGCCACTTACACAGGTAATAAATCAGGGGGAAGAACGCGGCGCCGAAGAAGAAGGTGAACAGCATAGCGCACACGACGTCGCGGTTCTTGAACAAGCGCGGCGGCAGCGTTCCCTTGTCTCCCTTCCAGATCTGAATGCCAATGAAAGTGATCAACATCACAGCAAACCCAACAAACAAGCCGATAATGACGGAGCTGTTCCACGCGTGCTCCGTCCCTCCCCACTGCAGCGCTAGCAGTAGGCACACAATCGACGGCACCAGCATGGCCGTTCCGGGCAGATCCAAGCTCAAGATCCTCTGCACCACCGTCATGGTGCTCTTCTCCCCAGTCTTCTTGATATGCAAAAACAAGAAGATGGCGAACATGGCCGCCCCGCCGATCGGCAGGTTGATGTAGAAGCACCACCGCCACGTAACATGGTCGGTGAAGGCACCGCCCAGCAACGGCCCAGCCACGCTTGCAACCCCCCACATGGCGCCAATCAGCCCAAACGCCATGGGCCGCTGCCTCAGCGGGAGCGTATACGACAGAATGACCACGCCGCCCGAGAACAAGCCGGCCGTGCCGATGCCGGCGACAGCCCTTCCAACGACGAAGGCGGTACTCGTCGGCGCGACGGCACATATCAGGCTGCCGACCTCAAAGATGAAGACGGCCGCCAGAAAGGTCCACTTGACGCTGAACATGCGGTACAGGGAGCCGTACGTTGGCTGCAGCGCCGTGGTGGTGAGCAGGTACGCGGCACCGTACCAGCCGATGTCTTTGACGGACGCAAACTCATTCGTGATGGCGCCAAGAGCGGGCGCGATGATCGTCTGGTCCAGGGCGACGAGGAAGACGGAGAGACAGAGCGAGGCGATGATGAGGACAAGCTTGATGCCCTTTGGGTAGACGACATCGGCCGAGTCGACACCGGCGCGACGTGATGTGAAGGGGTCGTCGGCGGTGTTGGTTTTGGTTATGGTGTTGGGGTTGATGTTGTCGGCTGCGGGAGTTAGGGATGGGGAGGGCGCCCGTGGCGGGGTTGGCTTCTCGGGCTCTGTGTCGGTTGTCATGGTGTCTCTGTCGGTCATGGTCCAGTGTGCGTTGTGGTGTGATGAGAATGGACGAGACGAGACAAAGGTCAGATGGAGGAGGTTAATTGTTTGGACCCCGAGGCTGTTCCAAACTGTGTGGCGATAGTCCGAAAGTGGTATTCAGAACAGCTAGCTGCCGGTGATGTCGAATCTTATCATATCAGGATGACTTGGAGGAAGTCGCCATCAGACGGCGCCAGAAATCGTGTAACGACGACGACGACTATCACGATGGGCACGCGCTTGACATGAAATGGCAGAAAAGACGCCGAAACGCAAGTGTCCTGAGGCTGGCGACGTCAGAATCCCTTTTAAGTAAAGTACCAACACTACATCAGATGGTCACCGTCGCCCCTTGCTTCCCGAACCGCATAGAAAAAGAAAAGTTCAAATGCATGTAAGGTAGATTTGTTTCCCGCCCCTTCCCATCTCGTCGATAGCGCAACATCATCTTCGCCAACTGCCACCCTTGTTCCCGCGTCGACACCAGACAAAGGAGTCATCGCGAAGTTGTGCCATTTCACGCTCGGTGCCCTGAGGCAGCAATTGGCTGTGGCCCGCGCTGTGGACCCACGATGAGAACCTTGTGGGCCCACTCTGCGGATCGGGCTTACCCGAGAGCTCAGGTTGGTGTTTGGCTCAAAGCTTGAATGACCTGGAAAAAGGTCGGAGCTCGGCATTGATGTTCCACCGAGGGCGTCTGGAACGGCCGTCCCAGCTGGCAATGTTGTGAGGTTGACTCAACTTTCCTGTTAGCTGCAATCGATGAGGGCCTACCTGTTGGACACGACAATTTGATGGCGCGTATACTGAGAGTCCACAGTACGTGCTGGGGGCTTTTCGCATTCAGGAATCAGCAAGACAATGATTGATCAAGGCCTCGTCTGTTGTTGGTATCATAATTGAAACGTACAAGGGTACAATTAACGTTACCTCCGAACCTCGCAGATGAACAGCAAAACCGAACCCTCTCGTAACTCCGAACACTCCCCCGAAGCCGTCCTCACTTGCGATTCCGCGTCTTCTTCTGCGGCAGTGTTGTGTCCTCCTCCGGCTCGTCCTCCCCCTTCTTCAGGTCCTCCGTCAGCCCCCACTCCTCCTTGTCGTACCAGTCCTCGCCGTCCGACATGTCCCGGTTCGGCCCGCAATGCGCCTCCGACTTGGCCCAGCGCCACACCGTCTTGCGGAGCCGGTCCGCTTTGAGCAGCCCTTCGTAGAGCCGGTGGGCGCCCCGGCAGATCTCTTCCTGCTTTTGCACATACAGCAGCAGCAGCCGCCGTACCTCCTCGGCCTCTTGCTCGGGCAGGCCCAGGTCGCGGTCCGGATGCGCTGCTGCCGGGAGCCGGAAGAGCGGGTGGATGAAGTGCTCGTCAAGCGTTTCAGCCATGGGAGATGCGGCGTGCACGGCTGGTGGCGCAAGCACCGGGTGTGGCGCTGGTGGTCGGTCAGGTACTGTGCTGGCATTTTCGCCTGACGCCTCGGTCATCTCCATGTCTTCCGCTGCGCTAGTATCCGTTTTGCTTGAGGTGCCATCTGCGGAGACTGAACCGTCTATCTTATCCCTGTCGTTGGTCAGATTGCCGTTGACTTGTCCACCACCTTCAGCTAGGTTCAGTCCAGCACCACCATCAGCCTCCCGCTCCCCATTGCTGTTAATGTGGGCGTCCGGTAGTATTTCCCCGTCTGGGGCCTCCTCGGTCGATTGTGCATTGCCCTCTGCGGCGTTGGCTAATTGTGTTGCTGCCTGTGCTCGTAACCCATCCGGTATAGTGCCTCGTTGCGCTGACTCGGGGGGGGTATTCAGAGGAGATCTAGGGCCCCCATTTGCTCCGACCGGGGCCGGAATTCCCACGGGCACGGGTCGAGCCGGACGCTTGAAGAAGCTCACCGTGTCGCTAAACAACAAGGCATCGCGATCGTCGGGTGCAGTCATGAGCCCGCAGGGTGCCCAAGCGTTATCGCCCACCAGCTGGGTGAGCAGCGGCTTAGCTTTCCACAGTGCCTTGTTTTCCTTTTGCATCAGGTTGCGCCCTTGTTCTATCAATTCGGTCAGAGTGTTTGAGATGAAGGGTCGCGAGAGGGTCGGATGCGACGGTAGGTCGGTGACGGCGGTCAACGGAGCCAGTATCTCTAGTTGAAGTCAGCCCCGAATGTGCTAGCCAGTCCCAGCGTGCAAAACTGCCAGAGAATCCCTCACCTTCAAGCCTGATAGACGAGTAAGGGTTCTCGTCCATAGCCGCGGCAATGGCCTCCTGGACTTGCTCCTCGTCGTCGCCGCTGTCAATGTCGTAGCCGTCTTCGTCAATCAGGGGCACATTGCGGTTTATAATTGCTCGTTGATATCCAGCGTGGTCTGCGATCTATGTCTCGTCAGTCAGGTTGCGGCAGTCTGTGGTCAACTCGCCTGACACGGACCTCCTTGTATGCCGCTGGGCCCATCGAGGACGTCAAGCGGCCTTGGTGGACGAATCGCGCTCGCTTCTTGAGCTTATTGCCGCGGTTTGTTGTTTGGTCGATTGACGAGTCCGAGTCGGAATCTGCGACAGACATGGCGATTAGAAGACGACCAGCAGCAAGGCGGCGGAATGCGCAACGGGGCGCTCTGACCGTAGGCTTTGCGCTTGAGCGTCCTCCTCAGCGCGAGGACGGTGTCCACGATCATGGCCTGCTGTTGTGTCGACATAATGACCGCAACGGCATGTGCCGAAAAGCGAACAATAACCTGCGACCTGTGGCTTCGTATCGGGGAGCGCTGTGAAGCTGTAAGTTGTCGTGGGTTCAGGTTGGAAGTGGCCGAGTCGCGCAGGTTGAGGGACGGATTGCCAGGCCTATGGCGCCCACAAATGACGGGCAGCAGGAGCGCAATAGACGAACGGAACCCTAACCCTTTCACCGTAAGCAAAGCCAGGGTCTTTTGCCAAGTGCCCTGGTCTCAGTTCTCCATTAAGTGACAGGCGCCAAGCACCAAACCTTCGAGCTTCTGTGTCCAAGCTCCCCACCTTACTCCGTCATCCAAAGCCCCTCAGTCTATCCGTACAACACCCCGAAGCGCGGCCACGCCGATAACGAACTTCAACAAGCAAATCACGAGGAAGCAGTTGTCGAATAGCTACCGCCTAACATGTCGTGGCCGGGCGGAGCCGAGCCGTTCCCCGACTCATCGGCCCAGGGCGACCGCCCAACCGATCTTGCCTCTCTCGGCAGGTTCAGCAGAACGGGCCATCTGTTGGGCTTTAGTCGCAATCAGGTCGAGCAGACGCTGAAGCTGCTCAGCGGGCCGTTTGAAGATCTCCCGCAGGTGCCGCCCTTCGCGCCGTTGTTCGGCTACACGACAACATGGCACAAGATGATGGTCGCTCAGATGATCCTTGAGATAGCTGGCCACGCAAACCGCCTGCCGACTCCGGAAGAAGCCGATGCCATCGCGTACTACCGCTCCAAGTTCTGTTCGAGGGCCGCCTGGGCGCCCCCGGCCGTGCTCCTCACCACCGCCTATTTCTTCAACCGCGGCCGCCCGACCTTCCGCTTCCCCTTCTACACCCCGAAGCCGGCTTCCTTCAACCCGTCGTACTTCCCGTCCGCGTCCAGACCGTTTCTCAGGGGGGTCTCAGCCGTGCGCTTTTGGCACGTCCTGCGCTTCGGTGCTTATGGACTCATCTGTCAGATCCTCGTGAAGCCCGTCGTGGTGTCATATGCCAACGCCACCTCCCTGGTGGGCATGCTGCGCGACGATCGGCTCAAGTTATTGCGCCAGAACCCCCACCGAAATCAGGAGCACCAGCACCCGGTTGCTACCCAGCCACCCAACGAGAGTGGGGAACAATGGCAGCAGCAGCTGGGGAACCTGCAGCAACAACCAGCGGAACAGCAACCGACCTGGAAACAAACATCTCAGGAGCCTCAGGAGCCTCAGGGCGGTCTGCAGGACGACGAGTCGTTCCTCTTTGACGATGCTTCGCCCGTGGCACCCTCGCAATGGCAGCAGCCTCAGCGCGCGTCTGCCTCTTCCCCGCCGCCGCCCGGTTCTGCGTGGGACAGAATCAGGCAGCGCGCGAAGTCGGAGGAGGGTACAGCATGGAACCAGGGAGATCAGCAAAACGGCGATTCGCAAACCCGGTCAAGGACAGAGCAGTACACATATTCGCCGGACGAGCGGGAGAAGGCGGTCGCGAAGGAACAGGCGCAGAAAGAGTTCGACGCCATGCTGGAGCGAGAGCGCCGCGGCATGGGCGGCTCTGGGGAACGCAATTGATCCGCCAATATCCGGAGTGTACGTTAACCGGCGTTCGGTGTATTTGGATGCGATTTTCCCGCTCAAATCAGCACGTCTGCGCAAGTTTGAGAGTCATATTGGTTTCGAGAGCTCCTGGCCACTCCTTTGAAGTCAGCTGCCTTCCTGACCCAGGTGTATGTGAGACATGGAGTTCCTCGGACTGTCTCCCCATTCCGTGGTTTGCGTTGCTCGCTTCCTGGTTTCCTGCGGTGCGACACTGCGCCGGTGAGTAGCGTCGATCCTTCTGGCGGAGCACCAAACCCTGCAATCTGAACAGCTGGGTTTTCCCACGCAGCCGAGCCAGGGTTGCATCCGCGCGTGCGGCTTGCAGTCGCAAGATGCGACAGGGGATCTCGGGTTCCCCGGCCGCAGCGGCGGGCCTCTTCTTGAACATGCTCTGGTCCCGCGACGTCGTCCATGCCCGGCTTGCTTGCGCGGGATGAACCGTCGCGCAAATGACGCTTGCGGACCGCATTGTCGGCTGATGTTTTACCTCCCTGGTGGGTTGGTCTCAAGAAGTGAGATTTGATTGACACTCCCTGATTCACAATGTCAGCCTTAACAACCACCGCGGTGTCCAAAACCGGCAAAACAGCCCTCGTCATCACCTCCTTTCCCTCCGTTCCCCTTACAACGACCTTCACCCGACCTAGCTCGGACTGTGGCGCCCTGTATAGCCCGCGAAGCCCGCCCCTCTATGTCATCGATAACGAACCCTCCTGCCTCCCGGCCGGATTCTCCACCTCGAACTCTGCTTTCTTCTACTCCCCCGGCATCGCCTGCCCGTCCGGCTACTGGACAGCATGCCACGACACGACGGGCGTGTCGACCATCACCACCGTCACCTGCTGCCCGACCTACGGTGACATCTCTTTGTCATGCGTGCCCGACCCGTTGTCGCTCAGCGAAGTCTGGGAGACGCTCTTCTGCACTTGGATCGCCCCGCAATCGACGGGGACAGTGGTCACCGTAACCAAGTCGGTCGATGGTCGCACGTCGACCGTCACGGAACCCGTCACCTGGCCCGGCGGCATCAATGCTTATGGCGTGCGCATGGTCCACCAGTCCACCGACCGCAAAACCCCGTCTACCACAGCAACCTCTGCCTCGAACGACTCCCCAAAGACACTTAGCACCTCTACGACCAGCGCTTCCTTAGACCCCTCCTCCTCCAATAGCTCCACACCGGGCAACACAGACTTCCCAACAGGCGCCAAAGCCGCGATCGGCGTGGTAGTCCCCCTCGTGGTCCTCGGTGCCCTCCTCGCCGCTCTGCTCTTCTGGCGACGCAAGAGGAAGCAGCAACAACAGGGTCAACCACTATCCCCACCACTCGACCATCATCACCAGCAACAACCACAGCAGTACTACGACCACCATGGCTCCCCACCGCCAGCGGGCGCCGAACACTACCCGCTCGGGGACCAGCTCCCCAAACCGCCTGGAGGAGGTAATGGATACTACTACTACGGCAACATCCCACCACAACCGCCGCCTCAAGAGATGCCGGGAGCTTGGGAGAATGCGACGGAGCTGCCTAACACGAGGATGGCGGCCGAACTACCGGGCAATGCCAGGTGGGCTGGGAGGTAACTGTGCAAAATGTTGGCGTTGCCTAGGAACTTGAGATATGGAAGCAAGGTCAAGATGGGTAGGGTTGGATAGCCATTACATGGTACAGATTTTGGGATTTGATGATGGAATGGTACGATGAAGGATCCAGACGGGCATTGGTTAGCCTTCATGGCAATATACGTTTCGCATCGTAGACTGAGCTTGTCAATTTGACCAGGATAACTTGTTGGTAAGCAATTGCAGTGACATCGCAGTTCAAACAACCTCGATCTTGCAAGGCAAGAGGAGTAAAACCAGTCTATATATATCATCCAGCATAGCAATCTGAACCCAATTCCAATATCCATCTAAAAAACACTCCAACTGGCTGATGAAAAAGACAAATCAACCGGCCCCTCTCTAAGGGGAAAAGACACCCAGAAACCGTCTATAAAGCTGGCGGGTATCGAGCCCCAGTCGCCCGTAACCGAAGTGCAAAAATAGAAAAGAAAGACATATCGCATCAACTCATTTTTCATCCATCCATCGGTGCATCATAATACCCAACTCCAGCGCGACAACCACATCCAACGGGCGAGCCAAGTCTGCCAGACAGAGCCTTGTTTGACCGAGGCCAAATACCACATCAGCCCCCCTGCCAGCCACTCGGACTTTTCAATGTCCCCTCGAGGTAGCTACTTAGGCAGCTGAGACCACTGACGCGTGCTTCCATCTTTTTTCTGCCTCCCCAAACGTGGGTTGGGAAATGAAGGTGAGATCAGCCCTGATCGGGATGACGCCATCCGGCCCGACCTCAGCGCGGCAGCCCGCTACTGGTAGAGTTACTGAGTAGGAGATCGCGTGCTCGGCACGCCACGGCGCGTAAGCACCCCTTTTCCGCCCTATTCTCTCCCGCCTGCGATGGCAACAGAAAGCCGTTTGTTTTCGCAAGAGAGGTTGCAAGCACCCTTGTCGAAAACACCGCTCAGCTCATAACCTCGGTGCTGCCGCGGTGACCTCATCCCGACCGAACTCTCCCAACACCCCCATCGACTGGCCACTCAATCCAAGTGAGCATAACCAAGCTATCACACAGCGATGACCACGAATCAGACCCAGCACACCTAGTCCGCCAACCCAGCCATCCCCGCCGTTGCAGAAAAATTCCCATACACTCCCTCCTCCGAGCACTCGCTTTCCTCGCTCCCGGGACTCTGCACGCCACTCGCTTCCGCAGAGTGCCCGCCACTATAGCTCTCCAACCCACTCATACTCCCGCTCCCGCCGACGCCAAACCCGCCCATCCCCATCAGATTCCCACTACTACTACTCCCGCCAGCAACGCCAGACGCCCCCGTTCCTCCCAGCGCGAGCAGGCTCTGCCTCCTCGCGGCATCGATATCCACCGCGCTGCCGCTCCGACTCAGGAGCGGCTTCTCGGGCAGCTTCTTGAGCAGACCCGTCGAGATGTCCAACATGCCCATGGCAAACTCGGTCAGGCCCTTGCCCTCGCCCGGCTTGGAGCTCACCGACAGCGTCCAGCGGTACTCGCCCAGACGGCGGCGATACCACTCGGCTTCCTCCCTACCCGGCGACGTCGCCCACAGGAGGGAGCCAAACGTCCCGATGAGGGCAAAGTTAGTTTTGGAGGCGAAGTACCAAAAGGAGCGCAGATGCGAAGGGGTGAGGCGGTTGACAAAGTCCATGGCCGAGATGAGGCGGGCTTTGGCGGCGCTGCGACAAATGTGTTGAATGTAGGGGTCGACCCCACCAGTATTGGCGTTGGCGCCGGCTGGGGAAGGGGAAGAGGAAGCAGCTGCCGCGCCGGACGCGTCCATTGAGCGTATGATGCGCCGGTGGAGGGTAATTTCCGTGGCGAAATAGGCTAGGTGGAGGAAGCCTATGCTGGAGGGGCGGTTGGACTGGTTGAGGCCGCTCTGAAAGCTCGAGTCCATGCGGACGACGGCAGGGAGGCCCGAGTACCACTCCTTGAGCTTGAGTTGGATCGGCTTGGCAAGGGAGAGTATAAGCTGCGTGGCTTGCGCGCCCGCGTTGGCGGCGGCCTGTGAAGCCTGCAGGGTGTAGAAGGTTTCGAGGATCTCGGCGAGGATCTGCGACAGTTGCACCATCTGCCCAAACAGCACGCGACCGCGTTCAATCTCTATCCTCCCCTCGGCATCATTCTCATCCCATTCCACGTCTGGGAAATCATTCGAATTCAGGGGTTGCACAGCCCAGTTGGAAGCGAAGATGTGTGACGGCCGGCCGTGGACGAGAGCACCCCATTTGTCCTAGACAATGGATCATCAGTATGCACACAGAAGGGTTCCGGGAAAAAGGGAACCCACCTGCATATACAAAGCCCAGGCTAGGCGCTTCCGTAGGCCGCGCTCCCAGGGCGGAATCTTCCAGTGGCTGCAATCTAAATGCAGACCAAGCTCCTGTCCGATGGCTACGAGCTGCGCAGTGGGTGCCCACTGGTCTCCCTCAGGTCGTTGCGACAGGATGAGGCCGGCCTGTAGTGTTGACAGCTTGGGTCGGTACATGGCATCGGCCAGCGTGGTCCGCACCAGCCTCTCGAGCTCTCGGACATTGGGCCGCGGGTGGCTTGCCAGTTCCTCCGACTGCTCCCACCAGTTGATGGCCAAGATGTAGACGGCAGCAAGAACCGGGGGCGAGAACTCGCGGTGCGAGCGTTCGTACTTCTCGAGGAACACGCTCTTTTGGAGGATGGGGAAGGCCGGGTGCACGACCCGAAAGTACAAGTCTATCAGCTTGCGGCCATGGGGCGCCACAAGGTTCTCGATCTCATCGACGTCACTGAGTATGTGCTCATAGCCCGGCGTGCTGTGGTCGGGCAACAGCAGGAACGTGTCATTGTCGCTCACCCTCCTCAAAGTGCCCCGCGCCAGCAGGCTCTCGTCGTGCGGGTCAAATGGGGAAAGGTTGATGAGGGATGGCTCAAAGTCGGTGGTTGGCCCAATATACTGACTGTACCTGTCTGCTTGGAGGCCGAGGGTGCGTTTCAGCAGCGTCGGGCCGCCAAAGTTGGCCATCTCCTCGACGAGGGAGCTGCTGGCCGTGGTGCACGACAGACTCTGATGCTGATGGCGCCGTCTTCTGATATCAGATCGCCCAGGGGAACTACATTGGCCAATCAGGTATTAGACAAGATCTGTGTCGTGTGTCCCCCGAGACCTCGGGGTGTGCGTAACAGGTACCGGTAGGGCACGGGGGCATGATTGGGGGGAACGAAACAGGGGGGCACACGAGACAAAGCGTGGGGTTTTCGGAGAATATGAGGGCGGCTCTCACCTTCTCTTGCTAGCGCTGCCGCCGTCCAGGTCACCGTTCAGCTTGCGCTTCCGTGGCAGGGGGCTTTCGGCCAGCGAACACTCCGTTCCGGCAACCAGGCACGCAACACAGCTTTCCTCGTCGTCGCCCATGACACAATCGCTCCGCCGGTTCAGGCAAGCCTCGCAAGGGGGTGCTGAGAAGCCGCTTACCGAGTCCGAGTCGGGCGAATCGAAGCCGCTGCGGAAGGAATCGAGATGTATGCTGTTCTGGCGGCTCGGTGGAAAGCGCGGCGGTTTTGGCGCGATGGCTATGGGAGCCGTCCGAGGGACGGCGCATGGGGCGGACATGGCGTAGGTAAAGGCCCGGTAAGCGCTCAGAAGGGGATTCCCAGATTCACAACCAGAGGGCAGCTGCAGTTCGGCAATATCGCAGAGGATGTAACCTGGCGAAGGGGCCTCCTCGTCTCAACTCAGACAAGCGGTGCCGCGGAGGCTCGCTGCCGACAGGCACGAGCACACAGACAACGCCTCTCTCTCCCAATGAGCGGCTGCCTCGTTCGTTGGATCGGGAAGTTTCCGGCCGATAACGTTGGCAGCCCCGCGGAATTGGTGGGTGTGCTTCGATGCGGCCCGGATCGATCAGACAGGACTACCCCCCGGGATCTTGTTCCAGAATCCGGATTTGTCAGTTCCCCAAAGATAACTAGCAATCGCTCCGGCAGCGAGGACGGTATCGGCGACTGGGACCTGGGTGTGATAAGAACAGGTTCGTGGTTCGTAGATAAGCTAAGGTTGATGCTCCCGGCGCGGCGCAGGACCGTTTCCCCAGACTCGCCCCTCTCACAATCCGCACGACTCCCACGCGGATCCTCGCTCCGGGCACACTTTCAGCGCCGTGTGTTGTGTATAACTGGTCGTTCCTTATCGTCGCGTATCTCTGGCCTCTTGGAACCCCAGTTATACCGTCAGAGGTGAGCCCCGTCGTTGGGCGATAGCAGCTTGTGTACCCGGAGATAAAAAGGGGGACACAGCCGGGTTTCCGCGCGGGCAGATGCGAGGAGGGTGAGCGACAGGTGAGAGCAGCAGCAGCGGCGGTGGCAGCAGTGTCATGCAGGCTCGTAGATTGGAATGCGGACCCAGACGATGGCAGGTCCGGATCTATGTGATGATGGAAACTAGCACCAGATAAGCCAGGCTTATCTGCGTCATTTGCGGCGGCAGCAAGGCACGCGGCGATTTGACGTGTCGGTGTCGAGGCTCGGAGGAATCATGCAGGAGCCCTTGCTTTACTCTCTCGGTACGCTGATCAGGGCCAAGAAAGATTGAGCTTTAGAAAGAGGGTTGCGTGTTTCACAGTTGTTCAGTTCATTCTGATCCCCATAGTCTTTGTGTTAGATGGTGGAGAAGTCGTCGCAGGGAACGATATTTGGTTCAAGTGACGGGTTCGGGAAGGATCACAATTCAAAAAAAGATAATGGGAGCCCTGGTCCGGCCGAACCGGCAAAGTATGCCACCAGCTCCAATATGGGGAAAGCTGCTGGATAATTCAGTGATGTCAGTCTCTCTCGTCTTGCCAATTTATCAGACGAAGAATGGAAGGCACCTCTAAAGCGAAAAGTTGTTATAGAAGCTTGAAACTAGACAATAAGTGAGTGAGACTGCTACTCGGTAGCCCACATTATATCCATCACCGTCGTCAGCTTCTTGCCAACTTGATCTCTAACAGTCAAATCGCGTCGAAATTGAATTCTGACCAACGGGCGCGACGTACTCCGTACTGTGGTAAGACCTGCCGTTTTCCTCTCTTCTCACTTCGCTTCGTGGTGGTGCAGATGAAGCCGCAAACCGCATGCAGAGACACATGCACGACGATAAGGCGTCGGTTTGAGATGCTTATCGTAACTTCGATTTCACGTCGAAATTCCTAATGGCAAAAGAATCAGATAACGTTGCAGAGTGCGCGCTACCATGCAGGGACTTGCACATTGCCTGTCGGAGCCACTGCGGTTAACAGCCCTCATATTGGGACGCACCAAAAACTCAGACCGAACTCCAGCGCCAAGTGTTTGTTCCCGATTATCGCCCAAAGTCTCACGAAGTCTTCGGCAAAACTATTGCAACGGTCCGCAACCTGGCCCACCATGTTCAGACTGGGCCCGATTACCAAATAGAAACGCAGCGACAGGCCCTTTGCAGCCGTTCCCACTCGTGCAAGAATACTTGTCACGTAATGACTCCCTTTGCCGAGTCAGAGGTGCCAACCAAGGGTCCATCCAGTTAAAATTGATCTGTACTCCTACACTGGAGGTCTATTCCTTGTCCCCTCGTTGGTCGATTCCAAATGCAGTGCCTTCAAGTTTGTTGATGTTAAGAATTATTGGGGTATCGACAACTCCCCAGAGCACGCCAGGAGTGCCCTGCATGTTCGGAAGAAATAGCCATGAGACGAGCGAACGATGAAACGATGGATGCTAGCTTGGTGTCTGTTGCTCCGGGAATTTATCGTCGCTCTTTTGTTCAAAGGTAAGCAAGCAATCGGGTAGACGGCATCATTACTCCGTACAGCACAGCCAGGCTCTGTCGTGTCTACCTCACCCGGACTGACACTTGACCGCTTCTCTGTCGTGTTCCGGGTTGCTTATGTACAATTACCTAGCCTGCTGCCGGGCAGTCTCGCATACGGATAATCTTGTGATGACGTCGCCTGGCGGCCTCCATCCGGTATATGGGCCATGGGATGGTGGGGAGGATCAGAATGGGCGGGCATATGGAGGTGACTGCAAGAGACACACGACTGTTTCCCACTTCCAAGGTATGAGAAGTGTCACGTTCCGATACCTACACCACTGTAGACCGACATCCAGCTGCCGCTCAAGATCAGGGCAGGTGCAAGTCTGCACGGCTTCGACACGACGAAAATGGGATGTCGCATCTGTTATTGAAGGCAAAATAATGTACATTAAATTCATCCTCTCGACTACCCCTCTTAACAGAGGATTGAGGACTGCCACATCTAAATGGTGGAAAGGTGAGCTACGGCGTGTATCTCAGCCCGCCCTCACCCCGCCAACTCTACCCCAGATTGTTGGGGTTGGTGATCGATCGAGCCCCATGAAATTCCAAAAACTCAAAATGAATCACCACCCACCATCCCTTCCCCCACACAGTTATGCAGCCCAAGCAAATGCGGAGGATGTTCCGGGGCTGCCGTTGCCCTGCAGCACACTGTTACACCGATATACGCCAGAGCGCGGGGGTTGCACAAGCAAAGCACTCACACATGCGCACACACACACACACACATATCACCACCAGCCTGTGAGCTGGCTGCAATTATCCAAGAAATCCTGTCTGACGTCGCCAATCTGCATCTGCCAAAAGGCTCAGCAAGCCAAGACAAAGGGCGGCACGCGGAAGCGGGGAGAGGTACGGAGTACAAAGAAAGATCGTCCTATCATCAGCCAGTTCAAATCCCCTCTGCATCCTCGGCTGCACCATCAGCTATGATGAGGCTGACTCACCTGATGTACGGTGAACCTGCCTTTCCGTTCGAATCGGGAGAAACAGAGCAACGGCTGGCTCCGCCCTGCTACCACTAATGTACTTCTACAGAACGAGCTGTTAAAAGCAGGTAGTTGAGAGGATAACTTTACATAGATAATTTTCTGGCTGCACTAACAGACTGAATGGAGGGGTACTTGCGGGCATGTTGGCCGCAAAGGGATGCACTGCTCCTTCCCAGACTTGGACTTGCTGAGACTTCCTTCAAATCAAAGAGGCTACCTATACCAACCGGTGAGTGTGACGGGAAAGGATGTAGTTGAAGAGGCTGACTGACCATCTACCTGACTGGCCAGCGAGTGGTATGTTGGAAGATAAAGAAATTTCACGGTGTGTGGGCGCGGGAGCTGTGTGGATGGATTCCTGCTGGCCTCAACTTCGCACATATTCAGTTCTCTGATTGCCATCTAGGTGCACAATACTGAAGACGCAGGAGAACCAGTATGGATGCTTGTGGATGTCTTCTTTCGCGACATGACACGAATGCTGGCTCGGACTACCACTTCCAGAACCGCCACGTACGTGAGCCTATCTTGCTCAACAATCCGCTCGGGGAAGACGGAGGGTAGCAAACCATGCACAACTCCAAGTAAACCGTACTCTGGCAGGTAGGCGTGGGAGGTATGTCCATCTGAAACGAATGGAGACCGTGAAAGCCACACCGCTCATACATGCTGAATGCCCACTCGGTGCTTTCCAGGTAAACCGGCAAGCCATCCGCCGCAGCCATCTTGAGGATCGTTTTGGTAAGCAGCGAGCCGGCACCCTGGCCTTGATATACCGGGTCCGTGCAGACGAAGTTCAAACCTGAGCCGATCGACGTTAGCCTCGAGCCCTTGAAGGCGGAATTATCGGACCGTGCGTGGACAACAAGGTCGGCTCGCCGGCGGTCAGCCCGATATTTGCCCTCCGGTTTTCCGAGCCTTCTATCCAACATAGGTATGTAGAGAGTGTGAGAGACAAGTGGGATAGCACATACGATAGCAGGGCCCATCTCCGAAGCATGTCGCCTTGGCCTCCTCGGCAAGCGACGCATAGCGATCGAGGTATTCGCGTCGGCACCCCTCTAGATTCCTCAAATCGCCGCTCTCCAACTTGGTGTTTCCCGGGTGCGATGGCGAATCCCACTTGGCAAAGGCAACGACCACGCCCGACTCCACCTCTCGTGCAACCAGCACGCCGCTGGTGGAATCGCGGAGCTCCTCCGCCGTATGCGTGCTCAAGAATTGTTGGAGGGACTTGAGGCTTTCCGGGGTGGGGAACTGCACATGTAGCAGCGGATTCGAGCCCATCGCGGCGAGGTGGATCTCGGCGATGCGGGGCGCATCCGACTCCCCGGGCCGCTCGACAGTAAAGTCCCGAGCCATCGGGACGGGATGATGCACGATCCGCTCTGATTGTGGCGATGGAGCGGGAACTGCCTTTTTAGCTGCCGCGAGGGACTGGAGCTAAAATGTAGCCAACTTTCCGGGATTGAGACCATGTGACATGTGCCACATCAGCGCGTCGTCTCCGAGTGGCTGGTTGGACCGTGAGACTGCCCATTCAGCGCCTCCTGGCGCAACGATTCCTGCAGCATCTGGTACGGGGTCTCGACCCAGGCATACCACTTCCCGCCGCGAAAATGCTCGGCAAGCAAGGTCAGGAAGTGCTGGCCTGCCCGTCCAAACATCCATTCCCCGCGGCAGTGATGCATGGCGAGGAAGAAGTATGAAAGAACCGCCAGAGCCTCGGGCCGACGAGCCTCCAGCATCCGAACAAACGGCCTGTCAAGCATTGCCGCCCAAGAGCAAAGGACATATCCTCGACTCTCAGGCCCTGGTTTGGCATCGAGGACCCATTGCACGAGGTCGACGGCGTTCTGAGCCGCTTTCAGCTCTTCGTTGTCTAAGCCCGCAGATGCAAGTCTCTCGCGGATGCCGTCGCACTCCTGTCCCTGGCTTACCCCCCGGAACCACTGTGGTACAACCTCGTCGAAGATGACTTTGAGCTCGCTCTGTCGCAACTGGTCCCAATAGCCGTGCATGACGGTGTGCATGCCGCGGTGCAGGGCTAGATATCCCAGGAACCGGGCAATGGCAGAGTCGGGATCGGGATCTCGATGGGATAGGGTGTCGCAGAGGGCGTGGAATCCAAGCAAGCACGAAAATATGAAGACGGGGATGCGCTTCTCGACAGAATCACCGAACAGGCTAACGTCGATGCTGTTAAAGAGAGAGAGCGCGTCCGTTTGAAGTTGGATAGCTAGATTGTGATAGAAGGCTTGTCGATCGTGACGGATGGCGCTTAGGTGGTGGGCCGAGAGCGCGAGAACCGAGTGCATCACGTATGGCTCCCGGAGGGCGATATTCATGATGATGCCCTTCATGCAAGTGTCCATCGGGTGGATACTAGAAGTGTTAGCCATATAATGGTGCAAAAGTTCCATGTGAACCATATCGACTGTCGAATGCGGATTTTCCGCCGAAGCGAAGGGATGCAGGCTCGGATAAGCTTCTGTTGGATGAGTCGGCGTGGGAGCATACACCGTAGACACAATCTGTGGACTGGCAGAGCGATCTGAAGGCGATCTCTCAGTAGGCGTCCACGGGGTTGAGTACCGACACCTCCTTTCGACTGTGGTGCAGTTGATGCAGTGTGGGCGAGATTCGTCGCACTATTAAGTTAGCTGTCTGCTGGGACAACCAGACACCTGAAACAGGTCCTACTTTGACTGTGATTCCGACTAGAGTCAGCCATGATGCCACAGAATTCGAGACAACACAGGGGCAACCGACTATGCCTCTTTTTGCACTCCAAACATCCGTTACGGGACTTTCTGTGGCTCCTGCGCATCATGCTTGTGGAGGGATCTATTGCCTTCGCTACTTTGCTGAAGTGGCACCCAGCGAGACTCAAGGAAAGGAGTGAAAACAATCCGTATGTTGGTCTACCCTTAAGGGACATGTCGCGAATTTTGTCATGGACGCGTGTTCCACTTCCAGAAGCGGAAGTTGCCGAGAGATGGCCAGGGCAAGGCACGGAGCCGAAGGGTGTGTGGGGCTGCTTTCTGGAGGAACTCGATGGGCATTCTGAACCTCTGAGGCCGTTCACATCAGCTGTGTGTCGTCGGCTGGGGGCTTATCCCACCAAGGCCGGGGGTTCGGCTGCCCTTTGTCGTGGTTTCCGCGACCAACAAAATTCAGCACCCAATCTTGAACACGGCGGGTCTTTTCGAGCTGAGGGTGGGCAAGCCCGGGATAAGACAAGTCGGAAGTGCTGTAGTAACCGCCGACATCTCGAGAATCCAGCTTCATCCGGTAGAGCAGGTGCACCTTGGTCAGGTTCTTGCGCAAACTCGATCCGTAGACCTTGTTCGTAAAGACGTTCAGAGCTACATCCTGTACGAGGACGATGTCCCGCGGCCGCAATCCCGCCAGAGGACTCTCGTCCACCGTGTCGTATGGCAGCCAGTACGTTATAGCAAACCCAGCCTTGGTTTCGTCTCCGACCAGTATTTCAACTAGGTACTTGGTAGCACCCCAGCGCGTCTTGATGGTCTTTGGCTGTGAAATGGAGATGATGCCCACGATCAAATTGCAAGTCATGGTTTGCGGCTGGATTTTGGTAAGATGGACCGCCGAAGGAATGCTCCTGAGGTCACTAAGGAGCTCGCTGCCCCGGAACAAGAGTGGGCCCTTGATGGAACCAGGCTGGCTGCCGTGGCCGCTGACGAAAGAGGTGTCGTCACTGAGAAAGGAGGTTGCCTGCCCAGTGGACTGCGAAATCAGCTGAGAGGAAACCAGCTCTTTATGAGCGGCCATCGAGTGCTCGTAGAATTGAGAGAGGGCGGCCGTTTGATCGCCGCCGTCACCGTCCGAGGTGAAGGACAGCGTGACGGTGGTCAGGAACTCGGGACTGGGTCCAAAGGAACATTCATCAGGACCATGATGGAAGTTGATGGCATACCGCTGCGAGAAGCAAGTTGGAAGATTCTCGTTGGTCAGTGGCAGCGACCTCCAAGCAGCATGCTCAGGCATAGATGAGGTCGTGGATGACGGCGGCTGTGGGCTGTTTGTGCCGATACTCGCAAACGCAGCGATGGCGTCCTGAAACTCGGACAGTAACCCGCTTGGGTTCCAGTCCAGCGCGTTGCTCTCAGGTGCTCCAGTAAAGAACAGAACTTTGCCAGCCATTATGGAGATGTCATTCAGATCGGGATGTGTCAAGTCGAGTCGGCTAGAGATGATAACAGGAGGACCTCGGCACCTGAGCATCGAAAGAAGTTCATGATTTGGAGACGGATTTGTCAGGCACCGAAAAATGGAAGTGGGTCCCGTCGAGCTAAGCCGAGAGCTACCCTTGTAACATTGTCGGCAACCTAAAGCTCCACTCAATTGAGTTGCAGCTCAAGAAATCTCCCACTTTTGGGGGACAATTTGAACTTGGGCCCATACTCGAAGCGGCTGACTGAACAACTGCTTTCAGGTTCCTCGCCCAGAAATCTAAGCCCCTTAAGTAAGGTCTCAGCATATACGAGCACACCCTGCGGTGTTCGCGCAGGTCTAGTACAGAGTCCGAAGCTTAGTACTTGACCATCTCGCTCTTCCAGCACCTCGGCAATCATGGCATCTGCGCCTTGGGATAGAGTCCCGCCCAAAGACACCATATTCGTGCTGGTGACAGGCGGTAATAGGTAGGTGCATTATCAAGAACACGACTTAGGGGCTCTGTTCTAACGTCTAGTACTGCAGTGGAATTGGATTTGGCATTGGCGAGCGCCTCATCGACGAGTACCTCACCACTCGGTCCCTCTCCTCGCATCTTGTCGTGATCCCAACCACCCGCAGCGCCAGAAAGTCGCAAGAGACAATCGACGGCCTTCGTAGACACACAAAGCAGTTCGCCGTCACCTCGGACGCCCTCCGGAAGCGCGCGGGCCCGAGCTACGACCCGAAACAAACCACTCGCCGAGTTCACATTCTCAGCGTCCAGCTCGACTTGTGCAGCTTGCCCTCGGTTCGCCGCGCCGCAAAGCAGCTCGTCTCGGGGACTCTCAGTAGCCCGAGTGATGACGACGATTTTGTGTCGCTCATTGACGTCAAGATCCCGCGCCTGGATTCGGTCATCTTCAATGCTGGTATAGGGGGGTGGTACGGGCTGGACTGGCCCAAGGTCTTCCACAACATCTTCACAAAGGGCCTAATCAGCGCCACGACATGGCCCACCTTCAAGGGCGCCTTGGGAGGCCGTCTTATAAACCCCATCACGGGCACAAAGGGGCAGGGCATACCGCAGATAGGCGAGGTGTTTTGCGCCAACGTGTTTGGTCACTACCTCTTCGCGCAGCAGCTGGTCCCGCTCATGGCCCGCCCGGCCAACAGCACCCTCGCTCCAAGCCGTATTATCTGGGAATCGAGCGTGGAGCCGGACTGGGAGTGCTTTTCACTGGACGACTTCGAGGCCATCAAGACCACGGCGGCCTACGAGTCGACCAAGCGCCTGACCGACATTCTGGCGCTGACCTCCACCCTCCCGGCCTCCCGGCCGTACGTCGACAAGTATCTCAACATCAACACGCAACCACAAACAACACCTACCAGCAGCATAACCCCACCCAAAATCTATCTCGTGCACCCTGGCGTCGTGCAAACAACCCTCTTCCCGCTCAACGCCTTCATGTTTTTCTGGTACAACGTAGTCCTCTATATCGTCCGCTGGCTGGGCTCACCCTGGCACCCCATCACAGCGTACAACGGGGCGTGCGCGCCCGTGTGGCTGGCGCTGCAGGAGCAGGGGTGGCTAGACGGGGCGCACGCGGAGCGCGTCAAGTGGGGGACCAGCACCGACTTCTGGGGCGAGTGCCGCGTCAAGAAGACTGAGGTGGACGGGTGGGGTTGGGAGGGCAAGGTCGAGGAGATGATGGCGCTCAAGCAGGAGCACAAGCTCAAAGGGCGGAAGCCCGGGGCGGTGGATGTGACCGAGGAGAGGCTGGTCGAGTTCAAGGCGCTGGGGGCCGAGTGTTGGAGGCGGATGGAGGAGCTGAGAAAGGTGTGGGAGCAGAGGGTGGATGCTGTCGAGAGCGGGAGGTCCTAGATGGGAAGTAAATGATGGATGAAGCATATATTATTGTAATGGTAATGTGGAATGACTGTGAACGCCGACTTGATTCACGCTGACGAGGAGTGAGACCTTCGCAAGCTCGCTATCTGCTTCATACATGGTTAAACCCAAGAAAATCGTATAGGTAGATACCCAGATATGTCGTGGCTGGCCGGCCACTGCTCATCAAACATCACATCGTCCGTCATTATTTCCCTTCCACGGCACCACGCCTCGCCTCTTCATCCGACTTGACCCTTCTCAAGAGCAACTTCTCCCCCCTTCCAAACAAGCCCAAACACAACGGCAATGGCACCCCCGCCAATGCCAGCACGGCATGAAAGATCAGGGCATCCCGCATATTCCCCGGCGGACTCGCTTCCTCTCCACCCTTCAACGCGCCCGACACAACAATAAACACACCACCCAACACCTGCCCGCCACTCCAGGCCAGCGCGGATGTAATGGCCGGAGTGATGGGGTGCGTCAACTCGACCAGGTACTCCACCACAACGGGCAGCAGCGAGAAACAGGCCGCGCCCAGCACGGCCATGACCACATACGGACCCGCGACCCCGCCGCCGCCCTCCCTCGTCCCGGGCATCCAGATGAAGATGAAATAGCACAGCCCGATCAGCGGCACGGCGACGCGGATGGCCAGCAGATACGACTTGGTGCGGTCAATGACAGGTGAGATGGCGGCCGAGGCCACGAGGCCGACGACGATGAGGATGGCGCCGGCGATGCCGGCCTCCTCGTCGGTGTAGCCGTGCGGCAGGAGGATCTGGTTGATGAGGGAGGAGAGCGAGTTGAAGAGGCCGACGTAGACGGCGAAGGGGAGGATGAGGAGCCAGAACTCGAGCTGTTTGAAGAGGAGCTTGGCCGAGGCGCGGAGGGGGAGTTTGGGGGTCTCGCACGACGGCGCTGGTGGGGAAGGCGGGTGGGAGGGGATGAAGAAGGAGGGGATTGCGCTTATTGAGGACTATGACGCTTTTTGTTAGAGTGGTTTGGTGTCTGAGAAAAATGGGGACACGGGGCTTACGATGATGGAGACGTAGAGGACCATGTGGGAGATGTCGCCGGGTTGGGATACCCAAAAGGGGATGATGAGCTGGCCTAGGGCGGCGCCGAACGGGTTTGCGAGGCTGGTCAAGGCCGTAGCAGCGACGCGTCCCCGATTGGTAAACCAGAGATCCGAGTAGCGCGTCGGGGCGGCGAGCACGAAGGGTTGCGCGAGACCCGTCAAGATCTGGCCGAACATGACCACTCCGAAGAGGCCCCCTGAGCTGGAGTGGGAGCCCGCAAAGCGGATCCAGTTCCCGACTAGTATGAGGGCTGCTGCCGTCACAATGGCTTTCTTGGGCCCCAGATGAAGGACGTAGATCACGACAGGAGTGATAAACGCAAAGGCGAACAGAAACGCGGTGCTGAGCCAGTTCACGACCGTTTCGGTCGTGTTGAAGTAGGCGGCAGCATGGCTCGCAACGGGCGCGAAGGTGAGCCACTGTTGAACGCAAGGGTCAGCAAGGTCTGGTGCATCATCTTCTCTGCAGTTGACACGGGTTTGGTTGGTCCATGGCGGATGCTTTGTCTGGGGACCTGCATCGTGGCGTTCTTGCAGCAAGCTGAGACATTTCGCACGCTGAGCGGCAACCGAAAAGGTCCATTTCCGGAAGAGCAGAGAAAAGGGTACGATGACTCCGCGGGCTGACTGAGCACCTCATCGTTTCAAGGCCGGATGATAAAATGGGTGGACCCTCGACAACTGATGTGCACTTGTGCGCCTTGCGAGCTGAATGGAGGGTGAAACAAAAGCACAGGTGAGGAATAGAAGATGCCAGACCACTTACATCCCAGCTGACAACGATATTCAACAGCGTCAATTGAAGGAGCCCAAAGAACCGCCGTTTGTATACCTTGTACTCAGATACGGCCGATGCCGCCGTCTCCGCCGCGCCGGGCTCTGCGGGCCCTGACGCGAACCCGGCCGGGCCCGGCGCCGGCCCTGTCGCGTGCCCCGTTACTGCATCCATCTCAATCGAAAGATGGTCCCCATCGCCCCGCTTGAACAAGCCAACACCGTTTCTGACGCCACTACCTCCGGCGCTGCTGCCCCCCGTCGTCTTCTTCTCGATGCTGTCGGCGTCCTCACCACTCAGCTCTTGCCATGGATGCGACAGTCCGGCCATCGTATCGCTGCTTTTGCTGAGGGTGGCCCTCGAGTCGCGTGGCTTCGTGAGGTATGTTACCAGGCCGGGCTGCTTGTTGTCGACGCTGCTGACGCTGGACATGCCGAGGTTCTTGAAGCCAACGTCAGCGGTCCCTCAACCGCAGCGTCGCACACATCAAACCGCGCCGCTGGGAATTGTGGCGCACGGCTGAAGGTCTTTGTCCGAATGAGTCCGAGGTGGGTGACCTTTCCGATCCCTGCTTGAATCCTTCTCTCCTGTCTGTCTATTACGGCTGATGGCTACAGAGATGATAATTCTCAAGATTTGTTTGTCAGAGGGGGTCGTGGATGGTCAAGCGTATCATTGCCCTCCTTAGCGCTGGGATGGCCTCGGTCCCTGTCCTTGACATCTCCAATCTGCCTTCCCCTCCCGTTCTTGGCAGGCAGCCATTACAACGCGACAAGGTGTGGAGCAATGAGTTGGATGGGGTAGCAGCCTCGTCGAGGATGGTGGAGGGCGCATGTGACATTACTGGCTTCCGGATTGGGGAGCATACAGGGACTTTTAAGGTGAACAAAGGCCATCTCCCTATGTTGCTGGCTCTACATAGGAGGAGGATTTACTACCTCTTCGATTTCGCATGAACCAAGCTGAAGTCAAGCGATATTCCATCAGTAAGTGTCCCGGCTTGCTTTAAGTCGGCTTCCTAAACTCATCTCTCTATCTCCGACTCACATTCCAAACTGTTGAGAACCTGAAACTTAAGATCCAGACGACCCCATCCAATTCAGTCCAAGACCTCATCACTTTCCCATCTCTACATCCCCTCTCACCCAGAACATTCAAGCACCTCAACCCCAGAACTGCAAATCATCCGCCCCGGTCCCTCAAGTAAACTACCGTCCTGTAACCTCGAGTAACGTAATAGCGTGGAAACGGACTCGACTTCTAACAAAGCTTCCCCAAAACCCCGCCAATTGAATTGCCCTTATCACAGAGCTTTGCACATGGTCGAGCCAGACGAACGCCCACACCACACCATATTCAACCTCCGAGACACTCCTCACATGGAGGGGCGCTATCGTGCATCATGTATAACGATGTAGTGCAGCCAACAAGTCATGTCGGCAGCCCGTTTGAGAGAGGGAGGTTGTCTATGCTTGTCCGCATGGAGACACTTACGTACAAGGCATTACTGAGCTAGCGCGCACGGTCGCAACCGTTGGCTCGGTTGTGTGTTTCTTGGGCTGCTTGAACATGACTCTGCCATCACGCTAGTACACCCAGTCGTGGGTTACTCCTCAAGCACACGAGGTCCATCTGTCCCATCGAGGCGTAGCTGGCACAGATGCGCCTTTACCAGATAAGGACGGAAGCTGCATTGCAATGAATTGTGCTGTTCAAGCTGTGACATCTCCCGCGTCCATACTAACCAACCATGCAGGGTCAAAATGAGGAGGGAGGCATCCTGGGCATTGATTGGTAGTGTCTAGTATTCAGAGTATTCTCTTCGCAGTGCATAGATGGCGAGATGACGGGAGGGTAATGATACAGCAAGCCCTGGCATGGAACAACCTCGTATCCCGAGCCCAAACCAGATCGATTATACAGCTTTGTTTGCTCCCCACTGTGGTGTGCTTGTCCGTTCCACGATTTGCGTGTTGACCCAGCCCTCCCCGCAACCAAATGAAGCCGGCCTCCTCATTCCGTCTATAGCAACACCCCCCATCTATTGAAGCCAAGCCTGCCACGAGAAAACGCTTCAACCATGTCCTGAGGCGACGCTGGCTCCACTCATTTGCCGATTGAAAGGCGGGTACATCGTGGGAAGGTTGTTGGCTTATTTGAGGATGGACCAGAGCTTCGGGGCAGCGCACTGGGTCGCGCAATGGGCGAGGTGGAAGACTGTTTGACCAAGTCAGTAAAGGCAAGCTAGAGAGAAAGGGGATGAAAGGAGAGAGTGAAAGCGCATACACTCCTCAACGCAGTCCTCCTTGGCGCCGCCTTCGGCCTCGGCGTTGGTGACACGCTCGACACACTCGTCAAAGTGATGTTTGGCAGGGGCGCACTGCTTGGAATTCCGGCACTCTGTATACCGAGAACGTCCATCGTCAGCCTCGGTGGTCAAAAACAACTGTTCAGTATTGTATCGGGGCCCGTTGCTGGCCGTTGTCGCCTTCAGTTGTGGCGTAGGGCAGAGCCATGGCGCAGCTTTATCCGCTCGGCCTGCTCCAGCATCCATGGCGTTATGCCTCGGGACGACGTCGAGAACGGATATGCGGCAGTGGCAGCAGAGTCGAATAACCCACCTTCCTCGAGCTTCTCCTTGGGGTCAACAACCTCCTCCTCCTCTTCTTCCTCCTCTTCCTCCGCCTCCTCCTCAGCGGCAGGCTCCTCCTCCTCAGCAGCAGCGGGTTCCTCGGCGGCGGCCGACTCGGCGGCCTCGGTGCTGGCCTCCTCCTCCTTGGAGCCTTCGACGGTGCTCTCGTCGGACTGCAGTGACAAAGGATCCAAACGTCAGTAAAATTCTATCCATACGCCGATTGAGCTCCCCTGGTTATTACCGCGACCACGAATTCAAGTTCAAAGCACAATCCACGAGACCGCAATGTCTGCAACAGCAAGCGGAGAGAAAAGTGACGCATGAACTTACAATCTCCTTGGCGGGGGCCTCGGCGTCGGCCGTGGCCCAGGGGGTGGCGGCCTCGACGAGATCGGTTATCGTGTCCCAGAAACCCATTGTCAATATAGTGTGCCGTAAGGGGGGCGGCGAGCGAGTGTCAATGGCAAAAGGTCGGGGGTTTGACGTCGAGTCGACAATCGCGCGACGTTGGAGCTCTCGCAAAAATCGGGTAAGCGAAAACCGCCCGGACTGCCAATTGCTTTGTTCTGATTGGCTGGCTTGCCTTGGCCGTCTGAGCTCCGGGCAATTCCGCCTATCACGTGGCCCTAGGGAGGGTCTTTGGGAATCTGGTTTCCTGAGCTCTTTAAGACTTGTTGGAGCTGGTTCAGACACAACGACGCGAACGAATGTGGGAATCAAACAAACAGTGGTGAGCAGCAACCCCCGTGGCCCTCTTGGATTTAGAAGACTGCTACGAGCATAGTTCAAGCTGAGCATTCATGCAGCCTTCTGCAAAACTGGTGCTCCATCAGCGGACCGAATCCCTGAATCCCTCGAGGTTCGCATTCACCGAAGTCTCTCTTGACGGAACCATCAGCGAGATTGCCGAACATCAGCCTAGTCTGATATGCAGTATCCTTCTCGTTGCAAACAGCCAGTAGATCCAAATGCCATGTAGAACCGGATCGAGATCAATGGTATCAACAGCGTGCATAACCAACAATGGGCCAAGGAAAGAATATGAGAAGAGCATAGTATCAAGATTGTGAGTGAAACTCTGCCGAGTTCCATACGATGCGAACTCCGGCGACCCTCACTGCCTCTCCGCCTCTTCCCTCATGCGCTCCTCATACTGCATCGTAATGGCCTGGCTCTGCGCTTCCACGTAGTCCGGAGGAGGCTCATCGGGGGCGGGTTGAGGCGGTTGTTGCTGGGCCTGAGCGTCGGCAGGGGCGCCGCCGGAAGCACCGGAGGACAAGGGCCCAGGAGTGCTGGGCTCGTATGGCGGGGGAGGATCAAGATTCTGGCCCGGTATCAGGCCGAGCTCCTGGGCATGATGCAGGCGTTCCTTGAGCCACTCAAACTTGGTCTGGAAATCGCTGTGGCCGCCGTCCCTGAAGACAAACTTGACGTCTATCCTGGGGATGTGCATGGGAATGCCTCCTCCCGTAACCGGCCTCACGGTGCCGCCCCAGCTCCAGGGACCTATCATCCATGAGGATTGAACATGGGTGTCGGAAAAGTTCAACACCGGCGCAAAGAAGGACTTGAAGTTCTCGCTCGGTCGAGCTGGGAGATAGATCACCTGTAACCCCCGTCAGCTCAGCAACCGCCTTGGCCTCCTCTGGGTAGGAAACCGTGGCCACTGGGAACGAGAAAATTCGGGAGAGAGGGCGGTGCACCTACCCGCTCATTCGTGATGTAGGCGATCCCATTGTCGCATCTGAGAGAGAAGGGCTCGGCGATCTGGAGCTCCCGAGGCGTTGATACCTCGAGGCTGACTCGCGGCCGTGAGGTATGCAGTATCTTCTCACCGGGAATGGGTACGATCTCGCCGTCCCGGGTCAGCATCACCCAGCTGTCCGCCTCGTCAGATTGGGAGTTCTGAAACAGCGTCCATTTGTGCTGCTCGGCCAAGAACTGGTCGGCCATCGATCCAGTGAGGGAAACGGACTCGGAACTATATGCTGTGGGGCAGGGGCCTTTGCCAAACTGGGTGTCAAGCAGGGAAGGGGGGTGATGTATTGCGACTGGGAGCAGGCGCGCGCGTGAGAGGCGTCATGGGGTAGAGAATGGGTAGAGGTCTGGAAAGGGGGCCATAAAAGACCGGCAAAGAAAAAGAGGAGATGTGCCAGGTACGGTGGGGAGAGAACACAAAAGGCCATACTTACTTTATTGACATTGTCAAGGGAGGCGGGTAGCTGGCCGCAGAATGGCCCGCCGTGCCCGCAGAGGTGTGTCGTCCGGGTGTCCCACAGCGGCCGTTCGATGAGGTCTCGATTCGTCAGATTTGATGCTCGCTAGCCCGTCCACGGCGCAGGGTCACCCACAGGAGTGGCACCAAGGGCGCAACCAGTGCCGCCTGCAGACAGCTACAGGGCCGAGATCTGAGGAGTCAAGGACGAGATGCGGCGACAGAATGGTACACAGTACTGTGCTGTAGCCGGGGTGTGGGCCAGATTCGGTCGGAGGTGCTGACAGCCCAGTAACGTTATTTTGCCTTCATGCCCCTCGATGTACCCTCGCTGCCGGGGCGTTGTGGGATCCCTGGAACGCTCGGCAGCCCAATCTCTCGAGCCCGGTCTGCCGGGTCCTGTTACGCAAGCCTTGAACAAAGAGTGGCCAAACCCCTGGGGACTTGCAAGGCCGACTCGTGGCAGGAGAGCAGCGACAGCTTACGGTTCTCTGAATCGTGTCCGTTCAGTGTCATGTGTCTGTCCTGCGGGGTGATGGATCGCGGCGCTTGAACGGTTGCGGAAGCAGACAAGCGCTGGAGGTTTTGGCAAGGTCCAGGGTTGAAGATGAGATGGGTAAGAGCGGGCCAAGAGGCCAGGCGTGGGTGCGCAGTCCTGGTCGGCCTTTTAACCCCGCGCTAGCAAGCCGAGGGCCCGCAGCGGTTGAACTGTGGGTACCAGCCCAGAGTGGGACTTGAACCGCCATTACAAAATGGCAACTGAGTTTTTTCGATTGAGCAACCATCTGTTGTTCATCGCATCTGAGGTAAGCAAGATCCGAGCCTACGGAACAAAATACACCCTAAATTCTGCGGCTGTACGCCGTATCCATGATATGATGGAAACTGGAAGCAGACGGGTACCTGAGCCAGCTTCGACCAAGTGTGGAACCCAGAAACATGAAATAATATGACGGAAATTACTGGTGAGCCGAAGTGGAAAGCATCTCAAAATTTATGGATGTCGACTCACACTCTCGTCTCTCAGACAAGTCTTGTACATACTAACTATTGACACGGGCGTTTTGGGGCTGCCTAGTGTCGAATCGTTTGGTGCTGAAGTCCGGCCGCGATTCAAGCTTCAACTACCGGGGCCAGTGTGGTCCGCATGACGTATCCGAGCCCAGGACTTCCTGCCAGACAACCTGAAAAACATTGGGCAATGACGGGACTGGTCTAGGAGCGAGAGGCAGTTACCATGTGGGATAGGGCAAGGCAAGGCTTATTGCCTTCTGCTCCCGCATCGAATTCGGACTTCGTTACGGGTAATGCAGGTTCATCTTCATCTGCGCACGGCAACACGGCTGCCCTGTCTCGCGACTCCACCGTCCTTCCCAGGCCAACTGTACGGTAACTACTATACAACTTGCCTTGAAGATCCTCGCTGTTATGGCAGCGCCACCTGCGTTCCATGTCCCCAAGATATTCTCAGAAACGAAACAGAAGGGTCAACGTCCCGCTGCTACTCTGTCGGCGCTACACGCAAACGTGCAGGAACAGGTTTCAGACTCGACTCCCGCTGATGGGACACCTGTCAACGAAACACTCTCCGAAAGCAGCTGTTAGGTACCTCAGCATGGCTGCAAATTCATCACCGGGCGGACATTGAGCCATGCTGGTCACCCAAACTCTCATCCCAAAGATGCGAGCACTGAGCATGTCCAACTTACCTCTTGGCCCGCCGGGCAGCTCTGATTCGGGCCGCTAAGAGTCAACTTGCACTGTGCCAGACAGAAGAAACGTGCGGAACAGCTCGGTTATACCCCTGTTGCCCAGCGAGCGCTGCTTGGTCGCCATGGACACAACGGGGGGCGCCTGTCAGGCTGCCAATTCTGTGACATCAGCGTCATGGATGACTTCTCTCGTTGATTACACAATAATCACAAGTCAGGAGTCAGTTGGCACTGCCCGTCACTTCATCTCATGCTGACGTTAGCAAAGTCTTGCTCGAATGCATCGTGGCCAGCAGCAGTGTCGAGGATATATCTCAGAGCACAGAAGCAGCATTCACATTTGCAGACTGTGTGCTCAGCATGCCACATCCTGAAGTCCATGGGCCGGAGACGGGGGGTATGTACGCAAGGTCGAGCCCGCACCATAGATGAATATCAACCTGGAAGTACTCGGCCAGTTATGGACATCCCGGCGACCCGGCTTCCCTGCGTCGGCGTCCACTCGTCGCCTATCAGGACGGAAGCGATCTCACACCGATCATAGGGGCCTCAGTGTTTTCCCGAAGCGTCTGCATTCTTCCAAGTCGGTCAAGGGCTCACCGCCCTGTACTTCTCATGATGCGGGCCAGGGTGCTGATCCGGCAAGGTGGGGCAGGCATGTCCCCGGTGCCTCCTCGGACCACAGTATCCTCCTCCTCTTCATCCAAAGGGTTACGGCGATGCCTTTGAACCTGGAAGTCTTGGGTACAGGCTTGTACCCATGGTTCCATTGATGCCTGAGAGCAGGCCTTGCTTCTTCAAACGAAGCAATGGCCCCAAGGCGAGCACCGCAAGGCGAGCACCGGCAAGGTCAACGACGCCGAGCATCCATCCTGCTTGCACAGGAGGAAAGGCAGTACTTACCAGCTGACCATTGCTTCGCCAACTTCCGCTTGGTTTTCCGGAGTCCCCCGCAGTCTGCTTGTGTGCCTTTGTCACGGCGATGGAATGCCACTTGCACAGGTGTTTCTGCGGTTCGTCGGCCCTTCTCTCATGTCACAGCGTCTTCAATTCGACGGCTCAGTTCTCCAGAAGAATCATCGGTCTGGCGGCTCGCCAAAGTTGGCCAGAATAGGTCCACATCGGATTTCATGCCCGGCTCCGGCTAGCCCGTGCTATGAGCCACCCCTCTCACTGCATCCTTTGGCAGGACCGGCCCACGACGTCTCCGGTCTTCTAGTCTTGCACGTGGCTCCTTGAACATTCCTGGGTCTACTGATTTCGATCACGTATCGATTCAACATGGCACTGGGCAGACCACGTTCTTGGCAAGGCGAGCACAGCAAGCCCTCTTGAAGCCCCCCCAACCTTTGTTGGACGTCTGCTACCTACGAGATACAGAGTATATCCAGCCGTGGCTCTTCGACTGCGTGGAGTCGGACTGGACTACCTAGTCCTTTCTCAAGTTCCCGGGGTGTTGAGGCCATATGGCGTGACGGCATGCTATATAGGCCCTGTTCAATGGCATACCTGGCTGCAGGCGGCAAGGGATACATAGACCTGCAGTGACGTGGGCATGCTCAGCTTCGCATTTCAAGGAGACTTGGACTCTGAATTGGCCACCCGCTTCCTGCCCAGTAGTGTATGCCAGTTCTTGCCTCGACTTCGTTCTCAAAGGACGGTCCTGGCTGTCGGCTTCTGTAGAATACATCCGTCCAGTCTCTGCCGCACACGACATCCGACTGCTCAAGGAGGAAAGACCGAGGACCTTATCCCTACCAAAAGTTCGCTTTTCATGGCAGAGCAGGTGTATATGGGATGCCGGAGGTGTCGTTATATTGCTCACACGCAGTTGGGAACTTCTCTGCAGGGAATTTCGCATTGCGAGAGTTCGGTCAGCAGAACATTTTCAGGGGGAACCTCGAGTATATGCCAACCAACGACAGGCCAGCCTGGGTGAGTACTGAGCGATCACCTTGACCAGCTTCTCCGGTGCCTCGCCATCCTTGCCGTTTTCCTTCACCGTTCCAGCCGTTTGACTGGCTGCTTCCCGGCCTCATCTCCGTGTGATAGTCCTCCCAAGACACTGAGTGGTTGTAGAAGTACGTCAACTGGGTAGTAGCCTTTGGTCTGCTCAGACGGGCGTCGATGACCCTCGGGGACCCGACTATCCTATTGATAACCCCGTCGCCTCACCGATTTCGAGTCGTTGATTTGATTGGGCACTAGGTAGGGGTAGAATGACGTCCAGCCAGGCGGAAAATTCCCGTCAAGCATTACGGAGGTAAGGGGGTCAGGCGGGCCCTAAGCGCCCTCCCTGTGACCGCCACCCCTTCTGTTTTTTTTTCAGTAGGATGTCGCTGACCGCCCCCTTCAACATTTTCTTTTCCCCTTCTGGCCCATTCCCAATTCAAGCCTATTGGATTCTCTCCGTCTCGAGCCCATTATCTGATCCAAAAAGTGTCATGGTTGAGATGCCGGTGCTCGGGTGACACAGCAGAGGAACCTCACAGTCTTTGGCCAAACTTCACCGGAAGACGATGGACACATTGAGATTCCTTCTTCCATTATGCATACAGTCATGAAGTCTTCATTAACCCTCATCCTCTTCAACACCTGTCTTGCGGCGGAAACCTTCTGGAATATGATCGCCATCATGACAAAGAGAAAAAACCACACACACTCTCTCTCCCCTTTCTCCCTCTCTTCCGTTTACTCTCAGTCGAGATTACGAAAAGGCAGAGTGTGACACAAGTGGACACACCAGCACAACACCAGCTGTACCCCCAATTGCCAACGGCGCCAGTATCTTTTCCTTTTCCAACCATACCGTCCAGACCGAGGGGTAACATGCGGCTCGTTTTCGCCACCAACAGCTGAAATTTCAATTGTGCCCCATCAGCGGTAAGAGAAGGAGCTTGCGTAGGGGCCAATCGAGACCTTCGACCGAGTGCGCCTCCGTCAGCCATGTCGAATAGGCAATAACTAGTACCCGCTCGTCGTCCTGGTGTCACCTACGCCACTCGTCACAGGGCCACGCAGAGGGTTAACCCAGTCGAAGCCGTACGTAAATAAGCCAGCGAGCAACTTTTTAGGAGAAATGGTCCCAGCGGCCTGTTCGGAGATTGTCAACCTTAATATCAGATAAGGCGTCCGTCAACAACCCCCAAACCGGAGAGAAGAAGGGGAGACGAGGCGTGCGGTTTGCCCACCATCAACCCCCTGCCCCGAAAGCCCCTCCATTCAGCTCAACCACTGCTCATTGGACCTAGTCGCAACGTCCGACCCGGGAACCCCCCCGACCCCGAGTCCAACAACAGGCCCGCCGAAATCAAACCTTGGCATTTCAATCCTAGGCGGAGCCTCCTCTTTCTTCCTCCCATTCGCCTTCCCGTCACCGACCGCCTTCTTCGCCGGACTCGAGCTCCTACTCTTACCACCACCGTCCGCCGACGGCGGCGGCGGCGGTCCGTACCGCACATCCCTGACGTCCCAGCCATCTTCGGCGGCGGCAGCGACCCAGGTGCGCAGGCCGTCATGGACGGCGCCATAGAACTTCTCCTTGCACAGGCGCAGGCTGCCGCCGAGACAGCGCTCCCACCCGGAGACGCGCAGCTGCACGCGCAGGGCGTTGCGCTCGGCGGCGCTCGGTCCCGTGCACGCCAAGATGGCGTTGAGCAGGTCGAGGTGGCTGGCCAGGTAGTTTGTCGCGTCCCATTCCACGCCGCCGACGTAGGGCGCTGCTGGGACGGGCGGGCGCTCCTGCGGGAAGTGCCGGAGCATGTAGGCGAATTGGTCGTTGTTGGTAGTGGTGTTGGCTAGGTCAGAGGTGCCGCTGGGAGTGGTGGATGGAGTTTCGGGGTTGGATTGCTGGTCGGGGTTGGCGGATGGCGGCGATGATGACTTATCGGCCGATGGCAGGGCCACGATATTGAGGTTGTGCAGGAAGATCCAGAAGACCTCCTTGGTGACATTGACTACTTCCTTGCACCACACACGGTAGGGCCGCTCGCGGCGCATTTCCAGCACAAAGTCCACCGGCCGCTCCTCCTCCTTCGGCTCAGGGTCCCGCAAGAAGCCCAGGACAGCCCGGGCTCGAGGAACCCGCTCCTGTGGTGTGGCGGCCTCGATGTAGGTGAGGAGGATTGACGTGATGATGTTGCGGGTCGTGAACTCGCTCGGGCCCTTCTTCTCCGGGTCGAAGATCATGTGCAGCAGGGCCGGGAACAACGTGGTGTGAATCGAATGGAGGTACTGCATGGCCATGTCGGTGGTGGAGAGGGCTTTGAGACAGAGGAGGTTCTCGTGCAGTAGCGCGTCTTCGTGCTCCTCCCTGCGTGCGTGTCAGCCGACGGAATAGGTGAGCTTGTGGGGTGTACATCGATTTCAGGATCCTGGGGTCTCTGTGAGAGCCGGCATCCGAGGCACGGTTGACAGCAACAGCAGCATGCAGGGTCCCTTTCCCAAAACCGGACTAGGACAGAAATGAGAAGAACGACGTACCTCCACTCCACGGCCATGATGCGATGCAACAGCTCCACGATTTCTTTCATGCCGCCCTGGCGGACAAACTCGTCTGTCCAGGCGACCGTCTCGTTGCGGAGCAGCAGCCTCAACTTGTGCAGCTTGCCGACCTCGACCAGCTCCGGCTGCTGCACCTTTTGCAGGTATGCCACAAAGTCGCCAGGCAACTGCTGACCCTTTACCTTGGCCAGGAAGCTGCTGGCATAGCCGGAGGCGAAAGGCGAAGATGGTTCGCTAACGAGACTCTCGCTCGACTTGGTGCGGAAGTGCCGGCCAAGGCTGCTATCGCCCTTCTTTTTGGAGGGCGATGACGGGTTTGACTTGTTGCCGCTTCGCACGATGGTCAGGCTCAGACCCCTGCCATGCTTCTTCTTGTCCTTTTTGGTGGGACTACCACTGTTGTTGCTATGGTCCGGCTGGTCTGAGGGACCCGTTGCTACGCCAGTCCCGCTTCCCTGTGGGGGGCTACCGTCGTGCGACGGGGGGCGCTCCACCTTGGCCTGCATCTCTGCCCAGTCCTGCCGGATGAATTCTAATTTGATGGTGTCGCTCAGGTTCCGCATCTTGTATCGCTGGTTTTCGGGGATGTTGCGGCGGTCCAGCATGGCCTCGAGGTGCTTGTCGATGTCCTTGGGGTCGATGATGGGCATCTCTGGTGGCGCCACGGCACTCGATGTCGACGACTTGCTCCTAGGCCCCATCGGCGGCCGAGTTGCTGCAGCCGGTGTGTCACCCTTCCCCCACGTCAGCCGCTTGTCATGGCTGTCACTGCCGCCTGAGCCGGCCGACCCCTTCGTGTCATCGTCTCGGTGGGCCATGTAGGCCTGGTATGACTTTGGACGTGGTTTCTTTGGGAGGGATGTTGCTGAGGCTGCGGTCCGGTCCGCTGATGAATCCCTGCTGATAAAGGACATAGCCGGCGACTCGAGGCGCGGAGAAGGCGGCCCAGAATTCTGTGCGGCGAACTGGGCGTAGATGGGCGTGGGAGGGACGACGGGAATGTGATTGTCGTTACCCAGGAAGCTGGGCGGCGACCGATTCTCCTTGTCCTTCTCCTTGGCGGCATCGGTGTCGTCCATCAGTAGCTGTTTCAAATTCTTCATGGACTTGGGCCGCAGCAGGGCCGCCAAGTTGGTTGCCGACTTTGCTTTCTTGGGCTTCGTGGGCGAGGTGCTGCCATTGTCCCTGGTCTTCGGCGGCTTGCTCGAGTCCCTGTTTTTCCCGCCGAACGCTCTCAGCGATATACTGGAGAAGCCAGTCTTTGTAGGTGACGGAGGTGCCTGATCGCCACGGTCGCGTCCCCGCGGTCTCTCCGGTGACCGGTCTTGTCTGTTCTGCTGCAGCTCGCCTAGGGCATGTGCGTATCGTTCTGGTTCCATAGCTGCTGCGGCTACGGGGTCGAAGCCGACGTGAAAGACGCCGCTGCTTCTGCTTGGAGCAAGGCTTTGCTGCGAGATGTGGAACGCGGGTGTGGTCTCGATTGGCGTTAGAAGGGGAGCCGATGGCAGTCCCGCTCCGTCCGAATTGTTTCGCTTGTGACCACCGCCCATAAACGAGCGAAGAACCGAAGACTTGGACCGCTGATGGTGGCGTGGCTCGGTGCCAGTCGACCCGGACGCTGTTGCTGATGCCATGGAGGACATGGCCGGTGCTTAGATGCGTGTTTTCGTTACGTATTCAAATGTTTTGAGTCTGCCGTCGGACGCCCGAGTAAATGCCAATGCCAATACAAGTACGCGGATGCCAGATGAGAATGCAAATGCCAGAAAAGGACAACCAAGAAGTACCAAAAAAGAAATGATGCCGCGAGACAACTGTTGGATGCTGGGATGATGCGCGATTCTGGGTCATTCCATTGCTGTCAGAACCATGGAAGCCCAATGGCTTGACGCGAGAACCAGCAGCCGTCGGCTGGGAAGAAATGAAATGCTTCACTGTCGTCGATGTCTCAAGTTGGTCGAATGAACCAGCCCCGGCCGGGACATGTTTTCAGCACAAGAGCGTTGCCGAGGCAACCTGTACCTGGTCGGCCTGCCCCACGCTCTTCCCCACTTCCCCACATTCAAGTACCATGGCGGCCGTATGGAGGTAGCACCCCACTCCAATGTCAGGCTTGTCTCGTGCAGTGTACGGTAGTCTCAAACTCAAGCCAAGAGGCAGAACTCGTACCTTACTTTATGCAGCCCAGGGCTGAGCACGACGAAACTGCGCCTGTCTATAGACTTTGCAAAGTCCCACATCACCAACTCAACAAACCCTTCCCGCGATCAAATCCGCCCCTCAACTGCCTCTCAGGTTTGACCACCTTCCCCTGCAGCACCGTGAACTTGACAATCCCCTCGCAATCCTCCGGCCGTACCCTGGCGAGCCAGATACACTGCGCAGCACCCGCATCGCCCTCCTCATCCTCCTCCCCGTGTCTCTCGTTACTATCCACCTTCGGCAACAGCACCTCCCCCTTCAACTCGGCCCTCCTCACGCCATCTAGCCCGAATGCATCCTTCCTCCTATACACCAAGACATTGGCACTGTACTTATGCCCACCAACATGACTGATAAAGTATATCCCCACACCGCCGGGCCTCTCGTCGTCCAGGTCGCGGTATAGCCCGAGCGGCTGCAGGTGGCGCTGGAACTCCTTGCGCAGCAGCGGCGCAGACTGGCCGCAGCGGGCGTCGCGCGTCCGTTGACTGCACAAGAGGATCAGCGCCTTGTGCGGGCAGTGACGCGTGGTCAGGTCCTTGATGGCAGCCGGCGTGCCTTCGGGTAGCGGGGCGGGCAGAGACGGGGGGATGGAGACGGGCTGCAGCGGTGAGGTTGTGGTGGGTGCGTTGGAGACGATGGCGGAGAGAAGGGTTGGGACTGTGGCGGGGGTGACATTTTCGATGAGGGTGAAGGCTGGCAGGAGGAGGACGGTGGTCGGTTCGGAGTAGGATGTCGTGTGGTGTGGAGTGGGAATGTTGGAGGCTGAGAGGAGCAGCCGCTGTTGATACCATTAAGCCCCCCGTCAGTGACTGTGAAAATAGTATGTCTGGTAAGTGAGTATGTTGTAAGAAAGGATGGCGTACCCCGTTCGTGGGTGCCTTGGCGCAGGCAATGGCCTGCATGACGCTGCCCTTCTCGTCTTCGATGTCGCGCACCCAGTCGGTTTTACCCGTCGCGACCAAGACGTGGGTGCTCCAGCCCTTGACGAAGCCGTACAGATCATCGTCCTCATCGATCTTGAAGCCCTTGGGGTACTGCACCGAGCAGCTGTTGCAGTCGTGGTCGCAGTCGTCGCCGTCGATGGCCTTGTCAACGACCGGGAACAGCTCCTTTAACGACGCCTTGCTGCCCGAGCTACCCATAGTTAGCGCCTTAGCGCTGTTGATGAGCGACTTGATGCTCGCCGCCATTATACCGTTTGTGTCTTAACGCTGTTCACTGTGTGCTCGATCGAGTCAATGGCTAAAGCTGAGCTGGGGCTGCTGGAGCTGGCCGAGCCCGCCTGCCCGCCGGGACGGGACCGTGTCGCTATAAAGAGCAGAAGCCCGATGCCGCGGCCGGCAACCCCTTGTCGGTGTTCGGAGCTAACGGGCCAAGCTGCAGGGGTGATGGGCTATGGTGCGTCAGATTCCCCACCGTTCAACAACCCAGCCCAACTTTCGTTGCTTTGGGGTGGCCTCTTCATCAAGCTCGGTCTATATAGACATACCTCGAAGTAGTGGCTGAATATTGTGCTACTCTATCATGTTTCCAAATAGACAGAACAATCTGGAAGCATTCAAGTCATCCGACCAGTCATCAACCCCAATGAGATGCTGATTTGGGCCAATATGCCTCCGTAATTCCATCCAGCGACACCCTCAGCCCACATGATCCGTTTTCATAAACGACCGGCAACCTCGTAACGCCGAGCAACAATACCACTTCCAGCCCCCAGCGTCCGTTCTCACCGCGACGTCACAGCATCAATGACAGCAGCCTACGCGGGCATTGCGTAATGGTGTGCTTCCAAGGTCGAACTCGGCAAGGTTTTGCTCGGAGCAGCGAGTATAACCCCGCTCACGAAGTCCCTTATCAGAAGATAGATGATTGGTGGTGGTTCACAAGTATCAACTGGCCATGGGGAAGCATACAGATGGAAATCACTGAGGACGCACGACAGCTGTCCGACTACTCAATTCTTCACGCCGAAAACCAGTGCCCCAGATCGAGTTCCCCAACGGAGACCAGAGGCCCGAAAAACCCAATTCACCAGTCCTCAGCCCAGGATCGCCCCCAACCCCCTTTTTGCTCAAATCAATCAGCCGCCCAAAGTCGCCAAACAACGATAAAATATCAGCAATAAATCAACCAACTTCGCACCTAAAACTCCTTACACACATCACTGCGCCTTCCTCGCCTCCTCATAATCCCCCATTGAAACGCCCGAGAGACTCTCCCCTTCATCATCACTCGTCATCCCATCCCCATCGACCAACGATTGCCGCCTCTTCTCGCTCTGCCGCCTCCTCAACTCCCCCCTTTCCCGCATCGCCTCCCTAATCTTGCGATTCGCCGCCGCAAACCCCTCCTTGCTATCCAGCCTCGTGAACCCGCTGATAGGAAATCCAGCCGAACCGAGCCCGCCGCCCGCGCTGCTGCTGCGGCTGCGGCTGCGGCTGGGCGGGCGCGTGGCGAACAGCGGCGCCTGGCCAATGTTGCTGAACGACTCGTTGCGCGGGATGGCGCGGCTCGACTGCGTCGTGTTGCGCCGAGAGAGCGTCGGGCTGGCGCCCCTTGGCGATGACTCGCCGCTGTGACTACGGGAGTGGGTCGTCGGGCCGGTCGGCGACGTGGGCGAGCCGGCGGCGTTGTTAAGGAAGGCGTTGGATGCGTCCGTCGTGGCCCCGCGGGCGTAGGCGTCAAAGACCAGCCGGGTGTGCTCAAAATCGGGGAACATCTCGGGCCCGAGCGTGTTGATGGCGTCCGTGACCTGGCGCGCCAGCTCGGCACGGCGCTCGCGTAACTGGCTGATACTGTAACTAGACGAAGGGTGGATGCAGAGTGCCAGCGGCCTGAGCGACTTGAGGATATCCATGCCCACCTCGCCGAAGCGCAGGGCAGCAAATGTGATGGCCGGGAAGAATACCCAGCCGGCCAGAAACACCGCCCAAATCGGCACCCACTCGGGAACGCGACCGCCGAGCCTGTCCTGATAGACCTTGTAGGCAGTGATGCCAGTGTAGAAGTTGTAGAGAATCGGCGCGAAAGCCATCGAGACTAAAAGCTTCCACGTCGCGATCACGTCCTTGCCCTGTATCTTCACTGAGGATGCGGCAAGCGCTGTCTTGGCCTTTTGGTGACTTATGTACTTGGTCGCGATGAATACGGGCGCGAAGAGCACGAGACCCGGGATCACTCCCGCCGAGAGAAGGACGAGTTTGGTGAGCCGGTAAAAGAAGGTGAAAACGACCGTGAACCACGACATCTTGGCGTACTCGACTTGGTGATCGCGAATGTTCAGATAACGAAGCTGCTTATTGTACTCGGTGACGGACTCCTTGAGCTTGATAATTCGTGGGTCGTTCTTGTACTTCTCGTAGCCCAGAGCAAGGCGGCGATTCAGCTCGACAACAACGGGAAGGGGAAGCTTCTTGCCGGTGGGATTATACAGCCTGCGCGCCGCCTGGATGACCATCAACGTGTCGTAGTCGGGCGTCGAAACGGTGACGGCATGCAAGGAGGAGTGCACCATGTCTAGTAGCTGGCCGATCGCGTCCCTCCTCTGATTGTTCTTATACATGTCGACGAGCTTCGGGGGAACCTCAAACGGAGGGCCGAACTCGACGACGGCACGCGATCGGAACTTGTGGGCATGGAAGTAGTTCATGCCAACTGGCACGATCCTGAGGCCGCAGTCGGGAGCTTCAGCGAGAGTGCCCAGCGCCATGATGGCCACGCCCGCCTTGAGCGGGAGCAGCTCCGTGCGGTCGTGGCTACCGCCTTCTGGGAAGATGCCGACACAGCCACCAGATTTGAGACGGTCGAACACAGCCTGATAGACCTTGGACTGGTCAATGTGGGGCGCGAGCTTGTACTTGGTCCCCTCATATCCGGGCTTAGACCCGTCGACATCCACGCTGGTAAGGTTGCCGTTATCGTCAATGTCGTCGCGCGCAGTAAGCTGTCTCAGGGCAAGCTTGCCTCTGAAGGGGCGCTTGATGCGTAGTTCGTTCGGGCCGAGTATCTTGGCTATGTCGACGCTCGCTCCAGTTTGGCCTTCAGCGGAAGGGAGGAAGAGCATGCCGCCAACATCGGCTTCTTTCTTAAAGTCGGTACCGATTCCGCGGATAAGGGTTGGGTCGTTGATGGGATCTGGTAGGTAGATGGTACCCTGCGCCGGCTTTGCTGAGTCCTGGGCACGGCCAACAGGGACAGATCCGACCTGGCGGGACGCCCATCCGATGAAACCATGAACCGACTTCTGGGCGATCAGAAGCGAGACACGCCGTTTCGCCTCCATTCTGAGTGTTCGCTGCAAGATGAGAGCATCGACGAACTGCAGAGCAAGCACCGTTAGTCGCGTACAAGACGAGAAGCAGCAGGACTGCTTACCTGGTTGGCGTGCGGAGCAGCGACGAAGAGGACGGGGCCGTGACGAGGAACCTTCCAGGAGCCACGAGGATGCACCTCGCGGAAGAAAAGATCAACCAGCACAGACATCGTCCAGAGGAAAGTATCGTACTTCCACTTGCTCATGGGGTATAGCTCTTTCGCAGGTGACGGGGAGGTTGCGCCCTGCCGGGCGGGCACTAGTGGTTCCCCAGACATGGTAACGGCGGGGATGAAGAGGCTCCGAGTGTCTTGTTTAATGGGCGCGCGGAGGGAGAGAGGCGCGTCCTGAGGATAGGGACCTGGCAGGTTCAAATATGAGCCGTGTCGGCGGCTCTAATGCAGAGCTTTGTATGTGCACATGGGAAGCCCCAAGCTCCAAGTCCCGCGATTGACGTGCAGGAACTCAGTGGCAGACGCCCGAAACTGTCTCAATCGGTCTACTTGGTCTTCGCTCGGCTTGAGTGCGGCCTGTCGGTCGAAGTCTGGGCGACGGGATGGTTATAAACCGATAATTTGAAGTGTCGGGGCTCGGGGCTTGATAGGTATCTGGAGGCGGCTCGATTCATCAATGGTGCAAAGAAGTGACCGGGGAGCTGTCGCTCACGTCGAGGCACGGACTTGGATGGTGGGGCCAGGGTACACAGCTTTGGATGTCTTGTAACTGGGAGAGCTGGAGGAAACGTCGAGAGGAAAAGAGTAGTACAAGAACACGCCAAATACGGGGTATTGCGGATATCGAGCAGAAAGAAAGTTGGAGAGGGCAGCAATGCGAGTTATGAAGCAGCAGGGAAAAGGCTGGAATGTTCGACCAGGAGGTGAGCTCAGGCGAGGTGACAGGACGCAAATGCAGTGAGAAGCTTAGTCCTGTCCGTTGCGGCATTGCAATGAAAATTGTGGGGCGAAGCGATGTCATCCACCAGTGCACAGGCCACTCGAGCCGTTTGGAACGGCGTCTCGGTGATCATTCTGTCACACTCTCGCTGACAAACGGTGCGTGCCAGCAAGCCACAGCGGAGCTATGGCGCGATGTGCTGTTGTCCATTGGCTGCTTTCCTCATTCTTGAGCCCAGTGTTTGCTGGAGTTTTCCACGCCCGCATGCAGCATTGGCAGTCATTCACGAGTTGCGGCGAGCAACTCCAAGGCAGATTCCGGCGAATGCAGCACGTTCCTGTAACGCCAACCCAAATCGGAAAGGTGTCATGCACAGTTCTCAAACAAAATGAATGACGAGGACTTGACAGCTAATAAACCTCCAAGCGGCCAGTTTCCGGGAGGGTTCCGCTGTCAGTACACCGTCTTGCGGGGTCATTAGGCGACGTCCATGTACTATCGCGAGAGCGTCCCCCCTCTCGCGTCCAGTAGATAGTACCTAGATAAGAAGTTAACGTGCTTGGTATGGTTTAGTGGACTTGCTGAAGGATGCATCGGCCCTATCTGGCCTTGGCAAGATTCCTACGGCATGGCAATGACCACACCGACCGGACGAGGGGATGAATAGGTCCAGATCTGGGAATAGGTAATCTTTGTGAGAAAAGTGGCAGCCGTTCGTGATGGATTGGGCAAGGTACCTATCTGTAATTAGCCGTGACCGACGGCAACCTTGTGAGGGTGTCCTACAGGCTGCGAACGGATCGCTGACCTGAGTCACCACTTTGCTAATCGTGAAGGAATCAACAAGGCGAGCAATCTAGCATCTAACTCTCCTAGCCAACAGCGACTGAGGCGGTGGATTTGGAGTGTTTGTAAAGGACACAACTACGACAGCACACTGTTCAAGAAACAACCATTCTGGACGCTCAGGTTCGACCAACGAACAGCTATTCATGTCAAGATCTTTGCACTTTGAGGCATACCGTGTAACTAATTCTGCGCTTATCCTGCTGCCAACCTGACAGCCAACAGGCAGCAGCCAGTAAAAGCACTACGAACCTCTCACCTCTTCCTCCCCTTTCCCTTCCTCTTCCCTCCGCCGCTCCCCTCCGCAACCCCAACCGTGCCCTCCTCCAACTCCCCCTGCTCAACCATCCCCTCCTTCTCCATCTCTCTCAGCTTCTCCTGCCCACTGATAAACATGGTTAAATCCCGATTCATCTCCTTGAGCTCCTCGTTCTCTGCCCTCAGCTGCTCCAGCATCTTCCCGTTCCCCTCCGACTCCGCCTTGAGGTGCTCAATCCTCTTCATCAGCCCCGCGCTGACCTCCTTCTCCTCCTGCAGCGCCTTGCCCAGGCCGCGCGCCAGCTCCGCCGACTTGGCCGCACGGCTCTTCTCTCGTGCGAGTTCTCGTTCCAAAGAGGGCACCGTCTCGTTCTTGAGCACGCGGTGCTCCTCGCGCAGCGAAGCGAGCTGCTTCAGCGCCTCGGCGGCTTGATCCGACGCCGACTCCGCCGCAGCCGACGCCTTGGCCGCTTTATCTGCCGCCTTGATGACCATCTCCTCAAAGTAAATGCGTTGGCTTTCCAGTTGGCTGGTGAGCAAGTGCGTATACTCCATGCCGATGCTGTCGAGCTTGGCGCGAGGGACGACATCCTCTTGGGCTGCGCCACCCCCGGGCTGGCGGTCGCTAGTGTTGTTGCTGTGGCGCGGCAGCTCGACAATCTTGCCGTCGCCCTTGTCGCGGATCAGTCGGTGCACCCACATGTCGCCTGCATAATCCCAAACGTGCTGAGTCTCGAGCTCGAGGCTGAAGCTGTGCGCTGTCAGCTTCCAGTGCTCCTTGGCATGCCCCCCGTTGTAGCGACCGCAGCCAACATTGCCGCAGATGAGGCAAATCCACAGGTCGTCGGTGCAGTTGCAGTTGTTGCAGATGTTGGCCACACCGGAGCCGAAGGGCTGAGAGTAGGGGTTCTCAAGATCGTAGTCATGGGTAGGCTTAGGGTTCGTCGCCCGGCAGACGGGACACCCCGAGCCTTTCCACGTTTGTAGACATGTGCAGTGGAAGACATGCTGGCAGAGTATAGTCATCAAGCCTGTCGTGTCATCCATGCGCTCGAGGCATACGGCACAAGTAGGCAACTCGATAAGGTTCGGAGTAGGAGGTGGGAAGGGTTTAAGCGAGCTGACGGGGGACGTTGGCGAGAAATGGTCGTTGTTGCCCTCGGAGTGTTTTCGCTGCGTGCTAGTCTGTCCTGGCGTCTCGACCGTGATCGATTTGATGAAGGTCACATGGCAGATTTCAGTCTGTTCCCATTAGCACCCGAGTCTTGGGACACAGCAACTGAGGACGGGAAGGCTCACCTCCACGCTATCAAACGGCTTTCCATCGAACTCCTTTCGCCACTCTCTCGCCCTCCTGTTATCTCGAAACTTCATCAGGACCATGTAGCGGCTCATCCTGCTGGTCATGATCATCCGGTAATGGGTGACATATCCCCTCCACTTCTCCCCGATGAAACCCAAGAAGTCGCTCGGGGACATGTAGCTGGGGACAGCGGGGATGCACAGAATCGTGCCCTCGTCGTCGCCCGCGCTCCCATCCTGTCCCTGACTGGCCCCTTCTGCAAGCCCACCCAACACCTCCGGCGCTCCCGCCATAGCACTCGACTCATCCCGCTCACGATACAAGTGCACGATTCCCCACCCAGCCTCGGTATTCTTCGTCTCGAGCGGGACATACCTCGCCTTGGTCGCCAGCCCCATCCCACCCAAGTTCGGCCCCAAACTAGCCGCAGGCGTAGCCGTCTGCATCACGCTGTCGCCCTCCCGCTTACTGGCCGTCTCGGTATTCCCCGCCTTGTACCCCTCCTCGGTGAGTTCAGCAGCAGCAAGATCGAAGCTCTCGATCCTTACCGTCCCAAACCGCCAGTCATTAACGGCCTTGTCCGCACCAATCCCGTCCGCGACCCTCGGCGGAGGCGACCGTTCCCGAGCTCGCCTCTCGCTCGGCCGCCCCACGTATCCGTCGGTTTCGTGAGTCCTGCCTCGCTGCGCACCGCAGTCAATCACGCGCGAGTTCGTCCCGGCAGCAGCAATACCGTACGTCCCAGCCGCGTTACCCTTCACTCCGCTATAGCCACCGCCGTCCTCGCCGCCGCCAAAGCCAAAAACCCCGTTGTCAAGCCCCCTCTTCCACTGCTGCCAGCGGTGCGGTATTGGCTGCTGTCGGTTCCTCCGCGGATGGGACGGCAAGTCGTCAAAGATGCTCGCGCCGGGAGAGGGTATCCAGATATCGTCTCGGTAGGGTCGGTCGCCGCTGTTGTTGACGACTGTTTGATTGGCAGCACTTGCGTCGGTCGTCGGGTCGCCGGTCGCGTACAACTCGAACTTGAGATGGTAATAGTACGGCGGCATAGCAGCAAGGGTGAGTCGGTATCGCTATGCCGTCAAGCCGTGCTCCGCAACGGTGCGCGACCTGATGACAAGCTAAGGTAGGTTCGGAGACTGCGATTAGGTCGAAGACGATGGTAAGAGTCGAATGTGGCAAAGAAAAATCGAAGTCACGGAGGTAACAAGAGTTCTACTTCTCCAGACTTGCGGCCTCGCCCAGCAAGCCTCATTATGGATCGGTGTGCTACTTTCTAAGATCAGGTTACGTCGTAGGAAGGCATGGTTCTGGAACACGCGCCATCCGCGACGAAATGTTAGTTGCAGGAACTACAGTACACACCGAAAACGGAAGACCCCACCATGTCTGTCAGTGGTCAAATGCAGTCACAGAACGCAGGGGCAAATTCACGCATCGCAAACGACATTCAACCGCACAGAACAAAAATACGGGAACTCAACAGAGGAAGTTCATTGGTATCTCAATAGTACCTTTGTCATGACCGCGTAAACCTAGAACCAGATCTCCATGTGGCCGCCGTGTGGCTAACCATGCCCAAACGCTAGAGACCTCCCATGCCCTGCCTCAACCCCAACCGCTTACTGACCACCACGGAGACGCAGCACTAAGTGAAGCGTGCTCTCCTTCTGGATGTTGTAATCAGACAGCGTCCGCCCATCCTCCAATTGCTTGCCCGCAAATATCAGCCGTTGCTGGTCCGGGGGAATGCCTTCCTTGTCCTGGATCTTGGACTTGACGTTGTCAATGGTATCCGAAGATTCCACCTCCAACGTAATCGTTTTGCCCGTGAGGGTCTTAACGAAGATCTGCATACCACCGCGGAGCCGGAGAACCAAATGCAGGGTGCTCTCCTTCTGAATGTTGTAGTCGGACAATGTCCGACCATCCTCCAATTGCTTGCCAGCGAAGATGAGACGCTGCTGGTCAGGCGGAATACCCTCCTTGTCCTGGATCTTGGACTTCACGTTGTCGATTGTGTCCGAGGACTCAACCTCCAACGTGATCGTTTTGCCTGTCAGAGTCTTGACGAAAATTTGCATGCCGCCGCGCAGACGGAGGACGAGATGCAGAGTAGACTCCTTCTGAATGTTGTAATCAGAGAGAGTGCGGCCGTCTTCGAGTTGCTTTCCAGCGAAAATCAAGCGCTGCTGATCAGGGGGAATGCCCTCCTTGTCCTGGATCTTGGACTTGACGTTGTCGATGGTGTCCGAGGACTCCACCTCGAGGGTGATGGTCTTGCCGGTAAGGGTCTTAACGAAGATTTGCATACCGCCACGGAGGCGGAGGACGAGGTGGAGAGTCGACTCTTTCTGAATGTTGTAATCAGACAGGGTGCGGCCATCTTCAAGTTGCTTGCCCGCGAAGATCAGGCGTTGCTGGTCGGGTGGAATGCCCTCCTTGTCTTGAATCTTCGACTTAACATTGTCGATGGTATCGGACGACTCCACCTCAAGGGTGATGGTCTTGCCGGTCACTGAATGCGCGGTCAGTATCGGGTTCCTGGTCGAAAATCGGTCGTCGCCGGTGATGAGGAGCTCAACTTACAGGTCTTGACGAAGATCTGCATGATAGGCAAGCCTCCTTGTTAATCTGGAGTGGTTGAGTGATGGATGTAATGTTGCACGGGAAGCTTTTCGATGGCAAAATGAGGAGGTCGAAGTTGTTGAGGAGAAGGAGGAAGTGGGTGGGAGAAGGAAGGCGGGAGCTTTAAATAGCAGGAAGGGAGGCCGAGGGCGGTTGGCAAATGGCCGCAAACAGGCTCCCGGTGGCTGAGATGCGTCAGGCAGGCGCAGAAGCCAGCAAACGGTCAGTGCAGGTGCAGGGAAGTGGGGCGAAACTACCAGAACAGGCTATGAAGTGGGGCCAAGTGACAGCCTCGCCGCAAAGGATCGCCACCATTTGATCGTGAATTGTAAGCAAGAAGACTCTGCAGCCCGTCAAAAGACTTTACTTACAGCTGATTTCGAGGAGTCCTGAAATTCCATTGTGAAGGAGCTGAAATCCTAGCTTCTGTACAGAGCATCAAGAAGTTGGGAGCAACCGGACAGCCGCCGATTTCGCAGAACACCCGGTCCCTGCACCTCACTCAGCTCCCCCGCATTTGGCTGATAAGCCGGGCAAGCCGTGACGTGGCTGGCGAGCGCGAACATTGAACATTGAACAATTTGTCATCTTCATGCTCTTTGAACCAAAGTTGCTATAAGGGCGTAACACTGCCTTGATATTCAAAGTCTGGGATGCTGCAAACAGGTCAGCTTGTGGTGACGCTCCGCGCACTTCGGTCTTGTAGCAACGATCAAGCCTTGGGACACCTCACTCAGACATTCAACGTCCTCAACCGACACCACCTTACCGCCAGGGGCATCCGAGATGGTCACCTGAGATAGGTAGAAGAGGCAGGGCTGAGCGGGGCAGCTCGACGGCTTTTGAGCGACCACGCATTCGGAGTTCAAAGTCTACTTTTCGTTTTGATTGCCTCAGATCACTCACCTCAATTTGAATAATGCAGCACCCTTCCGTTATAGCGCTCCATCTTATCGTGTACACGTACATTACATTTCCCATTTTCCACCCCAGACCCCAACAAGGGTCCATTTGCCCACTTCAAGCAAAGGGACCGGAACTGGTGCACTCTGAAACAGGCCGTTTCTCAGCACAATAAAACACCAGCAGTAGTGTAGTCCGACATATCTCTCTCTGCACCACATCCATCCGAAAGCTATAATGGGCTAGTACCTCCGTTTTGCGAGATGGCGATGATGGATAATCTCCACCCCGAGCAGGTGACCGCCCTGCCGATCGACGTCATCGCGTGCCGAGAGCCCCACCTAAGCTCACTGCCCCTGTCAATCTTGAACAATCTGCCTGTTGGTGGGCATCCTTCCTTGTTGGAGCAGCTCGAGAGCAAGTAGTCGAGGTAGTATAGGGAAATGTTGCTACTGTAGCGAAGCAAGTGTGGTAAATAGCCCGCTTTGATCACAGTCACACCTGAACGCAGTTATCACCACTGTGACGGTCCAAACTCCAGAAGAGGGAGGAGAGAAGACGGTGTGAGCCAATCCCCAGCTCCAAGAGACGCCGCGACAACTCAGCCGCACCAGAGTGTCCTAAGGTATGCTACACTTTCAAACTGGAATATAAATTGTACGATAGCTTCTCCTGTTGTGGCCGCAGGGATTACCTAATCGCTGAAACGCGGCCAAATATCACCAATGCAGCGCAGACCTACCCATGCTAGGAGATGTACTTTGTACGGATCACAATACGAGTACTGTATTGCACATTGCGGAGTTGCCAAGATGATGGGCAGTATCCGAGAAGTGATCGATGAGGCAGTTCCGGGAACGCCCGACAACGGAGTCGCCGAAACCATACGGAGGTACAGTAGATTGCCGACAAGTTCGACCGACGACGACGGAGAGAGACACGTAGTTACACTGAACCGCCCTCAAAACAAATCTAAGAGACGAGCAGGGTTGGATTGTCTGGATTGTCTCGTAGGATCGCCCCCAAGGATGTTGGGCCCATCACATCCCGAGCGTCACTTGGGACTAGTGTCACAGCACCACTAGAGCAGGCAAGGCAAATTGACTCGGCTCAACCGGGAACTAATACCTTATATCAACATAGCAACGGATAGCTGCTTTCCCAGTCGCCGGCAGGGAGCCGCTCTGGCCGTACGGATTACAGAGCCTAGAGTACACTCAGCAACTCAAGTGAGACTTTTGGCCATTTCTGCCAAAACAAGACAGGAATATATCAAGCAGACGCTCAAGTACATGCAACATCGAACGCATTAAACAAGAAACTCATTTTCTATATGCTCTGTATTTCATCTTCGTAACCGCGTTGCGTAGCGTTGCGAGAAACATGAGATCATCTCAAGAGCATTTCCCGTACGTCTGTCCGTCCATGTCGAATAATTCCCGCAACCACAAATGCGCCCTTCCCATCCCTCCGTATTCCATTTGTCAATCGTCATCGCCATCTCATGAGAATGGCATACAAGATCGTTCGGTGCTGCATGGTGATAGGTGTGTCAGGAGTGTCGGGTGTTCCGTAGGTGTGTATGAAAAAGAGAAACAAGCGTGTGTATCTAACAACAAAACCATCCAAAAAAAATGATGCTATGGCGTGTAGTCATAACTCGATGCCTTTTCCGTCATGATGGACGTCAGTCATTTCCGTAAGCAGCATGGGTCCCGTGGGGAATCCAGCCCTTGAGAGAGGGTGAAGAACGTGAACCAAAATAGGGTAGCGAGAGTCGTCGTGGCAATAAGAAAGACTACTAAAAAGGCAAATAACATGGCATACAAACACAACGCCGTCGCTCAGCAGCAAAACAGAGATGAAAGACATATGAAAGGGGGTAAAAGAACAACAGAAATCATTACCCTCGCAGGTTGAATGGACGGTTTATAACCATCGACGACAACGGGGTATCGTAACGGAACAGCATGTCGAAGAAACAGAGGCGGAACCTAATTGGACCGGATGACCAGCTTCGAGAGAAGCTTGTTTGATAACGAGTCGAAGTCATATCGGTCAAACTTGGAGTCGGCACGCGTCCTCAGATACGCCTCTGCTCGCCGGGTTAGCCGAACGGTTTCACAATGGAGGAAAACCGTTTTCACTCACCATGCTTGATGACATGTTGCCGTACTTCGGTCATAGCCTCGCAGACAGCAGTGTTATTGTTGAGGAGCTGGCCGTGCCTACGGGTATCCCATTCGGTGAACGCCGGCAGCTTCTGCGAAATGGCATGGAAGAGACCGACAATGACACCGACCGGCACCGTCTCCATGTCGCTGCAAAACTTCTCTACGGCGACCGGGTCCGGGACGCGGTAGTGGCAGTCGAACTGGATCTCCTCCCAAACGGCCAGTAGGATGGAAGCGAGCATGAAAATAGTGGGCCAGTTCTTGAGGCGCTCTCCGCTGTAGACGCTCGAATAGAGAGCCGAGAGCTCCTCCAAGATGTCCTTTTGCAGCTCACGCCAGATGTCGGCCATGGCGCACTTAATCTGGAAGTTAATCATAACCGGGGCGACCACCTTGCCGTAGTACTTGGAGTCCTCGTCGTCGACATGGCCCTCCATCGGCTCTTCTGATGGCGGCTGCTCGACCAGGGTGATGTGCAGGGTGAGGTTGTAGGCCACGACAAGCTTGAGGGCTTTGCGGATGACTGGTAGCCTCTCCTTGGTATAGAAGCGATACGCCGTCTTGAAAATCTCGGTGATGAATGGCGTCCCCTCGAAATGGTCATCGATGAATTGCTCAAAGCCCTCATCGATATGCTTGTCGAGATACTCGTTGAGAGCCTCCATGGAGATGCCTTCCTGGCCCACATCGAGGCGCTCTGTACGGCTCTCAAAATCAATGGGATCCTGATCCTGCAAGCTCGACTCGACCCAATCGACTTGGAAGCAGCTGTCATCAGCCACAAATACCTCGCGAACCATGACTGGGAGGCAGAAGCCGTAACCGTGCGTAATCCACATGAGCGTCTCCTTCTGCGCGAAGCCCTTGACATTGAAGACGGACATGCCGCGGCCAAGGTGCCGCTCGTAGTCGGCCTTCCAGTCCTTCATGAAGTAGCCAATGTCCTTGATATCGATACGAGTGCAGGGAACCTGCCACAGGCGAGCATGCGAAGGCTGGCAGCCTGCGCACGGCTCGCCCTTGTCGCACGTCTTCTTGAGAAACTTGCACCGCAGACACGCTCTGAGTTTCCGAATCTCGCTGGCCTGCTTGCGCTGCTCCGGAAGCAATGGGCCACGTCTCCTGCCCACTTTCTTCTCACCCGTCCCGTCCTTCTTCCCCGACGACGTCCTCCGGATAACGGGCTTCGTTGCCTTGGCGATCGGGCTCTTCCTGGTTCCTGCCGAGTTCCGCCGTGCTGGTGGTGAAGTTGAGCCAGAACCACTGAAACCGCTGGCAATGACGGGCCTGGAGGTGGACACTGTCTTGATGGGCAAGGGTGAGACGGCCGCAGAAGGGCTGATGAGCTCAGACGATGTTGACGGCTTGTGGTGATGGTGCTCTCCAGGCAAGCAGTTGCGATGGTTGCTCGCCGGGTCCACAAAGCTGTCAGAGGCTGGCGAGAAGGGCGAATAGGGGAAGGTGACCTCCTCGTAGCTGCCAAACTCCAAGGAGTTGGCATCGGACGCGGTCGAGTCCGAGTTATTCCTCAGGTGGAGCGTCTGGCCCGGGTTGAAAATTGCCTGGTTCTGGGAATGCTGAGTCTGGGCGAAACTGCTGCAGCTTGGGTACATGTCGACCGTCGTCCAGCCATTGTCGCTGCTCGAGCCCAGCGACAGAACCTCAAGGTAGGTGCCGGTTGGGGAATGGCTCCCCAGGCTCCTCACACGGGCCAAACCATCAGCCTGGAAGTCGACCGTAGGCTCAAAATCCTGCCAGTTGGCCATTCCCGCCCCCCACTGCATCACCCGCGAAGTGGCATCGATTGGAGACATGGTGGTGAACGCTGGCTCCAGTTGGAGGCCAGCTTCAAGCGGGGCCTGGGTCGTCGTCGCTGGGAGATAATCAATCGGGGCCGGCTGAAAGTTGGAGGCATACGGGTTGAAGCTGATGAGGGCGGGATCCTGGATGAAGTGCGAGAGATCAGCGGCCGGTTGCTGCTGGGCCTGCAGAGGAAGAGACCAGTCGGGGATGAGGCCAGTGGTATTCGGGTGAGCAGCGGGCTGGTAAGGGGACGGCTGTTGCTGCAAAGGGCTCGACATGGCGCTTGTCTGATGGCTCGGCGAGTGGGCGCTCTGGTCATCTGGTGACGAGGGCGTCACGCTGGCCGAGTTGGGCGAGTGAACCGACATGGGCGCGCTCACAGTTCCGGCCAGCTCAAGAGGCAACCAGGTCGTCACCGGGCTCAGGCTTTGACGGCTCGCCTGGGACATGGTGGTCAGGTCCTGAGACGGGGCGGCCGAGGAGACAGCGGGATACGAGTAGCGGTCGCGCGGATCAAAGACCAGTTGCTCCAACAGTGCGGCTTCCCCCCCAGCGGCGTTGAAGTTGTAGGTCATGATGCCAAAACCAGGAAGGGAAATCAAGAGAAAGGGTCAGTCAAAAGGGTGCTGGAGGAGATTCGGAAGTATTGTCGCGCCGGGCTTGAACGACGAGGGGACGGACACCGCTCTTTCAGACTGCGTCGCAGACAAGAAAGAGACTCCGCCGAGGACGGATCCTGCGCCTTCGACTGCGTTGCTCGTGGAAAAGGGAAAGGAGGCGGCGCGCGAGTCTCGGAAGCGTGCGCCGGAGAAAGCGCCTGGTTTGCTCGGGAACGGAAAGATCGCTGGCGTCCCAGAACGGGGGGTTAAGGTCACTGTGGTGGAGAGTTTCCTCGCCCCCGCCCCAGCTGCCGCTCAAAGCAACTCGCTCCTCTGGGAGTTGAAGAAGAAGCGGTGAGAGACTGCATGACCCCGGCTCCGAGGCGGTTGCTGATTGGATTCATTGGAAACCTGCATGCTGGGCATGGAGGAGACTGCCGTCCAATCGTCCAAAAGCCACTGCAAGCTTCTATTGGCTGGGTTGGCACCGGCTTGGGTTGTCGTCTGCCGTGCTGCACTGTGTCGGAACTTAGAGTTTCATTCAATTTGCCAGGCTCGCGTCTTTTCCAGCCCCGCCGACAGCTGTCGAACCAAGTGACAGTGGCTCAGCCCGCTTCGGGTTAGGTCCAGTGTCCAGAATTGTTGTGCGAGGTATCCCGCCACAAGCGTAAGACGGAATGACATAACTCTGGTGCTAAATAGCTACACTCTGACGATTGCATTCTTTTTTGTCGCCTACGGGTTGAAGTTGTCGAGAGGTGGTTCATTGCCTTGCATTGATCATTTGTTGTGAGCGTCAGCCCACAACTGAATTTGGGACATTGGATGTGTTGGAGAGCGGCTTAGCCCAAACACTGATATTCTTTCAGCAGTGAGGTTTACAAGTTCAGGCAAAATGCAGGTAAGTCAGAGTTAAATAGTAATCCTACAACAGATTCTCTGTAGACATGAGCTATTGCTGTTGTCTTTCTTTCACTTTTGTTTCCCAGTTCTTTTCCCCAGACCCCCCTTGTATTTGCCATCTTTCTTTCCTTTCCCTGGCCCTTTTGACCAGGAACCCGCTCTCCGCCAGTGGCGTGCTAGCAAACTTGAATACACTATGGTAAGGTAAGGTAGCCTTGGACTCTTCAAGTTGCGCAGGTCTCTCCGAGACCTTGGCGGGCTCACATGCCCCGAAACGACCTACGCATGAGAAGCACAACTGTCCTCGTACCTAAAGAACATCAGATTGCATCTCGACTGGACAACGTGGGCTTGAAACACAAGTTATTGCCCTAGATATACCCAACGGCTTCTGTTACACGGCATGACCAATCCTGTTTGGCAGCGTTGCTGTTCTGTGCTACATCGGCTTCTGCCGAATCATCTCTTCGGGCTGCGTCTCGCCCATTGGCGGCTGTATACCCTGGGAGGGAGGCGATGAAAAGGTTAATGGGCGGACTGTCCTCAAGTCATGCAGGTTTCCGCTCCGTCCTCCTACCTGGGCTGTGTTCTACTGGTGCATGATAGAGTGTTTCGGTGTGCGAGTTATGGTTGTAAAATGGAAGTTTTTCCATTGCGAAATTTTCATGGAATCTGAGAAATGTATCATTCAAGGCTGTCATGAAATTGCTGGCGGAAGTAGCAATATATGATCCGCTAGGGTTAGTACTTGATTTGGGTGTCGTAAGCTGTCGGAGACCGAGATGGCTAAGGGGTGGTGTCTAACCCTAACCTTCTTACCCCTTACCACTTGCTGAAATAGGAGAACTGAAATACTTGAAATTCGACATTTCAAGGCCCTGTTTTCATTTTCCATGGTTGGGACCTTTCCGAAATTTCGCAACCCTACAGGTAGTGCAAGGGCTTGTCCCTGGGAAGTTTGTCTCGGAAGTCTGAAATTCTTGTCATGAGCACATAACAGCTTCCCCCATCTACAAGCCATTCGTGGTTTTGCTGTGCCCTGGACAACCTACCATGATGTCCTCCAACTCAACCTGATTTAGCTGTCAAGCCACCCAAAGCATGATGCTAGACAACGTGGGAGTCCTTCTCTGCAACCTCGCGACGTGTTGAAAGTGTCCCTAGGTTGCAAACAAGGTCTCTTGGAGTATCGTCCAAGTGCCTGGTTATATTTCCCCACTGTGCAAACATCTTGATCGTCCGCACCCACTGTTTGTCCGCATTTAATTATCTGATATCCCCGAAGTGGGACGACCAGCTGTTTGCCGACCCTGAACTGACGAACCTTCAAACTCTGTATAAATATGTCAACTGCTGCCCTTGGAGCACTTCGAGCATCTCAAACTTCGAAGAGATCAATTGGCCTTCAGCTGTCATACCGCCGACAGTAATTCCGCTGCCAGATCCCAAGATGCCGATGCCGATGCCGACTCAACAGTCCGGTTGTTGATCCCACAGTCTGAGCTGGAGCGGCTTGTCCGCATCTAGACAAGATGCTGGATTCCCTTCTCCGCGCAGGGGTCTCGAACGCGATTGTTCTCCTCAAGACTCCACCGGACTATCGCCGCCACCATGATGCGATTCATAGGGGCTTGCTTTCAATATTCTCCCTTGTGTCCTGTTGATATGAGAGTCAGGTAAAAGGAAAGAACGATTGGGGGTATCGGTCATGCTTAGAACCGATTCAACCGAGCCTCAAGACCGGGTCGGGGGATCAGGACCCCGGCAAGCGGGATCCGTTGAGGGGCCCAACGATAAGACGAGAGTTTACACACACTTACCGTTTGCTGACCTGCTGCCACGCGACGGCGCGTTCCAGTCAAGGCCTGTGACAGTGGCCCAATACGGATTCGGCTTAACCCCCGTGTTTCCGTGGCCGGGGAAGCTCCGGGATCCCGGCAGCCGTGGGTTGCTTTTCGGAGCTTTTAATCCAAACTAACCCTTGAGCTTGTTGACCGCCGGAGATGCAATAATTGTGTACAGAAGAGGGCAGTCTGGTGTTGCCGATTTGACCACAGTAGTCTCTGAAGTTCAGAGTAAGGCGCAGACTTGTGAGGGTTGCCGAAATTCCTGCAGGTCAATTCGTGCAGAAGTCGAGAGTGTTTGAGGTCTCAGGACCCCTCACATCCCAACATCGATAAAAAGGGCAATTCACAGGATGCTGACAATATTAAAACAAAAGAAAAAGAAGAAGACGCGAGAGACAAAGGGGGATGGAAATCCATAGTCTGCAGCGTTCTTGTTGCTCGACAGGGGCAGCCAGTGGCTGGTGCTGAAACCTCGACCAACGATGAAGGGGCAACTCGAGTTTGTTGAAGGCGCCGGAGAATCAGACGACAAGAGGATGGTCCGTTTACAGTTCCGATCCGACTGTCAATAACGAGCCTCCGGCTCCGGGTCTGGCCGGTAGTTTTTGTCGGATGGGACGGGGGCCAAGGGCCGATCGCTGACCGGGGTCGGGCATGTGCGTGCCCGGGGTCGTGGTGACACACCGCAGCCATCCCTTAGTCAATAAAGCAGAAATACCACCGAGATCTACCTAGGTATGCCGTCGTTGACGGAGATATGACGCCGGTGGAAAACATCAGACAATGCAACCTATTGTAAAGTAGGTAAGGGATAAACCAGTGGTAAAGGAGGAGGTGGCGTATCCGCACCTTCGTTACTGAACTTACTGGAAGAGACCGCCGAGAAACCCACTTTCGACCTCCCCGGTCTTGGCAACCGCCGCCCACACCCACGACAACGGCCGAGCCCAATCACATTGCTCCTGAATGCAAACATTCAAAACTTTCCATTTGCGGCATGCCAGAATAATGTTAACGAGGACCCGGTCGTAAGTATTGTTCCTCGGCCTGGATATTGCTTCCTAGAGGAACGGTGAAATCACATACAAACAAAGGACCCTCGATGCGTCAAAAAGGCGTTGCCTTCCCGTGGAGAAAGATGGCCACCCAACAGCGCCGTCCGCCAGCACCGCCGTCGCCCGCGCACCTAAGCCCGGACAGCGAAACAGTGGACGAGGAGATAATACCCAACAGAAGACAGCCAGGCCTCATGATTCCCGACCTCTTCACCCAGCTCCCGCCCGTCCGGGACGTACTGGTCACCGAGACCTCCCAGGTCCAGGACGAGACGGTCGAGCTCTGCTTGCCGTTGCTGAGTGGGGAGAGCGAAGAGCTTCAGTACAACGAGCACGGGGTGCCGCCGCTGGACCGGGAGAGGCATGTTAAGTTTCTGCATCAGTGTCTGGGTCAGCTGCCCGGCCGCTTTGTCGCCGCCGACGCCAGCCGCCCATGGTTCCTGTACTGGTGCCTGTCGGCACTCACCATGCTCGGGGAGGACGTGACGCCCTACCGCCAGTCGCTCGCAGCGACTGCGCGCTCGATGCAGAACGACACGGGAGGTTTCGGCGGCGGCGGCAGGCAGCTCTCGCACATGGCTACCACCTACGCCGTGGTCCTGTCGCTTGCCCTGGTGGGGGGCGACGAGACATATGAGGTTGTCGATCGCAAGGCCATGTGGAGGTGGCTCTGCAGTCTTAAGCAACCAGACGGCGGGTTCCAAGTTTGTCTCGGGGGCGAGGAAGACATCAGGTACGTCGATGTTCTGAACAGAATGTGCGTGCGAGACCCCGGCTAACCGCCAGGATAGAGGTGCTTATTGCGCAGCTGTCATCATCTCGCTATTGCGTCTTCCGCTGGAGCTGGCGCCAGAGTCTCTTGCATATACGGGAGACGGCAGCGTGAACCTTCTGACTGGGGTAGGAGACTATGTACGGCGATGTAAGCATCAAGGATGCATGTCCGTTTATTCTTCAGGCGATCGCTAACCCTGGGCAGGCCAGACATTTGAAGGCGGCATCTCCGGCCAGCCAAACGCCGAAGCCCACGGGGCATATGCCTTCTGTGCCCTAGGTTGCCTCGCACTCTTGGACCACCCAGGCCGCAGCATTTGGAGGTATGTACGCAGCATCGGCGGTGGGGTGGTCCTGCAGCTATCCACCCAGCTCTGCATCCACGTGTGGCAAATAGAGCGCTGCAGCACGCTGACGATGAAGGGTTATGCAACAGCTACCTCGACGTTCCACGGCTGATCGCCTGGCTGTCCTCACGACAGTACGCACCCGAGGGCGGCTTCTCCGGGCGCACTAACAAGCTCGTCGACGGTTGCTACAGCCACTGGGTTGGCGGGTGCTTCCCCCTGATCGAGGCATGCCTCAACAGCACCAGCGGCGGTTGTGGGGCCCCGGCCGCAGACGATCCGGCCATCGCTGCAGCCAGCAGCAAACGATTGCCGCCAGCAGACGAGAGCCTGTTCAACCGAGAGGGCCTGATCCGGTACATCCTCTGCTGCTGCCAAGATCAGACCAAACGCGGCGGCCTGCGCGATAAACCGGGCAAGTAAGTGCATTCACAGTCTCGTTTCTCTACCTTACCTCTCCTCTTTCGGCGCTAGATCTCGCCCCGTGCCCAGTAATGTGCGATATTATGCCATGCCATATTATGCTTGCTTACTTACCACCCCCCCACCCAAAAAAAAGGATGTCAGACGCCTATCATTCGTGCTATGTCCTCTCGGGGCTAAGCTCCGCCCAGCACCAGTGGGTGCTCGACGAGCCCGAGCCCGAGGCAACCCAACAACAACTGAAAGGGCAAGCCGAAGGCTTGGTCCCCGAGAAGACGGCGGGTGAGGGAACATTATCGTCATCGCCGCTGTCGTCGTTGCCCGGAGGAGAAGCGGTGTGGGCCGTCCTGCCGTATCTCGACGGCCTGCGGATCTTTGACAACACGGACCGCGTGCGCCCGATCCACCCCGTCTACGCCATCCCGCAGCAGAGTGTGAGGGCCATGAGGGAGTATTTTCGGGCGAGGCCGGGGTTTTGATTTGCTCGGTATCGATGTCCATGACGGGTGACCGTGAGAAGAAGAGTTCGGCTTAGTTCGTTATTTCTTTCTTACGGTGCCTCCATCGACACCATATAAGTGAGAAAGGATTGTGTAGCCACCTAAGAGGGGAAGAGGAGAATTGCAAAGACCTCACAAAAAAGTTCGGCCTGCTAAAACTCCTCGTAGTATGACTACCTGACTGGCTGTGTCTTGGACGGTCCGAGTTCGGCATGGGAATGGGAATCCGGTGCTTCATGGGACCTGGCTCTGAACACGGATTGAGAGTACATGTGTACTATTGCCGCAAGGAAGCGGTATACCAGAACTGGTGAGACTCAGCAACCAAGGTGCAGCCGCGCATCTGGATTTCAATCTCACTTACGTGCTACACGTCAAATCCCCTTGCCACTCGCCCCCCACTGTCGCTCTCACCATAATTGCTGCTCGACTGATGCTTGCAGATATCGCGGTCAAGCTGGGACACACTCCGCTTGCCAGGTAATGCAGAGCTGCACCAACCAGTCCTTGCGTAAATTCTAAAGGGTGTGGCAACCCTCCCCGCTGTTGAGAAATGCTGGATCCGGACGTTGTCAAATCCTTCCCTGCAACCACACTCGGGAGAGGCCGTCAGAGGGAAGACCCGCCAATCCGGACCGCTGCTGGTGCGGCTGGTCCGAGACGCGTCCGTCGCCGGAGTCGCGGGGTCATTTCTGATGAGCGCTCCTCTGATGTGATGTTTTGCAGGGACGACGACATCTGCGGCCAAAGCCGAGAGAGCCAGAAGCGGGCCGAAGCTGAATGCAAAAGCAGAGTTTAACCTGGTTGCATGCCAGATTGGCCGATACGCTCGATGACAAACTTGTTCTCTCATCCTTGGCAACCGAGGCGTCGAGTCATCCGTCTGTCCCGTCTCTTCGGACCCAGTTGTTTCCGCGTTACCTGCAAGACATGGCCGTGGGAATGGGCCTCGGGATGGGCCCCAAGATGGCATCCGGAGGAGGGCCGACTGTGGCCTTCCAGATCATATATGAGTCGGCCAGGCCCCCATGCATGACAGCAAGGCTTTTGCATGCACTCAGGCACAACTGCTGCGATGTAATCTGCTCAAAGTCCTGTGTGAGCGATCTAGGGACGTGGATGGCAGCGTCGAAAGATACGCTCGTGGTTTTGAAAACAGGCGAGCGCTCGCAGGCAGCGGCCAATGGACGGCTCAACCCATAAGGAACTTTGAGGCTATCCCGCGCGGTTAATGCCGCTCCCCTTTTTCCCTTCCCCAAGTCTCTTCGGTGGTGTTGCGATTGTCTTGTTTAGGCTGCGGCATCAATGATGCGTTTGGGTATCTTGATGGTGCAGCGGTCCCGTCCGTATATTCCAGTTGGCCGGGCTCTGAAGGTAAAACCTAAGGCCTGACGTCGTGCCGCTGTTGCGGGGGCGGCACGGAATGGTCCTGTTTCTACCCCTGTTCGTGATGTTGCGGGGTTGGAGCCCTCCCTGCTCAGACACAAACGATATACCGGTAACCGTACAGTGTACTCCGCAGTTTTGGCAATTCAGTCACCAATTCATTGAACCAGAACTGCTGGCTCCGGCTCGCCCAGTTCACCCATACTAATAGGATTTGGTAGCGATTTGACCAATGATGAGGAATTAGGAGAAGGAAGGAACATATGGAGAAGACGCGCTTGTCCCGTGTGAGCTGTCAGCGTGGCTCCATCTTAGTGGTGAGCAACGATACCGCCATATGTGTGAAGAAGCTTAAATCCAACCGTCAGCTTGCTTGTGGCTGACGCCGCCGATGTTTCGAAGTTGAATCCAAAAGCCTACAGGATTGGCCAGGTCTTGATTGCAAAGTATTTCCATGTGCTCATAGGGCCTGGCTCTTTTCCAACCACTCAGCGCTGAGAGACTAGGTGTACTGTACGATACCCATGGTGATGGGCAGGGTTCGGCACTCGAACTGACTCGTTTTTTTAGTTGGTCTGTGACCAAAGTTTGATCCCGCCTGCTAGGCCATCCGATGTCTCAGCTGCCTCTCATGCCCTCGTCTGCCTTCCAAAACTCCGGGCCATGGTGAGTTTGATGGTTTGGTTCCGTAACCGAATAGTTGGAGTATTTCCTGATTATGTATTACAAGCACGCTTACCTTATAGTCTTCGACCCGCAACCCGGACCCCCGATGATCTATCTGCTCTTCCGTCGCAACTCAAAATTCTTTACATTGCAATTCTCACGCTCACCTTACAAAAAACCCATCACATAGGTCAACTCGCTCCGCCCGGGCAATTGCTGGAAATCAGCCCTCGCTCGGAACCTCCATCTCCATGCTTTCCCTTGGCTGGATGAGCATCGTGGGGTCCGCGGCTGATTGCGGGTTGTGCTGTTGGCGACGCACACCTTCGTCCGAATCGATTCGCCATGCATTTGCCCCCTCGCGCGCCGGTCCATACTTGGCCTCTGTGTTTAATATCAAAAAGCATTGCCAACTCATCATTGCATGAGCGTTAAGGTTGGCCTGTGCCTGGTTGCCTTGCGATCCCTCTGGCCATTCAGAGACGCTGCTTCGTCATTAGGGCCAGATGTCGCCCATGCAAGGGTTTTGCGGCCCCAGCCACCAGCGCAGCGTTCATGCATCTCATCGCTTCCCTCACCGACTTCGTGGTGTGGCCTCAACCCAGTCTTTCCAGGGAGCCAGGGAGCATAGGGAGGGGCACACTTCGCAATCGGGACGATCAGGGTCAGACGTCGTCCAATGCCTCGCTCGTGCGTTTCTCAGTGGTCCCGAGAGTCGATGAGCTGTCGTCCCGGAAAACCAAATCGTCCAGTTCTCATTCGCCAGCCCCCGGCCCTACACGTGTAATGACAGTTGTATGTCACCGGAACGCCTTCCAGTACCGCCCGATACCGCTCTCTGGGTGCGGTTCCTTTTCACATCGCTTGCCGACGGTGACGGAAATGCGAGACTGGCGGATCGCCCGTAACTCACGCCCGCATGGACCCCCAGAACCGCGTCGAAGAATCCTCTCTCCACAGCACTGCAGGTGCAGGTCGCCGGGACACTGCATTGTCGCTAACTCTTTTGAAGCGTCAGCGTTGCTTCCCGCACCCACGACCCACTCCTTGAATGTACGTACTCCGAGGTTGCTGTTTTGCCGCGGACTGCTTGTTTGTGGTCTGGCATCGCAGCCAAGTACATACAATACCTTCTGCGTCCAACTGCTTGACGGTTGTACACGCATTCCATTGGCGGTAGACACTCGCTCATTATCCTCAACGATGAAGGGGCGAACAAGGCTATCCCTTCTTCTGTTGCTTGCCGAACTGAGCAGGGTGGGGGGTCCTTCGAGATCCGGCAGCAACAAACAGGCAACGTTCTCCGAAGCTCTTCGTACCCGGGCCGCTTTCACTCGCTCCCTCGGGGGTCCGGCGTCCCGGTCAGATCAAGTTCGGTTTTGGGTGGTCGAATTTGCCACCGTTACATATTCGAAGCCGTTGACTCTATGTGCAAGCAAGATGGGCCCGGCCAAACACCAAGAGGGATGGTAGAGGTTTGAGGGGCCGGCGGGAATCGCCAACACTGCAGCATCGTACTAGGGCCTCTTCTTTCCCCGATCCAGACTGGCCGGACTTATCAAACGGCATTCCTCTTAGGATGGTGCATTCCCCCATGTTGTTGGTGTGGAGATGGGCCGGTCTCTGCGGTTGTATCAACTGGCAACGACACGAGCCAGCACATCAAGATGGGTCGCACTTTGAGCCGCATCTCCCAGTGGACATGCGTCTGACGACCCATTACTCCTCTCCGTTCCCTACCTATCCGTCACTTCCCTGTTGCATTCGTTTCTGATCTGGGCATTTCTTGCCATCTCCTGCCCCGCATTATCCTCCCAGTCACCACAATAAATCACACTTGTCTCGCCGGTGCTGACCCACGGCATCCCCTTCCTGCGTCGCCCTGGATACGTAGCATATCAGCCTTAACCTCCTCAAGCTCCCAGCTCACACCACCCTCCTTGTCGTGAGACAAGCTTTTCACCTCCCTGCGTTGCCCTACTTTTTTTCTCCGTGGCATCAATACCGCATCTCCCTTAGGTTGGGCTCGACTGCAGCACATCACAACCGAGTCTCAGTTCCCTGCCCGGCAGTTTTGTTTACACGCTTTGCAGCACACGTTGCCCCTCGGTGCCATCATTCATCTTTCTCACATTTTTCCAACCACGCGAGGTATACGCGGGCCACATTGAAGCCAATTGACACAATGGGCGGTTTCTACATGCAGTACCTGGAAAGTGAGTCGTCGACTAACTCTTCAGATTGTTCATTCACTCGTTTACGCCGCTGTTGTCAACCCTGATCGCACCTTATTCCCGTTGCGGTAGGGTGTCATTCATGATGGAGGGCGTGCCCACGTGGTTCTCCCCCCACATAGATCTGTACACGGTCCCTGACTTTGATACCCCTGGCCACCACGTCTCGGCCGTGCCATCTCTCGATCTGGCAGCAGTCCACTGCATCCCATAAGGCTGAGGGCGTTCATGTTGGGCTGTCATGCAGCTTGCTTCGCATCAACCGAGTCTCGTACACCCTCCTGTTCTCGGGCTTCGAGCCCCGCTAGCAGAGGCACGGAGCCCAATGGGCAGAGCTTGTTGAACATAAGGCTAACCGAGAACGTCTTTACAGGCCTGTGCCGGAGGCGAGGATGGCATGACCCCATGTATGAATGCTACCGGGACTCTAATGGCTACACATGCCTGGTCCTGGTTAATGGGCGCGAGTACCAGACGGATCTCGCATACGAGTCGAGCACCCTGGCTCAGGAGAATGCGGCCATGCGCGCGTTTATGGTCTGCCGGAACTTCTCGGTCAATGGCGGCATGCTCGCCCGCAACGGGATTGTCCAGGGCCTGCCTGCCGATGACACGAGTCGCAAGGCCAGAAAGGGCAGCCGGCACACGTCCTCGTCCAATCACGGACACCGGAGCAGGTCTGGCCATCACTCCAGCAGCAGCTCGACCACCTCACTAGAGTGAGGCTGCGGGACAGAGCCGCATTCCTTGTGTGACGGGACTCCCGGGGACAGGATTGAGATTCGTTGAATCCTAAGATCTGCCCTTCGAACCACCCACGGATCTGGATATCCAGGCCCAATCAACGGAGAGCAGAAAGGCTCAAACCACCTTACCACCATTCAAACGCCATGCCTTTTTTTATTTTTTTTGCGATACACTCGGACAAGGCTTCACAGCGACAGGGCGGGGAGAGAGAGCCAGAACAGCCGCCGATTATACCCCATTGATGGATTCAGCATTCAGCGGACTTGGAGCAGGAGCACAGGTGATGAAGACACGGATTTTCCATTTCCGGAGGGAGGCAACCCGCTTCGATTATTTGCATTTTCACGCCATGATTGAACGACCGTTACGACTCGACGTAGACAAAGTTCGGCATTTTGACGACCCATTTCAACCTGCATGATCTATACGCCACCCGGCCAATACCTCCAGCCCCTCGACAGCATAGCATGGTTGGAGCCAGGTTCTGTTTCTCTACGTTCTATTTCTGCAACGTACTTCGAAACACTCGAAGGCCCGGGGATTTTGTTACTCTTCACCAATCTCTTGCCCCCTTTCTAGCTGGGCTTGACAGAACCAGCCGGACTGGAAGACCTCGAAACAAAGACATCGTCCCAGAGGCAACCCTGGTTGTCGGCCATGGGAAATACCAAACTGCCGCATTTCGGCTGGGCCACTTCGTTTTCCTTGTTTGTCTCCCGGTGCTCCGAGTCTCGCTGCTGGACGAGCTACCCATGGGAACGGAACTCGCCTCCGGATGGGACGTCTCGCGAAGGTCAGGCTGATTTGTTCTCTCTGCATTCTTTTGGCATATTACCTCAGGAGGCTGAGTATTGGTGTCACGACGTTGGTTACCTTTCCTGGCCATCCATGGGGCGCATTATCCTGGATTGAGATCAGTTACGCACTGCTATGCATTGCGGTTTCACGCTTTGTACCGCATTACCAGCAAAAGAATTGGATGCATTCAGTTTCAGTATACTGGTGGTTGGCTTTTGTTCCAGAGAGGGAAAACCGGTGAACATGGATCGTGGAGGGTGAAAACTGGTGGGTGTTGGGCCTTTTCTCCGTTTTTTTTCCCCAATCAAGCGGGATGTTACGCGCTTGACGATTGACGACTGATGATGATGACAATGATCCATGAGCAAAGAACATATTGGGGGGAGGGACTTGTGGGCACTTCCAAAAGACGGGCTGCTGATGATAAGATGATTGCTTATGAATTGAACAATATCTGTCCCCCTTCCTTGGGGGACGATGCTATGAAGGGACTCGCTGCTCTAGGTGATGTGGTAAGCGAAGGGACTCACTCGTGCCGGCTCGAGTGTGTGAGAGATGGTGGGTGGTGAGTGCAACCCGGCTCGGCACTAACCTTATTGCTCCCCACCATCATGATTCTATGAGCCGGCTTGCTGGGTTCAGTCACTGGATTATCCAAGTATGCATTCCCCGTCAGCGTCCTGTACCTCCGCGGCGACGAGCTCGACGACGTTGGACTTGCGCCCTGTCTGCTTCAATCGCCCCGTCGCTCCCATCGCCATTGTTGTCCACCTCCGACACCATCACAAAGCAAGGAGCCATTGAGGATGTTGACCACGAGGGGGCCTCCCAACATCCAACGCGTTCGGCAATAACATCTATGAAAATAATGACGAGACTGCCCCTCTCTCCCTTGTCCGGGCCGCCCAGCTAGGCCGGTCAACATTGGAAGCACAGTATCCAGGATACGATTGTCTGTGCCGGCTGGGATGTGGAGGAGGAGGAGGACGGAGGAGAGGCGGGGACACAAACGAGGAGCAGGGTAAAGAAGAGGAGGAGGCCGGAGAAGCGAGAGGTACGAAAGAAGAAAGAACTAAGAGACTAAACTGGTGATGGTACAAACCAAACCGTTGCCTTGTGCCCTTACCTGGTATCCTAAGTCTTGTACCAGTGGACAACCTGCAGTGGGTGACGGTTATCGGTGGCTGCTGTGGGTTGGGATAAGATCTATTGGGGGGGGGGGGGGCCCATGATATCTTATGCGCCGCGATCCGTATTCCATATCCCAACATTGGCTTCAGATGTTGAGTTTGTGTGTGTACTGTGTAAGTGGCCCTCGGTCCCTGCATCCATGGGTACGTGCGGTGCCGGCGTACCGTTTTTCCTGTGTCATCTTCCCAACCTGAACAGATGATACTTTGAGACCTGGCTTTTGACCTGCAAGAGTATACAGTAAGGTATGCTACTCGAGGAAATCGTGATTCATGGGGTACTGACGTAAGGTAGATGCTTTATGCTACTCTCTCCACGTCATTCCCGGGTGTGTGATTCGTACACCTTGTCACCGTAATGCTTATAGACTCTGGCTACTAGTGTACAGCCCCTTGAAGAGTCTCATGAGACGTCTCTTGAGAGATCTGTCGCCAAGATCCACGCCTTCTGGCCCCCATCTCTAGGAATCTCGTGTTTGACCAATTTCAAGGCCCTGTTGATGTTGACGGTAAGGGTTCAATCCCTAAAACGGACAGCGATTGGACCCAAGCCATCAATTAGTCATTGAAGCCTTGATTTGAAAAGTGTGCAAATGACTCGCGCGGGACTCGAGAGCAGGTGGCCATAGTGAGACTCATCCTTTGTTGGTGCTACAAGCCTTTGAGTTGTTGTGGGCTGGTGGTGCTGTCTCCGAACAAAAAACCGCAGCATTGCCCCTAGCCCCTGACTCTTCCCCCTGATTTCCGGTGCCCATTGATGAGAGAGTAAAGTTACGGCTCCACTCAGGAACTGCTGCAGTGTGATCCAATCTCGCCATTGAGCAATGCTGCACGCTGATTGGCGTCATTTGGCATGTGGTCTGGGCAACCCCTCGTCCTGGCCCAAAGCAACCCTCATCTGGTGAAGCCCAATGCTCTGAGCAGACCCCCCGAGAAAAGGTGTCCTCCTTGCAATCCCATCTTGCGCTCTTGCCACCTCGAGATTCCGCGACTCGTGATCGCGTTTTGTGTCTCGTGTCTTCTTTTGCAGCTCGTCACTGCTGCTGTCGGGGAACCTCAAAGGCAGCTGCTTCAGTGCCGTATTTCACTCTCGCCTTCCGCCCGCTTCCCAGCCTTTCCGACACCTTACCTTTCTTACGCTCGTTGATTCCCCTTTTGCACGATTCGCTCGTTCACCACCAGCAACCATGAAGGGTAAGCAAAGCAGTGTCAATTCCTTCTATCACGACGCACAACATGTGCTAACCTTGGCCTTGCGGGCGGCAGCTTTAATTCTTGTCGGCGGCTTCGGCACGCGCCTGCGCCCTCTTGTACGTCGTCCCCCAATGCTGCCTGACGCGAACTAGCAGACGGGCAAACCACTCTGCTTTCGACTCCTCGTGTTTTGCGACATGTATGGTTAACGCTGTCTTCCCAGACCCTGACCCTGCCGAAGCCCCTGGTCGAGTTCGGCAACAAGCGCATGATCCTGCATCAGATCGAGGCACTTGCCGCCGCTGGTGTCACCGACATTGTTCTGGCTGTGAATTATCGCCCTGAGATCATGGAGAAGTACCTGGCCGAGGTTGGTGGCTGCCCCTTGCGACAAACAGAGTACAAAGGGAACGGACAGCTGAGATAACTTTCCTCACCAACAGTATGAGAAGGAATTCGGCATCAATATTACTATCTCGATCGAGAGCGAGCCTCTAGGCACGGCCGGCCCCTTGAAGCTCGCCGAAAAGGTCTTGAAAAAAGATAACTCGCCCTTCTTTGTGCTCAACTCGGACATAACCTGCGAATACCCCTTCAAGGAGCTCGCCGAATTCCACAAGTCGCACGGTGACGAGGGCACCATCGTCGTCACCAAGGTTGAGGAGCCGTCCAAGTATGGCGTCATTGTCCACAAGCCCAACCACCCCTCACGCATCGACCGCTTCGTCGAGAAGCCCGTCGAGTTCGTCGGCAACCGTATCAATGCCGGCATCTATATCCTCAACACCTCGGTGTTAGACCGCATCGAGCTCCGCCCCACTTCCATCGAGCAGGAGACCTTCCCCGCCATGGTCAAGGACGGCCAACTACATTCGTTCGACCTCGAAGGTTTTTGGATGGACGTCGGCCAGCCCAAGGACTTCCTCACCGGCACCTGCCTTTACCTGTCCTCGCTCACGAAGAAGGGCTCCAAGCTGCTGACGCCGGCCACCGAGCCGTATGTGCACGGCGGCAACGTCCTGATCGACCCGTCGGCCAAGATTGGCAAGAACTGCAGGATAGGGCCGAACGTGACCATCGGCCCGGACGTCGTGGTGGGGGACGGCGTCCGGCTGCAGCGTTGCGTTCTGATGGCCGGGTCCAAGGTCAAGGACCACGCCTGGGTCAAGAGCACCATCGTGGGCTGGAACAGCACGGTCGGCCGGTGGGCCCGCCTCGAAAACGTGACGGTCCTGGGCGACGACGTGACCATCGGCGACGAGATCTACGTCAACGGTGGCAGCATCCTGCCGCACAAGACCATCAAAGCCAACGTCGACGTTCCGGCCATCATTATGTAAACAGAACCAGATGACTTGGCAATGTCTTGAGAAATGGCTCTATTATCTCATCCTTCCTTTTTCTTCATTTGGGATACATTATGCCTTTCTAAAATCCTCTTCTGTACCCCCCTTTCTAATACCGACTCGAAGCAACAACCCAACAACAAAAAACACCACTCTCACCTCTTCCGCTGGAAATCTCCTCTTTCTACCATTCGCCAACACTTCTGCTTACCAACACCCACTCCTCCGAACACTGTTCAGTATCTAGATCTGAGCGACTCGCTGCCCACCTACTCGGTTTCCGGCAGTAGCCATGGCTTGCCAGGTACCCAAAGCCACCAGCATTGGGAACAAAAAGACTAGGGAGCAGGGGAGGGATATATATTTCTTCTAGGGTGCATTAAGGGAGTAGAGCGGGGAATGGGGTTAAAGGGAAAGGGCTATGGATGACCTGCACTGCGAATCAATCAGTTATCATGGGAAGACGGTCTGGGAAAATGATACGGCGTGGGCTGGTTGTTGGTGGGTGGGCATTCCGGGCCTGACTTTCCATCGTATTTCGATGGGTAGGAATCTGTCGTAGGGCAATGATTGTCGTTGAACCAGCCTCGTTGGATCTTTTGGTGAAAAGCAATGCATGCCTTGCTCTTGGGTGTGTGTTTTGATAGTAGGATGCTGTTGTCATTCAGTTATTGTCCTTTGCAGCAAAAAGAGCTCCATCGATCACTGAAGGTCACCCGGTGACGTTATCTGATGGGATGTATGCAATGTGATCAAAAGGATCAACAAGCCGTGAGCTGAAAATGCCCACGTCTTTGTGGAACCCGGCGCAACAAACGGATCGCCAGGCGTATGGCATCATCCTGTGGCGGTTCTGGAAGATCAGTGGAATCTAGCATATGGTTTAGTTAGGAGTCTGGTACCTCGAGGAACGCAGTCAAGTTTTCTAACACTGCGGAAGAAATGAAGCATCAATGTGTGTTCAGTGACCTTTAAAGTACAGAGTCAGGTCAATGGGGATGTTGGAAATAGGAAGCAAGCCTAGAGACTTGCAGTACACGGTAGATGGCATGTCAGCCGGCATGAGTCATGGGTGAGGCTCTGAACCGTCCTGACTCAAGGCACATATAAGTTCCAAGATCATCAGCCATGCCCAAACATCTAGCCATTGATAGTGTACAATACAGGCAGCCCGGGGACCCAACCTGTTCCTCCTTCTATCGATCGTTCAGGTTCCGCTGACGTTGATGTCATCCCGGATGCCACACACAGGAGCTCCGATGATCATAAGAGTGATGTGGGGTGTACACAACTTAAGTCTCCCCCTCTGAATCAGCTCGTTATTCCACATGCAGCATGACCTGTTACAGGCGTCCCCCATCAGGAACCCTAGGCGTCTTTCTTGCTCTTGAGGCGTGGTTTTATGGGAAGCTCCTCAGCTAGGTAATATTGAGTGTGAAAAGACTTGCAGTCGGTTTGCAGAGAACACTGAATGGCCTTGTGCCGCAAATTCAACCTGATGTTGGGCGCAGAATAAGAAGAAACAGCCTCTTTGCTAACAAGAGTGTGGCGTGCTCCTGCGTTTGTTGAGCTTGATCGGAGCAGGATTGTTGTCTCTCCAACTCCTGTTCCCTGTGGGAGCTTTGTCGTGGGAGACTCACGATGTAGGAGTGGTCAAACGACGGAAAATAAAGGCAACAACCCCCGGTATTCCTATCATCACTACAACATGATGGAAAAGCACCCATTCCTTTGTCCACTCCAAGTGTTAGATCGTGTTCCAATTCATAATGATGGTGAATATCCCACAATAGGTATTAGACCAGACAACGCCATACGACTCCAAGCACCTAAGCAAGCGACGCCCAACCCCAGCAAACACGCAAACCCAGATGCAACACCAAGTCTAGCCCAATCCACAAAATCCCATCATGCTTATAGAGAGGCAAAAATAGAGCCATAACACGCTGTGCACCACGCCATGCAAATTGCTTACTCCTAATGATCATTAACCCAACCCCTGCTCATCTCAACAGCTTGCTCCCATTTCTTAAACATTTTCTCAGCCTTTTCCCTCTCCATCTGCGGCTGGAAAACCTTGCGACCATTCTTGTTGACTTCCGTGAGGTCTTCCAGCGCCCTCCAAACACCCGTGGCGAGGCCGGCAGCGATGGCGGCGCCCAGGGCCGTGGTCTCGCGCATGCCCGGACGGTTGATCGGGATACCGCTGATGTCGGCCTGCGTCTGCATGCACAGATCCGAGTTGGAGAGGCCGCCGTCGACGGCGAGCGACTCGAGCTTATGGTTCGAGTCCTTTTCCATCGCCTCGAGGATGGCGCGCGTCTGGTAGCAGGTTGCTTCAAGGGTGGCGCGGGCGATGTGGGCTTTGGTGGTGTGTTGGGTGATGCCGACTGGTAGGGCGTTAGTGATTGTTGATCAAAGTTGGAGAGGAGAGGGATAGGTGGGCTTACATAGAGTTCCCTTGGCGTCGTCTATCCAGTACGGAGCAAAGAGCCCACTGAATGCTGTGACAAAGACGACGCCACCGTTATCGGGAACTGATTCCGCCAGAGCGGTGATCTCGCTCGACTTGTCCGCGAAGCCGAGGTTGTTCATGAGAAACTTGACGCCGGCTCCAGCGACGGCGATGCTGCCCTCCAGTGCATACACGGGTTTCTTGCCGCCGCCAAAGTCGTAAGCCACGGTGGCGAGGAGGCCGTACTTGGAGATGACGGGTTCGGTGCCCACATTGTACAGCAGGAAGCATCCTGTGCCGTACGTGTTCTTCGCCTGCCCCGCACTGAAGCCGCACTGGCCGACCAATGCACTGGACTGGTCCCCCAAACACCCGGCGATGGGCACGTTTATCAAGGTGCCACTCGCCACCTTCCCAAAGGCCTCTGGGTCTGAAGACGGCACGATCTTGGGTAGGTGAACTTTGGTCTTGTCGATGCCAAAGAAGCCCAGGAGCTTGTCGTCGTATTGCAGGGTGCGCAGGTTCATGAACATGGTCCTGCTGGCATTGGTGGTGTCGGTGACGTGGACGGGCTTCTCGGCCTTCGCGCCGCCATTGAGCTTGTAAATGAGCCACGAATCTACGGTACCGAAGGCCAGGCGGCCTTCCTCGTACGCTTGCTTGACCGAGTCGACGTTCTGCAGGAGCCAAAGGAGCTTGACGCTGCTGGGGTATGTCGAGAGAGGCAGGCCGCAGAGCTCTGTGAGGCTATCTGCTGACTCTCGCGACTTGAGCTCCCGCACAAGCGCTTTTGTCCGCGTGTCTGGCCAGACAATGGCATTGTGGAGCGGCTCGCCGGTTGTGCTGTCCCAAACCACCGTTGTCTCGCGCTGGTTGGTGATGCCGATGGACCGGATGTCTGACTTGGAGTAGCCGAGATCGACAAATTTGCGCATAGCCTCCTCGATACATTGTTCGACGGAGCGAAGAAGTTCGAGCGGGTCATGTTCGTGCCATCTGGATTGAATTGACTTTGGTAAGTTATCGCCGTGCTGCCGTAGCGCCGCAGCCCACTGTGGGGTGATGCGGGGGCGGAATGTACATACCCTGACCTGGGGTACAGATTCTCAAACTCTATTTGGTGGCTCGCGACCGGATCGCCCTCGCCATTGAAGATGAGGAACCGCGACGATGTGGTGCCCTGGTCGATACTGCCGACAAACCAGTGGCGCTTTTTTTCTTCTTCTGTCTCGAGAATGCCCTGCGGCAGATGGTCGCCATGGGAGGTATGGAATTTCGCTGTGTTGTCCGGAAGCGTCCGGGGCGTCGCTGCGGTGGGCTTCATCCCCAGCCCCTCCAAGTTGAGGCTGGGGCCGCCTGTTATGAGGGTCTCCTCAAAGCGGGCTGGACTGCTGACTTGCGGGAGCTCGACCATGGTGTGTTGGTGCTGTCTTCCCAGTGGGTTGGTAGGTATGGAGGGCGGGTTACTGCTTGATTGGAAAGGACGGCGGTACGGCGGTTGTTGGTTCCTGTTCTGGCTCTGGTTCAGGAACGGACGAGACAGCGCAGTTAAAGGCCGTCGGCGCGGGACTTGGGAGGGGTCAGAACCGGCAGGTTGAGAGACACAAGAAGGGGTACGTCATCCAAGGCCTGGCGAACCCTAGTTATGCGTACAGCTATTGAGATGTGTAAGCCGGGAGAAGGCGGCCTTGCACGAGTTGCAAGTCCACTGGCAGGTGGTGCTCCGCTGGGATCGAACCGCTGATGTTCGATGTGGCGCTGCGTTCCACAATAACGTTATGGTCGCCCAAGCGGTGGCAGATCGAGGGACGGCTGCCCTCCGAAACGGTTTCGGGCACATGAGGGGGAGCCGTCGGTTTTAAATTCCGGCAAAGGCGTCTGTCTGTCTGTCTGCACACCCCGTCTCCGGAAACAGTGCTGGTTGCAACGTGCCGTGCGGCTTGATTTTTTCCTGGCTGCAGAAAGCACTTCGCGCTCACCCCTGCCGACAGCATGCCCGACCCTCGGCTCGCCCAGAGATTGGTGGAAGTACTCCGCAGGTTGTTAGTGCAATCTTGGCTCTGTGGGGGTTTTCCCTTGGTCACGGGACGCCATCGACTTCTGGATTCCATCTCCACCTCCTCAGGACCCCGCATCTACAAGTACCCCGCCGCACTCCACTAAATCGAGGCCTCGAACCACGCTGACGAGGCTGGAAAAGGACGAGATTCATGAAATCTCGGATCGTCGCTTTCGCACCCACAAGAGCACGTCGTTCCACGTCATTTAAAGTAAGGCAGGACACAACTGTGGCCAGCGAAGCGATGGTGGCGTCGGCCCCAGTTCCGGTCAGTTACCCCAATCTTACGACGTTGTGACTGCTGTACTCACGACGTCTGGACGCCTTGCACCCACTCCACATAACAACGTCGGCGGGAGATGTCTTGGTCCGCTTCGAGTGCTCGTAGGCGCCGTTGCCCTTCAAGACCGTCTTGGCAAAGCCAAAGAGTGTGGTGGCGACGCCGGCCACGTTGCCGCGGGCGTAGTGGCCGACGGCCTGGATTATCCCCTTGCCGGCCTCCTTGGCCAGGTTGGGCTCCTTGAGCACACCCTTGGTGCTGTAGAGGTAGGGCAGGTCCAGGGATGGAGCCGAGTGGCAGCTGTCGAAGATGGCCGTCAGGCGTGCGCCGGCCTGCAGCGGCTTGACGACGTAGTGATGGATCTCATCGTCGACAATGTGGCCGGCGATCCTGTGGTCGACAATCATCATTCGAGGCAATCGACTGTCTCCGCCCGTGATGTCGTTACACGGACATATTTTTGGTCAAGTCAGTGGAGATATTCTAAGACAGAAGTAATAGTGCCCTATGCGATTGATTCCGCCGGGCTGACTTGTTCATGGGGAGCCAAAGCATGTCAGGGATTGCAGGTTGTCTAGACTCTAGACCTTGCCGATCTCTGTGTACCACAGTACACCGGTCTTTTTACGGGACCCTCGGGTCATTTCATATGACAATCATCGGCGTTCACGCGCTTCGGGATGAAATTGCAATCCACAATCGAGGCCAGAACGTGAATGCTGCCCAGTTTGATCAAAGTCGAACCGGGTCCATTGATATCGGCAAATAACTTACCCGAGCAGACCGTACGAACGACCAAAGCTAAGGAACAGAAGGCAGCGAGCAACTACTCAGTATGTCCCAGATTCGATGTTCGGATGCCTTGCGCTCATAGAAGTTCCTCATCGTCATCCCCATCCATAGATAGGATTTCACAAATGACTTGGACGCATGTCCAATTCAGTTATCCAGAGATGGTACGGAGTAAAATGACACAGGGTAACCCGCATTCGGACGGAAAGGGCAAGTTCGAAGTGGACACCAGCAGTGGGGTGGATTTGGCGCACGGGAAACCCATCAATCCATCGGGAAAAAGAACGCGGAGGAAGAGGACAGGAGAAGGATCGTAAAGACATCGAGGTAAATACGACCGATTGTAAGGACTGCGGTTCAAGACGGGTGACTTTGGCTATTGTGAGGGCTCGGTGAGAAGAACCGGACAGTATCCGCATCTTAATCAATAAGATCCTTTTTGTAGCCTTCCGGTAAGCTAAGGCGTAGAACAACACGGGCCGCGGTTGACTCGGATCTCTGTCACAATATCTCAGTACCAGCTGACTTGTGATGGCCATGGAACACTTTGGAAAGGCGTCTCTTCACTCGACCCCGAGACGCCCACCCAGGACCGCAACCACACATGCAAACTCAACACTCAACACCGACAAGTCGCACACCCTATACAAACATGGACTTGGCGTCGCATATAGCAATTATATGTATTCATCTTCCTGTAAGTGCGGACCCGCACACCTGGTTCCGAAAAGATGCTCCTGTCCTTGACCCCATCCCTCTAACCATGCAGTGGAAAATCTTAACTGGACCTGCCTCTCTGGACTCAACCACCTCAAGAAAGCCGAGACCATTACCACAAGCCATGGGTATAACCACCATCCCAGAACCCTATGCCATCAATAAATCCGCGGGTGCCTGCCGCCTACCTACCCATTCCCAGCCGAACCCAAAACCCGCTGGTGTGCCCTCCCGTTGATCACCTCCCTCATTAAAATGCATGCTCGCTGACCCGCCTCAGTGGTATATGACCGGGAAAAATGCTCACTCCAACCACAGCAACAGAGGAGAGGAGAGAGACTCCGCCAAATAGGCAGTAAGAAAAGGATAAAAACGCCCTAAATGCCAGCCCAACGCCGTCCCACCAGTGACTCGATAGACCTCTTGCACCGAATCCATTCCCAACGAACGGACCTAATCAACGGAACTCAATCCGAATCCGCCTCCCTATCCACCTGCGACCCCCTACCCCTCCGTGAAGCCAGAGGTTGCGAGCTGGAAGCAAACTGAGTTGCAACAATGGCATACCCAGCCATCGGCGACGACGACGCAACCGTGCCCCGCCTCAGCAGCCCCTGCGACGACGATGGCCCACCACCGCCACCACCATGACCTCCAACGACAGTCGCACTCCGACGTAGCGTCGGACTGCGACTCCCATTCCGGCTGGGTATCGCCCTCCCCGTTCGGCGTTCCTCCTCACAGTTGGGACACGGCCCAGGCACGTCGTAGACATCGTATAGGTGCCGGAAAAGGGGGTATAGCGTGTATGCCGGCGGCCGGCAATGCAGCCTCTCGTCCATCATGAGACGGATGTGCGGCAAGACGGCGAGCACGGCCTTGACGGAGGCTTCACGCGCGGGTTCCGAAACGGCGAGATCCCGGGCGACGAAGGTGAGCGTGGCGAGGTAGCGGTCGAGGTTGTACAGCGATTCCGAATACTTGAACTCGTAGGATGTTGGTCCCGGGGAGGTACCCGAGGAAGAGATGGAGTGGCCGTCGCCGGCAGCGCCGACAGAGAGCTGCTCTTCGGCGAACCGGGGTGGCTTGCCGAGCAGGACGGTGGCCATTTCAAGGAAGACACAGCCCAGGGAGAAGATGTCCGAGCGCTCGTCCCGGCGGCCCTCGTGCATCGCTTCGGGGTCGGCGTACTTGACCGTTTTCGGAGTCGGGCCTTCCGAGTACTGGCCTGTCTCGAAGTGCTTGGAGAGACCGAAGTCAGTGAGGATCGGCAGGCCGAAGTCGTCGATGACGATGTTCTCGGGCTTGATGTCCTTATGCCGGACCTGCACGCTCTTCCGGTGGAGGTACGCTACGGCCTGCGCCAGACAGCCGAAGTAGGTGTGGAGATGGGGCAGTATCCAGTCCGCCTCCTTGGGGCTCTGGAAGACTTCCTCCATGAAAGTGCGCAGGTTGCACTGCGCGGGCGGGTACATGGCGATGCCGAGGATATGCTTCCTGATCCTTTGGTTGACCCTGAGCAACACGGCATGGGCGCCCGCACGCGGCCTCCGCCTGACCTCGCGGGTCTGGATGCAGTAGGCCTCAAACGAGGCCACGTACGCCACGATGTGCGGATGCCTGAGTCTAGACATGGTCTTGACCTCCTTCAGGGCGTTGCTGCGTGCTTCGCTGTCCGGGCCCGGTGGCCGCGAGTTCTGCTTACAGACAATCACCTTGAGCGCGAGAGGCCGACGGTAGGCGTACCCTTCGGGAGGTGTAACCTTGTAGACGATGGTCGATCCGGAGTCACCAAGCTCTGGGCCCTGCTGTACGAAAGGGCTCGGAGGTGTGAGATATTCTCTACCGCCGTGAGAAAACACCTTGTGCTTGGTGTGGTCAAGCATGGCTTCCTGAACGGGGTCTAGCCACTCATCAGAAATTTCCCTGTCCACGTCGTCCCAGACAAAGTGGTTATCGTCGTGGGTGCTCAGGAAGTCGCTCAACGGGATCGTCTGACCCTGTGAGGACTGGCTGCCGTTCGAGTCGAATGACATGTGGTCCAAAGTGGAAGAGCTGAGACGTGGGGGACAGCGTGGCGTTGGGGCCAGGCGACCAGCCAAGCAAGACTGGGAGTCGGAGGTGTGGGTGGAACGGAGCCGGATGGAACGGAGCCGGGCCGAGTCCGTGGTTTGAGTCAGCGGAAGCGCATCAGCGTTCTTTTGCGAGAGGGGACCGGCAGTGCGACGCCAAGGTCAGAAATGCGCAGCCGATGTTTGTCAAGCGTATGACAAGTGAATGAGGGTTTTCAGAAGAAAGAAAACCCCAGGTAAAGAACGTAGAAAGCGTGTCGAGACGACGAGGCTGAACGAATGAGTTCCTGGTTGGTGCGTTTGCGGACAAGTTTCGACCTTTCATCGTTTTGACAGCTGCGGACAGGGCAGATCTGATGGTCTTCGCCCCGGTCCCCGGAGCGTGATTCGGTGTCGAACGTAGCCCTGGAGCCAGACAGTGGGCAGCCGCCTGCCACTGCGGGTCGCCAATTGGCGTCGCCCTGGTCTCGCAGTGGCAGATTGCCTGTCGAACGGACGAGACAGCAGAACGTCGAAGATGCGGCGTCGGTGAGGCAGTCCTGGGAAGGCTGACTTCAAGTTGGGGCATGAAAGCCCAAGCACAATCTTGAATTCAGTATCCCATGAAGCTGTCCGAGTGCATTCAAAAACACCACGGGCCGCCGCATTTGCATATTCGGCTTTGGGATATCTGAATGTGAATCCACTACAACCTGGGCGGCATGCACGCCTGTGGCGCAGTGTGCCTGAGGTGAGATCGTGCGTATGTTGTTGGGGTCGGGTCGGCTCGGATCCGGCAGTTGAACCCGACGGCAGGAGCGAATCGTAGATCGGGTTGCACAGAAACCGACCAACTTCAAGCTCCATGTAAACATCTTGCTTGAAGCCTCCATTTCTGATTCAAGTTGGATGTCTTCTCCTTCCATAAATTAAGGCCCCTCTGTGGGGCACTCAAAGACAAGTATGCCAAGCTTGCAATTCACTGGATTAGCAAAACCAAACACCAACGCCAGCCATCACATACCCTAACCCTGGCCCTGAATATCTCTGTACCGAGAGGAAGGTGCGTCAACTGTCAAGCAGCAAACTTGGCCGATAATCGTGCTTAAAGTGGAGTTATGAGTCTTATTGTGACTCATGTTGCTCGAGCCACGCCAAGCCGAAGACATATCACGCGAGCTTCGCCCGTTGCTTCAAGCTGTCGGCCAGCTCCTGCCATCCTACCCAGCAAATTTCATCAGGTTTCGCAAATACAAATGCAGCCCAGATCTGTACGATAGGTAAATGGGTGCATTGTATAAGCATGCTCCGATTTTCCCCGGCGCTCAAATCCTTCACACAGCAGGAAGGAGTTAACATGGCGGAAGTTCACAGCCCAGTCAGCCCGTTGTCCTTGCCTACGGGTAGATGAGCAATATTCTCAGCCAGGTAGTATACTGCTATCAATGCACCAACCCGCCTTAATCATTTTCTCACTAGCTAACACAGCAAGAACATTCCATCAGGCCCCTTTTCAGAGCGAGCCAGCACACCAGGTACCCTAGCCATTGAGCGTCAGGATCCATCCACGCCGTGTCCAAGCAAGTCTGTCCACAGAATTCAAGACCAAACAAACAACATCACCACCCTCAAATGAACCGTCCTCACAGCCCGCCCAAAGCTGCAAACCAGAAAACAACGTCAGCATCCCATAGCCCGCTGCACTCAGAACGTCAGGACAATATGAGACACCCACCAGCAGAATAAGAGAGCAACCAGGTCAATGACTGGCCCCCGTCCAGCCAACCCGGCTGGAAATCCGGCCGACTGAAAAAGGCATACGCTCCTCGCGGATCGACAGTGGCCAAGTTGGCCATTAAGATACCGCGCCAACCTCCCTGTACTGAATCGACTAAAACGCAACAATACGTCAGTCATTCCCTCGTCATGCAGTATTTGAGCTGACTCGGGAAGCAATATGGGCGCAAACGCGCCGCCGCTCTGGGAATTAAGATGGGACTCCCGACACTCCCCCAAGACAGCTTGGAAAAAGGGGGTCAAAACTAACCGCGTCCTCCGCTAAAGTACGTCTCCCACTCCTCCCTGACAAACTGCGGCGTGCGGATGAACGGGGTGTGCGGCAGCAGAGGAAGCATGTGGATGCCCTGGATGTACTCGATGTTTGTGCCAAAGTAGGTCGTGTGGTCGATCTTGTTCTCAAAGAGGATGCCCGCCACCTTGTTGGGTATGAACTCTCGAGGTTGGACCGTGTTGGTGGAATTGTAGAGGTAGTAGGACTGCAAAGAGCGTGCTTGGAGGGCGAGCATGAGGTTGGATCTATTCGGGGGAGCACGGAGTGGTTAGAAGACGGGGATCAAGGGGGGGCGCAGGAGAGGAGTAAAGGAAGAGGGAATGGCATACCGCGCTTCGAGGTTCATGTCGCCCGACACGGCCCCCCACATCTTCAGCGCGTATGTGTGCATCGTGTCCTCGGAGCTCGACTCTTGGTCCTTGCCGTCGAGCACGTCAAACAGGCCGTGTGCCCAGCTGTGTCCGTGGAACCAGTCGAAGGCCCGCCAGACTGGGAAGTATGTGTCCCGCGTGCTGGGGTTAGCAATGTCGCGGACGAGCATGTCGACGTACGCCTTGTTGGCATGGATCCAGGACGGGTCGAGGTGCCCGATGACCGCGGCCGTGTAGATGACTTACCAACAATGTCAGCTGTAAGTGTCAGGTGTGATGGAAGAGTTTTGGGAGCAGATGCCCAGTTCCAGGTGCAGAATGACTCCCGAGACAGTCATAAAACGGTATAAAGAGTCAACACAAAAGAAGCGTCGAATCTTACAATAGCCCCTATCAACATTGTCAGCTAAGATCCCCTCTTCAGAATCTAAGGGGAGAGGTTCAGAAGCATATGCACAGTTCCGGGAACCAATTTCTCCCGAGACGGCCGTCAAAAGTATAAACAGTCCACACACAAAATTGTTGCTTACCAGTGAAAATGATGGTCGTTGTACAATGTATTGCCAAAGTCGACGCCGTTGTCGCCTGTCTGGTATGTGGCTGACGAGACGACACCTCCCCAGCCGCCTGCTTGTGTCAGCGCTGACAACACGGGGATATCATTGGCGGGTGTCATACTCTCGTACACGAGCGGGTACTTCTGGGCGTTCTGCGAGAATCGCGCGAATGCTACCTTCAGCTGGTTCAATCCGGCCTGAGCCAACCCCTGATCTTCCAGTAGTTTCTGGATGACCAGTATGAGGCTAGCAAACTTGGCCAGCGCCTGTGGTTGACCGTCAGCTCGCCTTCTCCCTTTATCGGATTCGTTCAGATCCGTTTCCTCACCTTCCCGCTAAAGTACATCGAGTTCTGGTCCGTCTGGTCCAGTATGTTCTGCGACACCTCCTGCTGGGCGACGTTGTGGATGCTCCTCTTGGTCGCCTCCGAGATGGCGCTGATGGTCCCGGCCTCCGGCAACCACGGCAGGAAGCCAATGTTGATGGGCAGGTTCGGCTCCACCGTTGTCCACGCATCAGCCAGGACCCCGGTAGCCATCCCCTTTGTCGTGGTCTGCAGCTTCAAGCCGGTCAATTTCGCCCTGGTGCAGGCGTCGAACGAGCTCTGATGGTGAGGCAGCGCGAACATGGCGAGGGTGCTGCCGCTCATGCCGGCCTTGTTGAACGAGAAGGTGTACGTTCCCCGCGTGCCATCGACGGACCCCGAGAGCTGGACGCCGACTGGGTAGGCGCCACAGGCCTGGTCATACACCTTTTCGCCATCTCCAGGATCCTTAGCCACTTGGATGATGCCGTAGAATGGCGCTTTGGACTGAGCTAACCCGTTGTTGATGACTTCAAGATCCAGGGGGCTACCTCTGGTGTGGTGTGCATACACCAGCCAGGTCGTCCCGTCCTCCAACTGGAGCTTATACTTGATGACTCCGGGCTTGGGATCCGTGGTGGTGTGCGTGACGGTCCTGTAGAAGACGCCCGTCTGGAGGACGGGAGACGCTCCGTTGTAGATGCCCGTAATGAAACCGAGTCCCTGAACCAGAGGAAACTGCACTGCGGGTGCTGCCTGGGCACTCGGGCGCAGATTGACTAGGACGGACAAGTCCGTCGGCGACTCGGTGGTGAGAGCTGTGCCATTGTTGAGCTCCTTCGCAGAGAGACAGAGGGACTGAATCCCGATGGGATTGATAAAGTATGACGCGGCCCCAGTCCCCGGCTTAATCGGGCCGTACACTCTCTGCTTGCTCTCGATATGGGAGATGGCTAATCCCCAGCTCCCTGAAGCCCCTTGCCCCCGCGCCCAAGCAACCGAATACGGGTGGAGGAAGGTGGGCGAAGTCTGGTTTCCTAGGTAAAAATTGCCGTAGAATTTGTTGGTCTGAATGGGACCTTCCGCCGTGATGCCCAGCCGGCGCACAGGATGGTCCTGCTTCCTTCCGATGTTCGCGGGCGGCGCATCCGTACGAATGGGATCTGCAAAAATGTCTCGAGACATTGTTTAATGGGGATCGACGGCGCCACGTTTAAACTCGCAATAACCGAAACCGCCGGGAACAACGAGGTGGGCTTTGGGATTGTGCTTGTCAATATGGGCACAGAAGTAACGTGGTCTAAGCAGGTCTGGAACGGAATGAAGCCGCCGGCTGGCGTCTTCTTGTCGGCAAGGACCTGGGCTGTCCCTGATGGACCAATGCTCGTGATGACTTTGGCGGGGAATGCCAGAACGTCGCTAGGAGGAGGGCCGTCCCATTGCCGTTTCTTCCAGGGGGTAGGCGTGCTGGCCTCCTTGGGGTCTCTTCCAGGGCCGAAAGACTTGGGCTGAGCATACGGGACGGCGACACTGTCGTCGTCCGGAGAGGCGATAGCAGCAGCAACCTGTAGAGTTGTTAGCAGCACGAACAATCCCCATATCTGCCCCATTCTAGTGGCTGGCGGCTTCAACGTATCCAAAAGCTCCAGCTCTGGTATCATCTGCAAAGGGGCCCATGGGCCTATCCATATCGGGGGCCGTTCCATGGGTTGGATATTCCCATGCCAATCCAACTAGCCTCTCTCAGCTGGAGCCATGATCGTCCCGAGCTGCCGTTATCCCCGGGGCACGCGATCGACCCGTGGCTGGCTGGCATGCATCGTTGAGGAGGCTGGCGGGCAGACACCTGGAGGCACATGTCTCAATGCCAATGTAAGACAAGACCCTACCTTGGAAGTCTGGAATGCCGAGTAAGGACTCGAACTAGGGACGATAGGGCGGAGCCGAAGCGGAAGGGCCGCGGTACTGTGGTAACGTTAGATGGAATATACATGGCTTTAGAGCTGGAAAGATGCACACCGATGACGTGATGTGTGGGTTGAGATCTAGAAATAGCATAGGGATATCGAAGTTGGCGTTCGGTTGAGTCAACCAAGTTAGAGAGACTGCTTGGGAGCGCTCCGGTGTTTGAGGAGATGCATTTTAATCATAGGCAATGTGTTTCCTGGTAGCTGGATCCTGACCAGTAACACATGTGTTGGACGTTGCTTTGAGGTGGATCCGGGTCTGACGCAGCACCCGTGGACATGGGTCGGTGCCAGCTTCGAACCCGTGAGGCCAGCGCTCCCATCCATCGACTGTCTGGTGACATACCAAAAGCCGGCAGGTTGTGTGGTTGACATGGATCATTTTTCTAGAACCGGATTAAGCAGGGAATGCATTGCGACTCGGCCATGAGGTAGGGTCCCCGCAGGTGGGAGCATGGTTGATTCGAGCAATACATGATATCCGTGAAAAGTGAAAGAGGCCTGGGGTGATTCGAGAGGCATGGCTTTGCATGGTACTCCCCGTGATCGGTCTTCGATAGTCTACTCGAGGAAGCTGGATGCTGCCTGTGGATGGTTGTGAAAGAGTGTAAGTAGCCAGCAACCAACCACGTTAATGGTCGCGTCAACCTCGGAGCTGACTGGCAGAGGCCACGCCAATGGCGATGGATGGCAGACAACATAGGCACGGAATTGCTGTTTAAAGAAAGAAACATCCCCGCCAAGACTGAGACAGACAGCAATTTGGAGTAAAGCTTCCCCGCGAAATATGTTGCCAAGTTTGTGAGCCCTCACATTCACAGACCCAGGGCGTCGTATTTGCCTGTCACAGGAATCAGCCTCGTGACAGACTTGGTCGCCCTCCTTTTCTCGAGCCCCGTCTCTCTGAAAGGCCGCCTTGCCAAGGGCTTCCTCTCTTGCCCGCTCTTTCTCTCGCCCTCCCCATGATGCGTTCGGGGTTCCTTTACGCTATGCGCCTTCGATTTCTCCACGCCGGCCACGTCCACCCGCTTTTTGGAGTGTCTTCCGCTGTTGGCCCGGTGGCGATGACTGGTCCAGCGGCCCTCCTCCTCTTTCCGGCATCTCCTGACCTCCCGCCTATCCAAGACCCATGGTTTGGACAGCACATCTTGTTTCAGTTGAGCGACCTTCTCCCAAAAGACGACTTCTTGTTCGGTTGAGCGGAGGTGGACGATCTTTTCGGCGCGGATCTGCTTGTTGTCGCGGAATGTGCCGACGCTGCCTTTGATGTCCAGCACGTGTCCGACATCGATGGGCGCGTCAACTACGGGTTGGGTGTTCGAGTTTGAGCTGGATTTTGCGTCAGTTGCCGCACCAGCAGCGGCCGTCCCAGGCGCTGCGCGGGGTGCGCTTTTGACCAGGCATTCAAGGGTTGCGCCGCTGCCGTCGTCGATCGTGTACAGGTTTCTCATCTCGCGCTCGTCAACAGCGACTACGACGCCCGAGATGCGAACCCATTTAATCGGGTGGTTGATGTGGAAGTAGACATCCTGGCCTACATTCGCAGAGCTGGTTAGCCATTGTCGTCTCGAGGCCCATACGTGGCAAGCAGTTGGATTCGCCTACCTTGGAAACCTGGGTGGCTTCTCAGCGCCAGGATATCGCTGATCCGGAAATGGCACCAGCGATTGATGGTCGGCGACAGATGGAAGCAGTACTGAGGGTAGAGTTCGGGCTTCGTCGCGTGGGTCATGGCATGTTTGGTATCGTGTAACTCGGCCTGCAGCCTTCAGTAATCAATTCTCGTAAAAAATTGCAGTTCATGGCAGAAATGTACGCCACGTTCAACAACTGGGCGTCATTTTCGTGATTTGAAATGTGATATAACGCTAGGGTCTCGAATTGAACGAGTGTCTTCGACAAGACAACAACAACCTTTGCCAAGAACGAGTTGCCCCGTGCGCGTTGGCCAGGTGACGGCCGTCACTGAACCGATCAGGCAGGAGAGGCTCGCTGTTTCGACGGCCAGGGCAACACTTGAGAGGAAACCCGTTTCGGTTTCTACTTGGTACGATATCGTCTGACCTGCATCTGGTGTGCGATTTGGATCTTGCAGGTTGACTCAGCTTACATGCAGTTGAAGCCTCCCGAGAGTGGACAGCGTCATAAGCCCCACCCTGATCCGAACCGAATCCGGGGGTGCACCGACGGGAGGAGAGTGGGGCCGTTTCGAGACCCGGGTACTCGGAGAGATTCAAGTTTTCATTCCTTCTTACTTCACAGTCTTTTCTCCCTTTCGGCCTTTAATTGATCTTTCCCTTACTTTTGCTTCCTTTCGGAGATACGCCCTTTCTCCCAGGTTCCATCCTGGCCACCTTACCTTACGCGCTGGGAGGCAATTGGAGGTCTATGGACTGCTCACTCGGGCGGCCGTTCAAACTGGCGTGTAAAAGAACAATAGGTTGTACGGCACCTGATATAAAACCCCACGTTTTGTCACACCTTAACTTCCGCTCCGATCACTCAAGCTACCTAGCCTTCCAAACCCGTCCTCAGTCCTTGCGCCTTCTACAGCCATGTCGACCACGCATCATCAGACCAGCTCCTCCTGCCCCCTTCTCGCTCTTCCAGGGGAGCTGCACAACAAGATTCTGCAACAGCTCGGACCCATGCACCGCCTCCTGCTCCGGACCACATGCCGCTACTTTCGCGCCATCATGCCGCCCCTCAACCCTTATGAGCTCTTGGCTGCCGAGGCTAGCAAAATTGGAATGGAGCGGCAGCTCTACGCATGTTCCTTCTGTCACAGACTTCGACCCGCCTCGAAATTTGACGACAGCATGAAGGAGTGGGCCAGAGGAAAAGGGGCACGAGACAGCATCAACCGATTCTGCCTGGACTGCGGTGTCAGGCCGCCGCCAGGTCGAGTCGGATACGGCCGTGGTGATCATATCAGGATCAATGGTGCGCTATTTGCCATTTGTTTCTATTGCACTCAGATTGCCCTCCCCGGACAAGATGAAGACGGCAAAAAAAGCCAATGGTGCACCACATGCTGGGCGAGGGTCAGCAGAAGCTCCAGCGCCTCAAAAAGGCTCGGCTCTAACGGGAGTTAGAATAGCGTGAACACTTGAGACGGAGGGGAGGCAAGTATCTGCGGCGCATTCGGGGCAGGAGAAGCCTTGGGCTTATGTCGTATCGACGAGTCATAGCAACAGCTTCTATCCCGCCTTCTCCTGTTGTCATCACCATCATTATTTTGGACTGCGCGCCAGAACGCCTGCAGCCCAGACCGAAAAACATCCTCCGAGTCCAGACACCTCTGATCGCGCTGCCTCAAACCATTGAACCGCCTATCAACCGCAAACGGCGTTCAAGGCTCCATCGTGGGGCCATCCCAAGCTCCCCTTTTCCGACAAGCTCGGTCCCGTCAGCCCGTCCTCCCAGGCAGCGAGTCGACAGGGTCGTAGTATTCGTAAACCTTGTTCTCCTTGTCACGCCCGATAACAGCCGGCGCCCGGTACCTCGACACGCCCGTGGTCCGGTCGTACGACTCGTATGAGCACGCCAGCCGCTTGCCGCCACCGCCAGGGAGGTCGACCACGAACGAGGGCATCATGAAGCCGGCAATGGACCCGCGGATCTGCGCCTCAAGGTCTAGGATGGTCTGCAGCGGCGTGCGCAGGTGCTCCACGCTCTTGACCATGTCGCACTGGTAGACGTAGTACTGCCCGGCATTAGCCTCGACGATACCTCCCACAGGACGTGAAGTGAAGACGGAAAACTCACCGGAAAGATCTTATTATCCGCTAACCCCCTGATCAATCTCTTCATGGTCGCCACGTCATCATTGACTCCCCTCAACAACACCGTCTGATTCCTCACCATCATCCCCTCCTCAAACAACCGTTGAGCCGCCATCTCCGTGATCCACGAGATTTCGTTGGGATGGTTGAAATGCGTATGCCACGCAACCGCCTTGCCAGCCCGCCTCGCAGTATTCGACACGCCCACCAACGCCTCTGCCCACCCGTCCCCCTCCCCGCCCAGCACTCTGCCGGGCGCTACCGCCAGCCCTTTGCTCGCGAACCGGAAGCGCTTGATGTTGGGCATGTCAATCAGACGCTCGCCGATGAGGCGCAGGTGCTGCGGCTGCAGGTAGTACGCGTCGCCGCCGGACACGACAATGTCGGTGAGTTGCGGCTGGCTGGCGATGTAGGCGAAGGCTTCCTCCCACCGGCGCCGGCCCGGTTTGAGCGAGGCCTTGTGCACGGTGGCGGTGTCGGCGCCGACGGCGTAGGACCGCGTGCAGAAGGTGCAGTAGGTTGGACAGACCGAGGTTGCTAGTGAATGAGGTTAGTCTCGATCAATACCCTGTTATATGGGGAGGGGGGGTTGGTCGGGTGAGGGACCTACGGAGAAAGAGGGCCTTGTCTGGGTAACGGTGGACGAGGCCTTTGACGGGCGAGTCGGCTTCCTCGTGGAGGGAGTCAAGTTTGAGTTTGGGATGGTCTGGGATCATTCGCGACTTGAGAGGGAGGAACTGGCGCGCAATGGGGTCGTGCCGGGGGTTGTGCCAGTTTATTCGGCTCAGGATGTAAGGACTTCAAGGAGTCAGCGGCATACCACACAGAGTTTGCGACCTCGATGTCACCCACGTCATCCGCACCGCCATGGTGGCGGCGGTGATGCCCTCAAACACATCCCGGATGAACTCATCGCGAGTTTGCATCCGCATGCCGGACTGGTCAAACGGCACTTCATCTGGGAGAGTTGTCTGCAGGAAGTTGTAGAGCTGCTGCTGGGTTTCGACCAAGTTCTTGCTCTGTTGTGGTGTGTGAGAAACAGACAAGCCCTCGTTCATCCCTCAGAGGCTTTGACTCACACTCCAGCTGTACGAGAGGAATTCTTTGGTCGAAACGTCCCTCCACAACGGGACCTTGCGCCAGAACTCGTCACGGTTCTGTGGAAGGGCTGTTGCTACCGGGTACACCGGTGGAGTCACGTCCTTGGCTCCGAACTTGTTGAAGACCGGCGGCATTCGACTCGCGTTGTTCTCAAGATCGCTGGAGATGTCGGCAACCTGGGCGTGGAGCCGTGGAAGGGAGCCAACTGCTCGTGCCGAGACCAGTTTGAGTGCCGATATCCTCGGCCCACGGCCAATGGTGCTCCGTCGGGGGAGCATGAATAGGAGCATGGTTAGGAGCATGGTGCGGGCGTGCGGGCGTGCCGGCGTGCTGTTGGTTCCAAGAAATGCAAGTGAGGGTGTCGGTGAGAGGGCTCACCCCTGGCCCCGCTGATCGATATGTGGTTTCCCAGAACACTTCTCCGACTCAGACGCTAGCTCAGAATCCGAACTCTGACTGTCGTGCCGATCCAGCTCAAGGCAACTAATACCCAACAAAGGCCGGCGATCGACCTGCGGTGTGTTATATCGGCCCACTCCAAGGCTCACAGCTCACTTGCTCGCTCTCTCACTGCCCTGACTGCCTGCCTGCCTGTGGACAAACGCAGTGGCAGTGAATAAGGCACCAGGCACATGTATCACACGATGTGCTTGCCCTCCTTTGTTGCATTGCCTCTGCAGCAGTTGGGCTCAACAAGCTTTGTTGCGCAACAGCCTTCCAGGGGTCCACCACAGTGCAATCTGCTCCGTGTGTAGGATTTTCCAGGCCGAAACCCCCTGGTCCGCAACAAATTCAGGCGATGTTGATCAGTCCTCCGGCATCTGTCTGTTCCGACCTGCCTCTTTCACCACGCCTGCCCCCCGTGGCCACTCGTTAACCGGCTCAAATAGCGAAGATCAATGACTCCCGAGTCAACGGTCAGGAGATCCTCCGTTCAATGCGTATTGGTGATGGATATGTCGCTGGCCACAGCTCGATGTCTGACTCCCTCGCTGTGACTAGACCCTCTCTTTGTTTACCAGCTGCTCCCCTTGTTGCGTCAGCGCTGATTGACGAGTTTCCGGTGACTGACGACTGGCCAAGGACCCGAGAGTGCTGGGCGAAGACTCCGGCACGCAGATACTCCGTTGATTGGTCCCTTGGCACCGTGTTTCAACCTCACTTCCCTTTCAAAGGAGCTCAGAAATGATGTTAGCAGTCAATCGCCCAAGGGCAAGCGTTCGAGTCATCTGGCAACATGTCAGCGGTGCTTCTCTTTTGGAACAGAGAGAACGATGCCCGTGAAGGCCGGGGCATAGATGGATATATAACCTTAGAGGCTTCCAGGTTCCCCGGAAACATCGGGAAAGCCAAAGGGAACGCCTCCAACAAGCAGTCACATTCTCACTTACACTTGAGTTGCGCCTCTGTGTCTTGCGAATCTCGTTTCGAGTCCCGGTGGGCTTCCCAGTCGACCATACTACCCCCTGACCGCTACGGGAACCTCGAGGGCATTGCTGTTATAAGCCAGCAACGCCATGACGTCCGCTCACCGACCGGACACTGCCTCAAGCTCCGTCAACAAGGCCAAAAGCCAATCTGGAATTGAGTAAGTGTGGAAGAATCTCCACCTGTATGCGCGTGGAAGAGTTGGGTAAAGGAAAGGCCAGGGAGAGGGAAAAGAAGAAAAGTGAGAACTGACAAGATATCATGCCCCCCGGTCCTCAAGCTACACCAGCAGCAGCAGACTCCACCATAACGACGGTGGCGCCATGCACCGGGGATCCGGCTTCACCTCCCACAGCAACAAGTCCAAGACGGAGACGACGCCCAGACACCGGGCTGCGTCCCTGGAAGGTCGTGATAGGCTGCTTCTGTCTCACGATGCAGACCTACGGCCTGCTCAGCGCCATCGGGCTGTTCCAGACGTACTGGCACGGCGGCCTGCTGGCAGACCAGTCCGAGAGCGACGTGGCGTAGATCATCTCCGGGTTTGGCTTCCTCGACTGCCTGTTCGCCGCCGCCGCCGCGGGCATCCTGGTCGCCCGCTAGCTGCTGCCGCTGGGCTGTGCTGTCTATGCCGCGGCCTTCATTGGCCTGGCCTGCTCGCGGACGTATGCCCAGGTCATGGGTTGTATGGTTGTTGCCGGAACGGGTACTGGTACTGTACCTTCTTCTCGTTGTAACTCTTATTGTGGGTTCGAGTTGGCATTGTTAGTTATGGCTTACGGGAATGGTGTTATCGTGCTTAGCTTGCCCAACGACTGTTGCGTTTAATGTCGTTAGCCAATGGTTCACGCCACGGAAGGGCCTTACGACGGGCTGCGTCACGCTAGGTGCACCCCTGGGTGGCATCTTCTTCTCCCTCGTCCTACAAGCCCTCTTAGCAAGTACCCCTGGCGGACTGCGGCTCTAGTGCTGACGGCCATCATGACTGCCTCACTCGTGCTGGGCAGCCTGCTGGTCGAGACTAACGTACACATACAGCTACCTTGCCAGCGGACGACAAGCGAAGAGGCGGCCTCCGCAGACCCTCCCTCACCCCCTACCCCTCCTGCTCCTTTTCTGTCTCCTGCGCAGATCTCCCACATGCTGAGATCGCCCAAGTTCCGGCTCGTCAGCTATGCCATTTCCAGTGAGCTGGCCCCATCCCATCTGCCAAACACGCCGTACCTGGACACTGTTCTAGCTCGACCCCTTTTGCCCCCCCCCCCCCCCCCCGGGGGGGTCACAGCGTACGAACTGGTCCTCTTCATCCAATGGGGTTTCATCCCCTCGTATGCCGTCGCCGCCAACGTCGCTGACCGGAAATTCTACCTGATGATGTCGTACAACATGTGAATTCCTTTCTTCTCCCTCAAACTGTTTTAGAATGTCAAGTCCCGGGCCCTAATTCAAGCCCGAACTCACTTCCCGCACAACGGCGCAGTGATAAGCCGAACTGTGCCCCCCTTGGCTCTCTGACCGACTATTGGGCCCAAATCAACACCACCATAGTGATAAGATTTCTTTGCCCTGCTGGTAGTCCTCGTCATATTGCTTCACTTTGGAGCTCCCTCCATCGCCGCGCTGTTCGTCGTGGTCCAGCGATGGGCATCGGGACAGGCAAATTTGTCCCCTAGGCCGTAAGCTAATTCCAGCCATTCCTTTGGTTTTCCCCCTTAAATAATGGAGAAGAAGAAGAAGAAGAAGCCGCCGCCGCAGTGTGAAGTAGTGCTGATATGCAGGGTTCCTGCCACCAAAAGTCTCGTGCATCAATGCGCTTTGCAGCCCCGAGCACATGGGGACTTGGCTCGGGTCGGCGTACAGTCTCGTCTCTATTGCGTGAGTTTCACTCCCCCCTTGTTCTTCGGCTTTCACAACCCTTTACCTTCCTTGGGAAATGATCATGGAATGCTGACAAGGCGAGTACACAGGATTCTGATAGGAAACCCTGTCTCAGCCGCCATTCTCGCCGGTAGGGGTCCAACGGCCTCTTGGCGTTCCTCGCCGCGGTCCTCTTCTCGGGGATGATCAGGGCGGCCATAGTTCGATGGCTTTTCCATGGCCGGCGGTGGATCCTCAAAGTTCGGGCTTGAGTGTCTTGAGGTTGGATAGATTTGAGCCTGCAGCTGCGGCTGGACTTGCCCGGGCAATTGGCGCGGACAGGTGTGAGCTGAAGGCATGCAGCTCCGGAGTGACACGGCAGGGCACGACATGCCGGTGCGTGTGCGTGTGTGTCTAGGGGTATGGCACGCAAGAGCAGACAGCAAGTCTTGCAGGGCAGCTGTTGCGGTGATTGGCGGGTAAAACCGCAGCTTGGGCTGAGAGAGACGGAGGTAGCTCTTGGAAAGAAAGTAAGGGGGGCATGTTGTCTTGAGGGGCTTACGGTTGACCGCAGGATCGGGGCGCCGCACCGATGGTGTTTGCTGCCACAGGCAGTACCTCTGGCGATGTATATTGCGAGGCTTCGATGACACAAACAGCCGTCATGGCTGATTCCCTTTTGACGATGACTTGCGTAACCTTGACTGGTTACACGGCAGACCCCAGCTCCCTGGGTTTGGAGTGCTGGAACAGAGACGCCGGCAGTTTGGCATCGACATTGGTTCAGTCTCGTGCTACACACCCCGTTTGCTCCACATTGTGACGGATCTTCTTTTGTCTTTGTGTTTCGGGGATTGGACGAGTATGTCGAGTGACAGCGACTTGAGGTTGCGTCAGGGGTCGTTGCAACATGCATGGAGGCCCGGCCTGTCGACGCGGCCGCATTGTCAGTTCATCATCCTGCCGGCTTGTTCAGATTGGGAGCCCGGCAGCCTGGTGTCAGATGCTACCCTACCCAGATAAGATTCGGAAAGGGGACGAGTGGATGTATGTGACGGTATGGGATTGTTGCTCGAACCGTATGTCTCTTTCGGCGTAGAATGTTCGGCGTTCATTCAGGTTAAAGCGAAGCGAAGCCTCTGTACCGAGAGAGATGGGCAACTTGTGACCATTATTACGCTCGGTGGAGTCGGTAGTCAGAAGGTACCGGACCAAACCAACGAAACGCGGAAAATCATCACCTTAAACCGCAACCAACACCAAGCCAGGACCCGCCGGAAGTGTATCCGAGCTGCCCGGACCCAGCCCGTTGCTTCGTCGGTCAGGGATGATCACCCCGAACTGCATTGGGGCACTTCTTTCCTGACCTCGTTTCCCTTTCCGTTCCCGCTCCCACCCGCCTTACACCGCACTGGTTCGTCGTTTTTGGTCTCCGCGGCCCGTACCGTGCCAGGAGCGAAGAGCATGTGAGAAAGGGTGCCGGGGGCACTGTGGTGGAACATGCGTGTGTCGTATCGTCCCTGTGTATGGCGCTCTTCTCTGTGTCCTTCATCTCCTTCCATAGCTGTCCCAATGGCTAGGCAGGCCAACACCCCTGCTTATTCGGGAGAATAGTACATGCTCTGGGATGTGACAGCGGCTGCAGTGTCGGCCGACGTCGGTCCGCAGATCGGAGAGATCAGGTCTTGGTCAGCGTAAGCTCTCCCAGGACTCGCGAGATGGTGCGAGAGCGGGGAATGGATTATCGAGATAACATGCACATGTATGGAGTACATGTACGATACACTCTGGCACGTGTGGATCATGCTTCTTTTCCTATAGCCATCCCCTGAGCTGGTTGGACGAAGGAACCGGGCAGTCCAAGTGGCTTTGTTGCTGCATATGCACGCAAGCCTTTGAGGCTGGCCAGAACTGATGTTGGACTGATAAGGAACGTAATGATGCGACACGCGCTGCCGAGGAGAGGGCGCGCATCCAAGAGACCACCGAAGGAAGCGAAGCTTAGGTAAACAGGTCGGCAAGGTTGGAGGCGGTGAGCGGGAGAATATCCAGTGGGTTTGCGCAATCAAGACACGGGACGGTGGCCGCCCTCGAGAGACCGCTCGTTCTCACCGTATGTGAACCCCCACGGCCATGGATGTGTTGAAACCAAAATGTTCAGGTAAGTAGACCTCTCCACCGAAACAGTTTGTCCAGGGATCGATAGTCAGGTACCCAGGAACCGAAGAGCATCCCCTGTTCGTGCCTGACTGTTGGCAGGAGAAACTGTCCCGATGATGATCTGAGCGCTAGCCTCCAATACGTAGACAAAGCCTTCCTAAATCTTCCGTTTGGATCATCGATGATGGTCTGGTATTCATGCACCTAAATCCAAATCCGGCAAAGGGTGATCGTTGAATTTCCGTGGAGCTCTCTCGCTTGGGTGGATGAAGCCCTTCAGCCCAGGACGCCACGGTGAGCAAGAGTTGACGAGGGCTTGGAAGCTGGCAAACTTGCGAGCAAGTTGCAACTCGCCTTTCCCTCGTCGGCATGCCCTCTTGACATGCAGATGAGACGCAAATGTCGCGGTTGGATGGTGTGTTTTCATGTGAGTAGTCCTGCTCCTGAGAAGCCTCACAGAACTTCCCGACGCTGAAAAAAGGGTGCAGATAATAGCGGTCAAGTTGAGCTGATGGATTCCCGGTAGTCATTTCGAGCTGAGCACAACTAAGAACCGGATCGTGATATCCCGTCATATACAAGCAAGGTTACGAGTCCCGCCACTGCCGGGGTCTAGGAACTCGAAAGTCGTTGCGCAGCGCTGGTACCGTTCCAGATCTGAGGGGAGTCAAAGGCACCGTGGTGTTGATTTCGGGCGGGCAGTAAGAGACGAAGCATGTGCATAGGTAGATACCAAATATCACATTGAGAGAATCCGATGGACATGAGAAGCGCCAGATCCTCTCACGATATCGTGTCTCGCAACCAGCCCTGAATATGGAAGGCGGCAGATATTACTTGCCTCATCTTCGCCAATCAACAAGCCATGCAACGCGTCTCAAAATCCTATGGTTGCAGACATCTGCAGCACAACCGGTTAGTATGACACTTCAAACGCCGGTCTGGTTGACGATACGTACCCGAGGAAATCGCCGTTGATGCTGCCAATAGCCCACATCTCGCCGACCTCGGTTCGCAAGCCGATAATCTTGACCCGCACGTGTGTACCATGCTCGATGACAATATCAGCATCGTTGGTGAATTGCGCCGGGGTGGCACTGGCATCGTATCGGATTTCGTCGGGCATCAACTGTGCTACCCGTCAGTGACCAGGTCGTACATATCGGATCGCCTCTGGGGCGACGAACATGTGATGAGACAAAGAGGCGCAATGGACCGGCCTGAGCGAAGAATCCGTGAGGGTTCACAGTGTCCACGATGGCATCAATCTGGTCCCGTCAGCCAAGGAGTGCGGTTCCGGCGAAGCTTGTGTCCTACCACTTCACCCTTGAAAGGTCGCCAGACCACGGCGCGATAGCCCACGGTGAACTCTGCCAGGCCGCTGCCGGGCAGGATGCGACCTTCGGAGACATCGAATGTGTCCATAATGGCGATGATGTAGTAGTCGCCCGCGCATGTTCCCTCGACGTCTTTGACCAGCTTCGTTGTAACCAGCTCGTGCATGTTCCTCCCAAAGTACGACGGGTGTAGCGTGACGCGCCGTTCGAGGTTGTGGAGGAAGAACATCTTGGCGGATAGGAGAGTCGGAGTTGTCGCGCGTATTGGCGAGGCGCCCGATGCACTGCTCGAATCGTCGTGATACCGCTAGAGAGAGGTGCTTTCGTTGCACGTCCGAGGGGTCGTCAGAAAATGGGATTTCCAGGCTGGAAACTCGGGGAAAGGAAGCGAAGGTGAAAGCACACCAACATGCTTGCCGTCTTGCCTCAATTCGAATGGAAAGGCAGAACGGAAGCATGCGAAGCACGAGGTGCGCCCCACTCAATTGCGTGTTGGATGTGTCGATGAACAACCCGACGCGATGTTGCCGGGTTTGGTTCGGCGAGGCGAGGCTGCCTGACCATGCAGAATGAAAAGGCTGAAGTGGGTTCCGGAACAGTCGCTGCGAAAATAAGCTATGGTTCGTGCGCAGAAGTCAATGTCGCCGGACCAGGCTCGTCTTGGCGTCCCCGAGGCTGCCAAACGACGCGAAATGGACACCTGGATACCTTACCATTGCCTTGTGTACGGAGCACAGTGTAGTGCAAGCAAAGCGAAATGTGACGGAAATGATACCTAACTGATCAGATTGCCAGCGGTTTTCAAGCTTCCGGCGCACGCTCCACTAGCGGCTTTACATATCGAGCCCGCGACGATTGAGTGTGCCACGTCTGGGCCTGATGAAGCAAAGATGCATCTCTTCGGCCGAACCTCCAACTTCGGAAACCAATTTCAAAAGTGGGAAGAAGTTCTCGATAACAATGACTGTTGAACTTTAAGGCGCTGTGGATAACCGTTTTGCCTATTCTTGGCTCTCCAGGAGCCTCAAGCCAGGCACCTCCCCGTGGGGAAGGGACCCCCTAGTTAAATCCGAGGCAAAGTTTTAGCCGTTGCCAAGTGGGCGGAATCGGTACACAGAGCCAACCCTCACCGGATATCCCTTTCTTTCAGCTGTCCTTGCCATTCATAATCGAACTCTGCTGTTGCCATACTTTCCAGGTTTCATTGACCACGCCATACATCCTTTCGGACACTAGTCCCTGTCCTGTTGACGCGCTGGCTTGTGCTGGATTGCGGGACTTGAAAGGGTGTCAGACTGGAACCAGGGCCATTCCTGTCCTGCAGACCTGCACCTTAACTTAGTTTCGGCAACTTACCTTACACCAGTTGACACGTTCCGCTAGCTCGCCATGTCTCTTGACCTCGAAAAGCAGCTCACCTTTGTGAGTCCCCCATGCCTTGCCCGAGTTTGCATGCAGCAAACATGTGTACGTTGCTAACTATGGATCTTAGTATGGTGTTTATCATCATAACTCCGTCAACGTAATCATCCACATCGTTTGTGTGCCTCTAATTGTATTATCCTTCTTGGAGCTTGTATGCACCCCCACCCATCTTGACTCTAGCCGGCATTTGTTCTTAACCCAGTCCCAGTTGTCCAACTATGGGCCATTCTTCATACTACCCTCGTGGATCCAGATACCGTATCTGGAGCCAAATCTGGCGACTTTTGCCGCATTGATATGGGGCAGTTTGTACCTCCTTCTTGAGCCCGTCGCCGGAGGCGCCCTGGCCGTCATGTGTCTCGGTGCCACTGCGGGTACCAACTATCTCCGGCTGCAGGACGTCGCCGGTGCAAACAGGATCGCCATCGCGGTGAACTTCATTTCCTGGATCGCCCAGTTTGTTGGCCACGGCAAGTTTGAGGGGAGGGCCCCTGCGCTGCTCGACAACCCCTTCCAGGCTTTCTTCCTGGCGCCGCTGTTCGTGTGGCTCGAGCTGTTGTTCATGGTGGGCTACCGGCCCGAGCTCAAGAAGCGTGTGGACAAAGCCGTCGAGGTCGAGATTGCCAAGTTTCGCGAGAGGAAAGCGAAGAAGACCGAGAAGGCCCAATAAACGGGCTTCCAGCAAAGGCGTCGACCGACAGGGGATTGGGTCATCCGCCAGACCATCGACAATAACAATCAAATGACCGCCACAAACGGAACCAAATGGATGAGGAAGCAAAGGACAGACAGCGCGAGCGGGCCAGTCAGACCACCATACATTGGCCGAGCAGCAAGGAACGGGAATCGACGCCCACAACGGACTGGGGCGCTTGGATCCTACGGGCGCACTTAGACAAGGGGAAGCAAGGGAGATGCCATGGGAAACTGGGGGGCTTTCGACATTGAGACGTGGATCTCAGAGTCTGTCATAGTTAGGGTTTTGAGACGGTCAGCTTCATTTGCTGGTTGAACATGAGCGTCTCTGGATGCAGCTTTTTACTATGGACATGGGCCCTATATCACCAAACGCTTAACGACGCATCGAGAGAGAATTTGGAAAAGCCTTTCGAGTTAGTAGCCTGGATTATAGCATGCATTCACCTGTTCGACCGTCGACAGCTTCCGTCGTGAAATGCCCCACTTTTCTAGCGACCCGTACCTTTGTAAATATTTGTAATTCGTACACTGACGAACCTAGATTGCCCACTACAAGGAACGGTGAGCCAGCTAACTTCAGGCCACCTTTCTACAGCACCGCAGATCCGTCAACAAGGAGGGACAGAATTACCATCGCTTCCCATTGCGACTACACCCTTCTCGACGTCGCGATACAGGCCACAAAGACCTCCAGGCTTTGACTGGCAGCCGTCTTCGTCGTGCTGCGCTTTCCCAAGTTGCCCCACGTAATCTCTTCGAAACCAAACAATCTCCTCGAAGACACTTAGGACAGCAGCCAAATAATCTCCCACTACTGAACAGCGCAATTCACTGCGTGTATGCAAACAATGGACGACCCACTGCACAGGGCTTTTGATTTCGTACACGGTACGCCCGCCTCTTCCCACCCCCAACTCCCCATTTCCGTTCCCGACATTCGCCACCAACGAAGAGACATCAGACTAACCAAATCCCGAACCCAAATTCATAGACTTCCTCCCCCCAGGAACCCTCACGACTCTCCAAACCTACCTCCTCAACCCGTCCAGCCCGCTCCACAACCTCCGCCGCAGCCTGACGGCCCTCGCCGCGGAAATGCTCTCGCTCCTCACCCCGCTCCTCGACTACCTCGCGGCATTCCTCTCCAACTCCCCGACCATCGTCGCAGCGACCGCTACGCTTCTCATTGCGGTGCTGATCCTGCAGATTCTGAGCATCGTCAAGCGCATCATGCTCTTCTGGACGCGCCTCGCGTTCCGATTGATGTTCTACGCTGTGATCGGGGTAGCGGCGTCTATAGTTTGGCAGAGGGGCGTGGAGAGGACGATTCGGGATGCGGTGGTCGTGGGGAGTCAGGTTGGAGGGTGGATGGCGGGCGTGGTCTCGGTCTGGTGGGAGGAGTATCAGAGGGCGCAAGCGGCGCAGGCGCAAGCACAGCAAAGTCGAGGGGCATATGGGGGGTATGGGGGACATCGGCAGGCACGGCAGAGGTAGAATATGGGATGAAGCCGGTGATGTGTAAGATTGGTGTAGCATGGATTGGTGGGAATATGCTTGGTATGGGCGGTATGGCGTTAAGAGTATGGATGGTGTGTACGGAGTACACTTGGACACTTGATGAGTGGCACCTGCGTAGAGCCTGTTGAGCTTGGTCTGTCTATTGAATAATTCTGGAGAACATCATTGAACCCAGCCACTTTTGAATCCATCCAGACGCCGTCGCTATGCAAAACACCACCTGACCTGACTTAGCAATGCCACAGATTGCACCATTTACCCAAACTGTAAACCATAAACCTGTCTGATGTTCATTCTTCCTCATACTCCTCCTCCGGCAGCTCCTTCGGCTCCTGCGCCTCGTGGTACTGAATAACATCATCAATGTAGCTTAGGATCGCCTGCACGCTGTCCTCGTCGGTGGAGTCGAGCTTGAGATAGCTGACCATGCTGAAGCTTTCGAGCAAACCGGCCACGGCAGCATTGAGCTTTTTGAACGTAGCGCCCGACATGAGGGCGTCCTTGTCCTTTGGATCTGAGCTGTGCACATCCACCTGGACGCCCGCCTTTCTTCGCGCAATGTCCGTTGGGTCGTCGTCCAGGAGCGTGGTGTCGGGCGTGATGAAGCGCTTGAAGTCCTTTTTGCGCATCTGGTCCTTGACCAGGTCCATCTTGCTCAAGATGTTGAGGTGCGGCACCTCGAGCATGATCATGGCGCTCATGGCGCTGAGTGACCCGGCAAAGTACTTGGCGCGGTCCATGACGAACTGTGCCTCCAGCAGATACGCGGCGCACAGCCGGATGTCGAGGGCGCCGGGCTGAGTCAAGAACTTGACCAGTGTCGGGAGGACGGGGATGTGCGTGTAGAGCTCAATCTGTCCGGGCATGTCGAAGATGATGAGATATTCCTCGGTCAGCGAGTCGAGCGCTGCTGTGAGGAAGTCGAGGTTCTCCATGAGGAACTCGAAGCAGTAGATCAGCCCCCCATTGGGGCCGAGCTTCAGTTCGTCCATCACATCCTCGAGCGATATCAAGTCCTTGATGTCGAGGTCTGGCTGGTGCTCGAACTGCTCGGCGGCCGGGTCGAGGTTTACGTAAAAGGCGGATCGTCGGTTCAACCGGAGGTGTGTGATGAGGCTTGCGCAGAAGGTGGACTAGAGCCAAGGCACGGTTAGTATCCGCGGAGAGGGGGGGTTTGAAGGGTAGGAATCTGGAAACCGTCATACCTTGCCCACCCCCGCGGGGCCCATCACCATAACCCCGTATTTACTCATGGTTAGGAATTGCAGAGATTGGCGACCCAATTGTCGAGGATGCAGGGCGTGGTTGCAACCAAGGAGGTGCGACAACAGGGCCGCTAAAACCGCGGTGATAAAAGAGTGGATACCACTTGCCTTCGAAATGTAACGATACGGTATTGTACAAGGGTTATGGCAGTGAGTGCCAAGCCCAATAAGGAAGAGGATGGTTAAGATAATTTCCAGATCTGAAAAGAGCTGAGCTCAGAGGGCTGCGGAGTGGCTGCAAGATATACCCACCAGTGAGTGGGCTCAGCCACGTGATAATACAGATCCATCTGTTACTCCTTAACCATCTTATTTCCAATGCTTTCACTGTTCATATGTAAAGGGAACTTGGGGCCCATATCACAGAGAGTGAGGGAGGTAAATACGGTACCGGTGTTCAACGACTTGATACCTGATTGTAGCTGACCCAAACTATTCAAAGTCACTGTGCCGATTCTGTCAACATCCCAGGTCGGGTAGCTCATCATCAGCTCCCACTAGCAAATTGCCAGAGGAGCGAATGTCGCAAGACTCGCAACCAGCCGCGGCCAAACGTGGCTTTCCTCTTTTCTCGACATCTCTGCCCCTCAGTGGGGCAACATCAATGGCATGGAGGGCATGCGGTGAGGGGCAGTAATGGCGCAATCACACCCTGAAGTATCCGATACCACCCGGCAAATGCAAAAGTGTCTCCTGCTACAAAATAAGTCAACCATCAGCCCTGGAGTGAGGGGCACAAAACGACCCATGGATATGGGCGTGTCTCCGGAGTGAAAATGTTCGAGGGCACCTTTGTGCCCGCATGGAGCGTCTTGCGGTCACTTCAACCAACACCGTCATTGGTTGCATCTCACCAGCACGGGTTCCCTCGGCTAACAGCTTGATCAAAAATCCCCGACTCGGTAGCTCGTCAGATTTTGTGTAGTCGGGAGGGCTCTTTGTGTGCTGGTACCCCGCTGTCCCGCCATTCGCAATCCTTGCGCGGGTTAAAATGGAATGGCCGACGCTCGGCGATTTTCTGTTTCTCAGGGACCGGACCTTGCCAAATTCCTCAAATACTCTCACATCCCCAGGAGCCTTTTGCTTCCCCATCTCTCTCTCGCGCGCAAATTATCTGCCCTCACCCTCTTGTCTCCGCTATATTTAACCGGCTGCTTTGCTACTTCCGTTTCTTTCACTAAAACTAAAGGTGAGTTTGAACGAACCTCGATGATTTTGTTCTGAGAGTCGTAATCCCGCCTGATATCCCCGTCTTGACCTCTGAGAAGGCCAGCTTCTTGCAATTCATCGACGAAGCTTGGTGAGGAAGGACAACTGAGGCGATCAGTATCGCTTCCAGAACAGCTGTCCCTGTCATTCTCGATTAGATCGGACTGTCTGGTGCTCTCCCTCATGGAAGCGACACGCCTGCTGAGGTTCCCCTCCCGCTATCCCTCAAGCGTACCCAGGCAGAGTTTTATACCCGAAGCGACCGCTAACCCATCCCTGGTTCTCTCCCTCTCATAGATCATACAATGACTGCCAACGGCGTCAACGGTAGCAACGGCGATGGCGTGAGCGGGTGGAAGCATTACAACGAGGGCACCTTCCTCTTTACCGTAAGTCCTGACAGCGCCGCAATCGCGCATGGTCAGCGCTGACCGCCTTGACAGTCCGAGTCCGTCGGTGAGGGTCACCCCGACAAGATTGCCGATCAGGTCTCGGATGCTATCCTCGATGCCTGCTTGGCCGAGGACCCCTTATCCAAGGTCGCTTGCGAGACGGCCACCAAGACCGGTATGATCATGGTTTTCGGCGAGATCACCACCAAGGCCAAGCTCGACTACCAGAAGGTTGTCCGCCAAGCCGTCAAGGACATTGGCTACGACGACTCCTCCAAGGGATTCGACTACAAGACCCTCAACCTGCTTGTCGCCATTGAGGAGCAATCCCCGGATATCGCGCAGGGTTTGCACCTGGACGACCGCCTTGAGAACCTTGGTGCTGGTGACCAGGGTATCATGTTCGGTTATGCAACCGATGAGACCCCTGAGCTGTTCCCCCTCACCCTCCTCTTTGCTCACAAACTCAACGCCGCTATGGCTGCTGCTCGCCGCGATGGCACCCTTCCCTGGCTCCGCCCCGACACCAAGACCCAGGTTACCATTGAGTACAAGCACGACAACGGTGCAGTTGTTCCCCTCCGTGTCGACACCGTCGTCGTCTCTGCCCAGCACTCTGCGGATATCACTACTGAGCAGCTGCGCAAGGAGATTCTGGAGAAGATCATTAAGACCACCATCCCTGCCAAGTACCTGGATGACCGGACTATCTACCACGTGAGGATCCATGTCTGCGAACACCTGAATGGCGTTGTACTGATAAGAACCAGATTCAACCCTCTGGCCTCTTCATCATTGGTGGGCCCCAGGGTGACGCCGGTCTGACTGGCCGCAAAATTATCGTCGACACGTACGGTGGCTGGGGCGCCCACGGTGGCGGTGCCTTCTCCGGCAAGGACTTCTCCAAAGTTGACCGTTCCGCCGCTTACGTCGGCCGTTGGATCGCCAAGTCCCTCGTTGCTGCCGGTCTCGCTCGCCGTGCTCTCGTCCAGCTCTCGTACGCCATCGGTGTTGCTGAGCCTCTCTCGATCTACGTCGACACGTACGGCACTTCGGAGAAGACGTCGGACGAGCTCGTCAAGATCATCCGCGACAACTTCGACCTGCGGCCTGGCGTCATTGTCAAAGAGCTGGATCTGGCCAAGCCCATCTACCTCCAGACTGCCAAGAACGGCCACTTCGGCACCAACCAGAACTTCAGCTGGGAGAAGCCCAAGGCCCTCAAGTTCTAAGTGAGATGCAATGTCGCAGAAGATTCAACTTCTCTCTGCTGATATTGTCTCGCTCGTCCTCGGACGATTTCTAATCTCTTGTTTCATGGTTTTATGGCATATGGATGGATAGCATTATCGGCGTACGGTCTTCAACAAACCTGGGTGGGCGGATAGACTTATATCCCTGTCGTTTCACGTTTTGCTTAGGTCTTTTATGGGTTACTGGGTAAAACGTTGGTGGCGTGGTGTCAGGTCAGGGAGACAAAGCCGATACGTGCCAGTGCGGCTTCCCTTGTTTTTTCTTGCTTTTCAACGGCGGAAGTACGTCTCCCGGAGTCTTTTGCTCCTCACGAATATCAAAGTCTTCCACCAGATCGGGACAGGAGAGGTTTATGGTCGGTAGGCGTCTTTCAACAAAGACAATGCATGAGCCAAGAGGGCGCCTGAGTTTATTTGCGATACCCCATGGGGAAACGGCATAAGAGGGCACAAGACATCGGCGTTACGGGGAAAACAAAAGAACTTCAACATCTTTTCTTTTCCTGAATCATTAGACGTCGATACAGTCTTTTTGGCTTGGCAGGAAAGAGAGGGAGACCTTTGTAGGCGGAGTTGGGTCTTTAAGACCCTTGGAGATGAGGACGATGGAAGAAGTGGGTTTGTCGTATGCGGTTCGCGAGATAGCAGCGATGCTCCTCGCACGGTCCAAATCACGAATATCAAAGCGCTGATTGACGTGTCTCTGTTATGTGCCGCCTGGCGAAGTTGTGAATATATCGCCTGGCAGGTTTGAGACGAGGCTACAATGTTGTGTGGGTTTATGGGAACAGCAAGTCCTGCGTATCCGTACATCTTCTCTTTGCTCACAAAGCTGAATCTGATGTTCCACCCTACGGAGTACATTACTCAATCCCGTTCCTAGACCTGCTTCCATCTTGCACCCGACATCGTACATCGGTGGCAGGGTTGTGATGGAAGACAGCGGTTGATCCAGTCTCGGACCCGTTTAACCTGATGGAGCTGTATACGCCTGACACTTCTTTAATGACATGTCTCAGTGAAGCAGAGTTGCTTTCTTAGGCGCCGAAATGCTTGTCCCAACTGTTGAGACTGCAGACCACAACGGAGAGTGCGGGGTGGCTTCTCGTGCGTGGGTACTCGGTTTCCTTACCTCAGCGAGGTCCTGAGATTTCCCTGCATTGCCGGACTTCCATCCGGATTTGAGATGGTATTCATGTGAGAAGCAGGAGACAGAGAAGAAGTTTGACGTCGTCGGACATCGTCTGAAGTCAAGACCCGGCCCATCCCTAGCGTTCAGAATTGAGGCCCGTGCCGAAGCCGCTCGGCTGATTGTCCCGACCTGCCCCTGCCGCTGCAGCTGTTCCGTTTGGTTTGCCGTTGAATTGGGAACCAGAAACGAACTGATCATCAGCTTTGACTCAACGTGTCTCCAACGACAAAAGCAGCCTCGAGCCTGCCAACTACCGAGTCTGGCGGCGGGAACACCGCTCCTGGAGTTCAAAATTGACGAGAAAGGGGCGCGATCGATCAGCATCTGAGTTGGCAAAAACCACCCTGCACGGCGCTTGGTGGGTCCTTCCGTCTCCCCACACCTGGCAGTGAAAGCTCACCCCCGGCCCGGCAATTTCCAACCTTTCTACGTGTATTACTACGGAATATGGACAGTTAGCTCGCGACGCGCTCCAGGGTCCCGAATTGCAATTTCTTTGCTGACCATACAATCCGTGACACTCATTTTTTCCCCTCGTCGTTTGCCCAGCACATTGTGGCGGCAACTCGAGACGAGCGACAACCTAAGAAACTTCGCATACGCACCAAACTGTCTTGGAACAACGGCTTGAGACTCGAACAATTGTGACGGAATCGATTCAGAGCACCACTGTGGCTTACCAGGCAGAATTCGTGACTTAACGGAGATATCAGGGTTCGATCCCACGGTTGATTGCGGTCGCTACGGCTCTTTAACGCCACTCGCGCTCGCTTCCTCATATCCGGTCTCTGGTTGTTCTGCAGGCGCATTGCACCTCGCCGTCGGGAAACACAACTTCCACTTCTGTCATTCAACAAACGCACGTACCCGCGTGTTCTCGGCCAGGAGTACAGACGGCCTCGAGGCCATTGGGCCCGCCATCTCTCCGTTTCCAATCCGCTCCCACCGACGCTGCCCAACGTTCGGTGCTTACCAGGGCCACAAACACCACCGCCATGGCAGCCATGGAAGCGGCAAACGCAGACTACCGCAATGGACACCAACAGCAGCTGGGCCCGCTCCCGGCTTCTCCCACCTTGACGAACCCCGATATGATCCTTCCAGACTACGAGAGAAGCGACTCCCCCGACCCGGATCTCGATCGTGCTGACATGATGTGGAAGAACGCGCACATGTCTGCGTCGTCCTCCAATATGCATCACATGTTTGTCGCAACTGGCCTGGCCGGGCCGGGCCCGTATGGCGCCGCCGGTCCCATCACGCCCACCACGCCCATCATCTATGGGAACGGTACCATGCTGTCGGACATTGGGGAGGTCACCGAGGTCGAGAGCACGATCGGCGGGCCAACGGCAGCGCGCACCAAGGCCGCCATACGGAGACCGGCGTCCCCCAAGCGAGGGAGCGGAAGTGAGGCAGCGCTCAGGTCTTCCCCCACCATGGGCGCGGCAGGCATGATGAAAAAAAAGTCTATGCAGAGTTTGAAGACCAAACGCGAACACCGGTCGAGCATCGAGAGCAACAGCACCATCACGACGGACCATGCGGCTGTCTTTGCCGACTTTGACGACTCGGTGAGCGTCGGCGACAGTGTGTTTCAGGGAGACGACGAAGAGAGCATGGCTTCGTCGTATGTGGAGGGAACGGCGGCCGTTGAGCCTGCGAGGCTAGGGGTTGCGAAGGTGGAGAATATCGATCGATTGTCTACGTACTCGACGTCTTCCCTTAGTCGGCGTGCCGAGGAGATTCTTGCGAACGCGAAGAGGAGGTTGACGGTAGGTGCGGAACTATTACCCGAGATGCATTATTTGCTAATTCTGGTCAGACGATGGAGGGCAACTTAACTCGGGCGCGCAGTTCGTTGCACTACACTTCATCGCATGAATCCGACGGATCAACACCTTCTCCGCCCTTCCAGCGAGCTTCCACGGCCATGTATTCGCGTGATGGAGACCCCTCCTCCCCTTCCCCGGACGCTGTCCACACGCGAATGTCTAGCGAGATTGCCATGCGGAATGGGCTGCCATATCGAGTGTCCATGCCAAGGTCGCAGAGCGCACTTGGAGCTGCTGGCGGTTACAGACAGCCATTGACGGCCTCAAAGAGCGCAGATTACAGTCAGGGAAACCCAGACGACCGGACCGTCCACAAGGCCAACTCAGCCCGGGAAACCGGCCCAAAACAACTCACCGAGGACGAAGTTGCCCGGCTTGGCGAAGCAGACAGCGCAAGCCAAAATGCGAGGATTCAAGCGTTCCTCAGTCCAACGTTTGGTTCCTTTCACAGCGATACCAGTGTCAGGAATCCCCAGAGGTCATCCTCTGCAGCCCAGATGCGAGATATCAAGGATCAGATGAGGGACTTAAAGGGCAAGATCTCCAGTCTCAGGGAGCAAGCTCGCGTTGACAGCATGAAAAGGCGGAGTCTGCAAAGCCTCCGAACTCCCAGTCCCTTCACCCATTCACAACTCGACCAGTGGTATACGGAGCCTCCGTCGAACAGGGCTTCACAGATTAGTGCGGGCAGCCTGCCCGGTCGCAATCCTTGGAATGGCGAAGTGTCGAGCGTGGATGGCGATGCGAAGGAGTTTGCACACCACAGGGACGATCATGCCGAAGGGGAAGACACCGAGTACGCTGACGCGGAGACTGGGGTGGACACTGAGCACGTCGCCGAGCCCAAGCCCTCTCCTTCGACTCCAGTTGCTGAGACCAACCACGTCAATAACGACGTCTCTGACTTGGACACGGAGAACGACGAGATGAATGAAGAACAGGAGGGCCATCAGAATGTAGATGACGCCGACCGCATGAGCGAGAGCGGGGAATCCCTCTACCACGACACGGTTCAATACCAAATCTCGCACGAAGACCGCGAGGATGCATTCGACTACGAGCACTTTTTCCTGCACAGCGCCATGGGCACCATGAGCTTGACACGGCGCTCGAGCACAGAAAGTTTTTCCTCGGAGGACTCGGTTGAGACAACCCGCGGGCCCATCAGCAACGGAGCGAACAGCGGCGAGCACAGCACTGAGCAACCTTCGGTTCTCGGGAGGCGGAACAGCAGCAACTCGATCTCCACCATTGACACATTCGCCACGGCCCAAGAAGGCCGGTCCCTCAAGTCCCCCGTGAGCCCCGATGAATACCACAGCATCCACGACAGTTCCTCCCGCGCCACCTCCGCTCAAAGCCACCGCCACCGCTCCGGCAGTACGGCCACAGCCAAGCGCCTTTCGCTCAACCCACCGTCCGCCTATCCTACACCATCCAACACTGCCACCCGCGACAGCGACGGCTCCATCTCCCCGATCGCCGAGGAATCTTCTGTCTCCGGGTCCCCAGCGAACCACACCGTCAGCAAGTCCTCTCATTCGACAACCCGCCGCTCTTCGGTCATCCACCGCCCCATGTCCTCGGCCCTCCACCGGCCATCCATCGCCTCGTTTGACTCGGTCGGCACGAACCGCAGCTTTCCGCTCGTCAACAAGCCGTACCCGAGAAAGGCACACAGCACTACCGGCGTTCTCACCCCGCGCGACTCGCCCGATCACGCCCAGGAGCGGGATACCCGTCGTGACAGCGAGCTGAATACCATCGCCAGCATGCTCATGAGTGATATGGCCGCGGCACACGATGCGCGGAGTGGCAGTGAACCCGAAGGGGATGCCGCTACCAACGGTGATGGCGCGGGGAACAGAATCGGCGGCCTCAACGGCGCCGCTCACCCACTCGAGGCGCTGCTGAGAGAGGACAGGTACCTCGTCGAGAGGGTGGTGGCAAGCTTGGGAAGGTGTGTGCTGGGGCTGACGGAGAATGGGAGGGCGAGCGCCGAGAGCAGGATGTATCGGCGCCGGATCGATGCCGCGAGACGGGCGCTGGAGGGGATTGAGGGGGATTTGGAGGGGTGATCATTTTAGTAGGAGAGGGATGGTTTCGCCATGCTGGCCGTGGGCGGATCAAAGCCTAATACCTATTCCTGGTGGTTGGTATCTCTTTGTGCTGGTCTGGTATGGTATGTGGAGGTCGGCCAGTGGTGTCTTCATTGCTGTTTTCCCTCGGCGTGTGTCTTTCAGGGGTGACGTTGCAGAACTTTGTCTCTTTTCGGCACGAGGATTGGTTTCTGGTCCAGAGGGGACCAAGGGGTGGGCGAGTCGACATCGTCTTTGGCACGATGTTTCAAGAGGTGATGTCGGGGCGATGCGGTAAAGGTGGAAAATCGAGGAGTAATTGGTAATGTTATACCAACCCGAGTGCTCTTGACAGCGCTTGGAACATGGAGTCAACGGGGCCAAAAGGCCTCTCTCAAGTTCATACTGCGAGAGAAGATACCCATGGAAAGGGTCGGTGTGGTGTCAGAAGAGGGCAGTCTGGCTGGTCTTGCGAGATGGTGTGAGCGTTTACTCTGGTGATCGGCGTCTGGGGGAAACACGGGGTTTTTTGACTTCGGTTACGGGAGTTGGTTTGATACCCCAGGTACGGCTTTGGTGTATAACATATATCGGCTTTGTGGAATCTAGTACTTGATCCAGGACGATCGGAAATGAGCTTTGCTTTTGAGAAACCTCTTGTTTTGGTCACTTTTCTGTCCAGTCCCTGAACTTTACGCAACTGGGAACACCTCCATCGTGGCGGCTTCCTCCCGTATTTCTGGGTGCAATGGCCGTCTGTTTCCTGACCCTCTTCCAACTCACGGCGTCTAAATGCAACATATGCGAGAAATTTGGCGGAAATCCAGCTGTATATCAATCATCTTTGAATGCCTCGTTCCGTGCTTTTCGGGCAGCATCCGATGACCCCTCAGGAGGCTGACGGTTGGCAATGAGGCGCTGCATTATGTCAGTACACCAGAGCAAATTACACCATTGCACAGGTATACGCACCACCAGGTTCCGGAGCAACACGGCAATGGTCACCTTGCCGGTGCTGGGCACATAGATGCTGGCCTTCTCCTTGACGGCGGTCCCGTCAAAGTTGCGGTAGCTCGAGAAGTTGATGCACACGGCGCCGTCGCGGATCAGCTCGGTGGGCACCTTGAAGTCCTCGGAGGGCACGCCCGAGATGACAACGTCGCTCAACGGCAGCACGTCCTTGAGTTGCCAGCCCTCCTTGTCGTGGACCTGGTGGCGTGGGGCGCGGATGCCGCTGCCGCGGGTGAAGAGCTGCACTCCCGTGATATCGACGCTGTAGACGGTGGCGCCGTCGTTGGCCAGCAGGGCGGCCAGCGGGCGGCCGTTGACCTCGCTGCGGTTGATGACGGTGATGGTCTTGCCAAACAGGCGGTTTCCGTAGGCCAGGATGGGGTTGTAGATCTGCAGGTGTTCAAGAGCCTTCACGATGGCCAGCGGCGTGCAGGGAAGGATCGACTTCTTCTGGTTCGTGGGCGGGTCGAGGAAGCGCACGTTGTGGTACATGTTGAAGAGATGGGTGTGACAGAGACCTTCGACGTCCTTGGAGAGGGCGACCGTCTCTTGGATGTAGCGGTCCTGCTGCTGGTTGTTGCGCCAGATGGGATAGTAGACCAGGATGCCGTCCACGGCATCGTCCTGGTTGGCGGCCAAGACGGCCTCTTCAAGGTCCTCCTTATCGACCTTGCGGAGGTCAAAGTTGAAGTCGCTGTGAGGGTGTCAGAGAGAGATGCTCATAACCTTTGATATGTGAGAGAGAATTTCTCACTCACTTCTCCTCGCATGTCTTCTTGGACCAGTCGGCATACTGCCCGGCGGCCGGGTCATCGTTTGCCAGGAATGCAACCAAGGTGGGCTTGCGGGCGTCAGCGCCCTGGATGGTGGCCAGCGTTTCCTTGACCTCAGCCAGCAGCTTCTTGGCTATTGTGTCGGCGAGGATGACCTTGCAGGTCTTGGGCACCTCCTGCGAGGCCATGCTGAGGGCTTATGAACGTTGCAACACGGGGCTGTCTAATGGTGTATTAGCGGTTGCTCTTGGCAAGCCATGTGCCCTGAAGTTGATCACTGTTCTTTGTGTGTATTTGGAAGTCTTGGATCATAATAAGATGAGAGAAACAAGTGAATAAGCAGGTGTGCAAGTGAACAGCGACCCGCTGCTGTGGCTCAACACCAGCCCAGACAACCTCAGATGATTGCAAAGTGAGCAACAGTGATGGAAGCAGCTTACCCCGCGAAACCCACTAACAAGTCAAGCTGCCGATGGACTAGTAAAACGTTTTAGGGTAACCAAGGAGTGAGATACTAGATCGTGTGAAACCTTGTCCTTCATAAGACAATGGCCCAGACTTTCATGAGACACCGCACTTGAGAGATTTGAATCTCTGGTTCCGATCGGGATGTACATGGCGGCTCCCAGAACTGGCAACCCTGGTACACTCCTCCTGGCGAGAAAAAGTTTGGTAAGAATTGGCAACATACCGATCTACCCCTCTTACCACTTACAGTTTAGCGTTCCCTGCTCAGGGCTCTTCAGCTCAGCGATAGCGTCATATTTCTCCTTACCGCCTTGGTTACTGCCGAGGACAAGCGTGGGGCAGAGGGCGATAACGGCGCAAGTGCAACCATTCACTCAGAGACTCGTGCATGCATCTGAGATGCTTAATGTAGACTTGAACGACTACCCAAACCAAACGAGCATATTTTCTGAGAAGACCCTAGTTCTCTGCATCCAAGACGACACTGCTGGCTAAGCGTAAGGTCGGGACTGGAAGCGTCTCACGGGCAGAGGTCAAAAGCGCACTGTTCGTTGAAAGCCAGACAAGCCATGGCTCAGTTTAACCAGTGGGCGTTGGAGTATGTTCTCTCAGACGATGAGATTGCTCAGTTAGAAATCGTCAAGAAAGCAGCAAAGGGCAAGAAAATCTGTCGGCAAATTCAAAGAAACCTAAGCTGATCTGTATTCCAGAAATCGAGAGTTCCCGCGCCAGCAGCACAGTAGTGGGAAACTGGGCGGCTTCGGTGCAACAATGGATGACTCCAACACATGCCGATGACGACGAGATGGAGGATGGGGACGAGGGCGGCAGCGGAAATATCATTGCCCGGGCCAAAGGTATGCATGTACCTCTCCCGTTCAGGAGCTGACCAGATGCTGACTTAGTCTCCCCTGGTTGCCAGCTTTGGGCTTCCTCGCCGGAACACTGGAGGCTCTCAACAAAAGCATACTAAAGTCAGACCAAGGTAACTTTTACTGACCATATCTCCTCTCCTTGAGCGAATCACTGATGGACCACAGTCCTACGGCTCATTGGCTTCTTTGGAGCCATGTTCTCGTACGACCACAAGGCGGGCATCACGGCTTCTGCAAAGGCTCTCCGCCGGCTCTATGCCATGAAGGCTTTCAAACCGGACATGGGAGTCAAGATCCTCGAGGACGTCTGCAAGATCAAAGAGGATTTCCGGTTACAAACCGCAGTCACCCGCTTGGAGATCTACGAGCTCTTCCTCAGCCTCGTCCAGGACCCAGCCGTCAGCAGCGAACTGAGACTTAAATACGGCCCATCCAGCGGCTTTGTTATCGATCTCCTCCAGTTGTGTCAGAACGAGAGAGACCCGAGGAACCTCATGGTGTGGTTCAGCATTTTGGCCCTCCTGCTTACAGATTTCGACCCTTCTCCTGAAGTGACCGAGGAGATTTTCAAGGTCTTCTCTGCCTACTTCCCCATCTCTCTGCGTAGCTCCGCCACCCCAATAGGCATAACCGCCGAGGACCTCAAGGAAGCTGTGCGGGGCTGTTTCTCAGCACACCAGCGAGTCGCCAGCCACGCCTTCCCATTCCTCATCCAGAAGCTCGATCAAGGGGATGCAGTTACCGTGGCAGTCAAGGTGAGTTTGGCACCATCCCGCTCGAAAACCTCACTGGCGACTAAATCTCGACGCTGACTTCGACTAGTTGGACATTCTCAAAACTATCCAGGCTTGCATCGAGCGGTATGAAAATCCACAAGCAAACGTCGTCCCGCATCTTGGAAAGATCTGGAACTCGCTCAAGTACGAAGTACGGAATGGCGAGGTGAAGGAGACGATCGACGCGACGCTGAATGTGCTTCGGGCCATCGCTCGGAGGCTAGATGGAACAGCAACCAACAAGCTCGACGTCTCCTTGCTTAGTAGTTACGTCGATTTAGTTTCCAGGGACTGCCGGGACGACCTTCCCAACCCGACCTACACAAAGCAGGCTGGGCTGCTGTTGATGACCGTCATAGGCTCCAACATCCGGGCCTACTTGCTCTACAACGCCAGTTTTATCGACACCATCCGTCAGAATCTCCGCCAGCCGAAATCACCCGCCCACACGAAAGATTTGCTGCTACTCCTTAATTCTGTTCTGAAAACTCGGATCGAGTTGTTTAGGGACAGGAAGCAAGGGCACCCAGACGATGTACAAGGGCTGGCGACAGAGACCCGGGCCCATCTTGACATGTTGTTCCACGACGTGTATTTGCCGATATGGACAACCAAGGCCACGGAGCCCGTCTCTGAGGAGAGGGACGTCCTCAAACAGGTTATTCAGGGCCTTGCCCTACTCGTCAGCCAGCCGGTGTTACTGGCCGACGGGACGCTTGCCCTCCTATGTTCTGCTTCAATCTGCTCCGAGATTTGCTCTCTTTTGACGGTAACCATCACAAAGGGTCTGACTCTGAGCTCGAATGACAAGCAGTCTGAGGACAGTGCTCTGGAAGATGAGGCAGTGCTGGCCCTTCGTACCATTGTCATGAACTACACGGACGGCTATGCAGAGCTCGCCGCACGGGTCAAGGCAGAGATCAAGAAGCGCAACTGGGTCAGCCCCTCGGAGTATTCACTGAACGCTCTCAAGGATCTCTTGTCTCGCTTCACCTTTATCGGCTGCTCCGAGATCCCCTCGAATATTGCGACTGACATGCCAACCCAGAAGCAGCCGTCAACACTTCAACACTTTATCACACTGACCACGAATCTTCTGGAACTCTTTCCTCTCTCGTCCCAAGCCACATCCTCCGAGGTTGACACGGAAGAAGGTCCGTCTGCGAATGCTCACGTCGTCTCGTCACTTCATGCCTCCATCATCTGGTTTCGAGACGCCTGCGAAGCGAAACACGGGAAGGAAGCACTTGCTTCCCCTTTTTCCGATGATCAAAAATGGCTGCAGGAATTCCAGCAATTTCCAGAAGACTGGCCGTCGCAAATACAGCATGGTAATGACGGGCCAGACTCGCTACTGTCCACATCACAGCAGTATGGTGCCGAGGTTTATCACCGGTTCCTGAAGCTCGGCCTCCTGATTGTGAGGCACCTCTACCGATCTGCAGCATTCGGTCCGCCAGGACCATGGGGAGAGCGAGCCCTCGTCCAATTGTCGCAGATGGCAGCGCTGGTGGTACGGAGTCTGGATGAGAAGCTTCAGGTGTCTTGCAACTTGGCCCAAGAAGCCTTTAGTTTCTTCGGGAGATTGGAGGAACAGTCGGTGCAGTCCCGATTATCAGGATTGTTGGCAAAACTGTTAACGCTGGGCATACTCCAAGGACTGCGGCCAGGTGCACTGGAGGGTTTGGTACGTCATTCTCCTCAGTTGTCGCCATGCTGTACTGACCAGTGTTTAACAGTACACACCAGGCGGCGAGGCGGAAAGGTTCATGTGTGATACCTCCAGCTTCGGCCGTTCCCCCTCGCGCGAAAGCGACATCCGAGCGGCTATCGGAGCGATACTCGCCAACAAGTACAACGGGAAGCCACCAACCTCGGACCCTGACTCTTCAGTAATGAAGCGTGTGCTTGACTTCTGGGCCAACTGGTTGACGGAAGCCGTCGCCGCCTCATCAGCAATGGACCCGGCCACCTTCCACGCCTACAATACCATTGCCATGAACGTCCTGGACGGTGCTGCAGCCCGCCAAGACAAGCGCGTCCTCGCCCTTATCCCGACCCTTCACCAAGCTGCCGCAAGCACCCACCCCAACGGCAAGATCCTCGCCCAGTCCCTCGGCCTCATCGTCAAAGAAAACCCGCTCCTCACCCCAGCCAACCACGCCCACCTCAAGCGCTTCTACAAGCAATGGGCTTACACTCACCTCGCCAAACCCCTCCTCCAGGCCGCCCAACCCGCCCCGGACAAGGACGCGAATGCCGCGGCGCGCTATCGCGTCGCTGTCCTTTCCGTAGTCAGCAACTGTCCGTTTACCGTCTACCAAGATGATCTGGACCTGCTCATCCGCCTCTTGGTTACAGCGCTGAGCAACCGGGGCGGCGACGACGGCAACGGCCAGTCGAATCAACAGGAAGAAGAAGCAGCCTGGTTGGCGCACGTGGTTGCAGCCCTGGAAGTGCTGGTGGAGATACTGAACCACGAGCCGGCGGCGTTGAAGGAGTATTTGAGGGAGGTGATTGGGGGAGTGACGGGGGTTTATCAGACGTGCTCTCCCATTGCTTTTATAAGTCAAGGAGGTACGGGTTCGGCCCTGAAGGTCCAGCGGGGGACGGCGCGGGCGACATGCCGGAGTCTGGCGCTGCGGGTGCTGGGGGCGATTCCCACTAGGTTTGAGGAGCGCCATGTGTTGGCTTATTCTTTGCCCACGCAGCGGATGCTGGCGGTGGCGTGTGGGGATCCGGTGAGGAAGGTGAGGGAAGTTGCGAGAAAGGCGAGGGCGAATTGGGCAATGGTTGTTGTTTAGAGGCGAGATTGAGGGGCTAACTGGAGAGACGATATGTAAGGCGCGGCGACGGGAATGATGTGTCCTTAGGGATGGAGGTGAAAACAGAGACGACGAAATGGGGGAATGAGGTGTCACATGGGGAAATCTAGCGCAGCATCCGTCACGGACTAGGAAATAGAACGCTCACCATGGGTATCTCTCCTCTTGTCATATTGGATTGATAACATGTGCCGTGTCTTGTAAACCAAGGAGTTTGATACCTTTTGAAGGTCCATACGCACCAAGCCTGCGCCAACTTCTAGCCATTATGACCTCTGTATCCAAACACAATCTCACGCCTTCCTCCTCTTCCCCGCCTTCTTCGCCTCCGCCGCCTCGGACCCAGTCGCCTCCTCCGCCGCAGAACCAACAACGCTGACATTGGCCTGGGCCAGCACATTCAACATCTCGGGCGTATACGCCGCGGGCCCGTCCGCTTCCTCCCTCGCCTTGGCCGCCCTCTTCGGATCCGCCCGCCCAATCACTCCGACCGAACCCGCCAGCATCGCCTGGAACGGCGCCGCCACGAACCGCCCCGCCCCGTCAAACCACTCGGTAAACGACCGACTGACCTTCACCGTCTCCACCACCTCTTTCCCTCCCTTGCCCGTGACCTCCACCGTGACATGGTACGTCGGCACGTTCTTCTTGGTCGCCGTGCTGATCCGCACCGTCTCGCCGCCTGCGGCAGAGGGCGCGGTGCCGACGTAGACGGTCCCGCGCTCAACGTAGCACACCCAGAGGGTCAGCAAGCCGTTGAGGAGCGTGTAGAGCGCCACCGCGGCCGCGGTCAGGTGCTTGGTCGAGTCGAAGCCAAACTTGTAATCCCACGCGAAGCAAGCGGCGGCGAGCGCGAAGGCCGTGTAGCCCAGCGCGAGACGGACATCGGTTAGCCGGTGGGATTGGGTGAAGCCCAGGCTGTTGAGGTAATTAGGGATTGCATCGTCCGAGGTGTTTTTTAGGTCTATTTGTGCAGTGTATGTCAGAAGTCAGGACGGCAAGTTGGGAGGAGGCGGTGGTGGATGATTTACCTGCGAGATTGTAGACGGTGATCTTATCTTGGGATGATGCCATTTTGCTGGCGGGTTTCTGAGATTTAAGCAGCGGTTTGGGGATTGGAGAGGAACGGCTGATGCTGCTCAGGTGAGGTTGAAGTGGTCAGCCTGGGGAGAGATTCGATTCGAGCTCAATCGTGGAAAGGCCACCTGCACTTTTGGACAAGCTTCATGCATCTCCCCGATTGGCTTGTGAGGTCGGGTTTGCTGCGGCAGGCAATGAAGCTGCCGCCCCACCTACAACCCCTGGTCTTGGCAAACTGGAGAGCTTCCAAGTCGACACCAGCTTGAGTCAGGGCGTGGACAAACACCCATCCATCAACAGCCTTGCTCAGCGCAGAAGTAACCCTAACACCGACAAGATGGCGCAGGTACCGATGCAGACGATCCATAGGGATCCCCAGTTATTGTGAGTACCAGTTCCTCGCAGACACGGATGTTCAAGCTGTTAACGAGAAGCACAGCTACTGGATCCTGTTTCCCATCACCATTGTCATGGTAGACACGACAACTGCCCTTTTCTGCGCGCATTGGCTTACCACCCGATCAGATTCTTACAGGAATGCTTCGGCATTACGCGACTGTTCTAATGGCCTCGGACCCCAAGAAGCTCGACCAAAAGGCGATGCGCGAGCAACGGGCGCTTCTTCACGGCATGAACCTGCGCGCTAACTATCACGTCCTCTCCAAGCCCTCGTTCACCGCTCGCCGAGACGCCCTCATCACGGCCTTTGAGTCGGGCGCCTATCTCAAGGACCCGGACAGCCGCGGCCAGCCGCCTCCGAACCCGATGAGCGACCCCAACGCCATGGAGGGCATGATGGGCATGATGAAGAACCAGATGGCCATGATTATACCTAATACACTTATCATGAGCTGGATCAATGCCTTTTTCAGCGGCTATGTGATTAGTGCGTCTTGAGGATCCCATGTTTGATAGACTGCTGAGCTGACACAGACAGTGAAACTACCCTTCCCCCTTACCATCAAGTTCAAGAGCATGCTGCAGGCTGGCGTGGCGACCCGTGACATGGATCCGCGGTGGATGTCGAGCATCAGCTGGTACTTTCTCTGCATTTTTGGCCTGCAGTCCGTCTTCAATTTCCTGCTTGGTAGCGAGAACGGTATATCGCCCTCTCCCCGAAATCCATCTTCGACTCCCCCTGCTAATACTTCCCCAGCCGCGAACCAAATGGCGCAGCAGATGAACCAAATAGGCCCCCAAGCAGGCCAGATGTTTGGCCCCGGCGTTGACCCCAACAAGCAGTTCCTCGCCGAAGCCGAAAATCTGGCGGTTATCGAACACCATTCCGTCCTGGACGGCGTCGAGCAGCGCCTTTTGGAAGGCATCAAAATGTAGCTTATCAACCGACATAGACCACCATAGGCGAGCTGCGAAGTATACCACCACTCCAGCCCATCATTCCCACCACAGACACACCCCTAGCCCTGGCCCGTTCATGGACCCTATAATCTTGTACGGAGGTTTGGTGTTGATGGGGGCGGGCTGCTGCTCCTCGGTCCCTTCGACCGGCTCGACCGGCTTCGACGGGGTCTGGTCGTGCCACTCCTCGGCGATGACCCTGAAGCGGACCATCTCGTTGTCGTCGAAGTACATGACCTGGTCCTCTTCCTTCCAGACCCAGAGCTTTTCGGACGGCTCACTGGCGGATTGTCAGCTTGGACTCGATGCTGGGAAAACGAAGTTGAGGACACACAATTCTGAGCCTTCTGGTAGCTCTGTCCAAGGGACGAAAATGTCATCGAAGAAATCTGTGACCACTGCAACAAGAATACGTCAGCTCTAGCTCCGATAGAGGTGGGGAAACCTGGACTGACGATTAATCCCCTCTGGCGACTGGTCCGCAATGCGTGCTACGATGACCTCTCCCTTAAAGGGCCGGAACACTACCAAGCGGAACTCAACTGGGAGCCGTTGTCAGTCACCGGACGGTCGAGATGGGGTTTACCATGCGTACCGTTGACGTTGACCATGCCGTCCCCCTGCCCAATCAGCCCTTCTGATGTCCATAGGATATCCCAGAGACAGATGCAGAGCCCGATCTTTTGCACTACCTGCTCAAAAGCGGTTAGAGCGAAACCTAACGAGAAGACGTAGGAAGCGAGGCTTGCCTTGTTGGCATATTTGGCGTTGATGTTGTCCTCAATTGCCGCGTAGCTTTGTTTCCTGAAGTCATCTGGCGCAATTTGCACGAGGTCCGCTATCTTGGTCTATAGCAGATCAAGCGTGTTAGTGGTGTAATGGTAGCTGACATATCGTGATGCGAGGATTACTGTACGAACCAAGATGAACATGTCGATTTGTACATGGGCTTGTTCTCTTCTTAGTCGGCGTCTCTGCTATGGAAACCGGGCTCAGCGTCTGTCTTGTGCCTGGCTGATATCGAATTCAACTCCGTGAACTCGTCAAGATTGGTTGTGGTCGATGGATGGGTTTGGACAATGGAGAATTACAGGCTGATTGAGGCCGCTATGTTCGATGTGGAGTTCAATTTTGAGCGACTGGCTGAACCTTGTTTCTTGCTATTACTTCCTCGCTATGCACAATATTTAATCGATGCCGAAGAGTTCACCTAGATTCATCTCCCCCATCCATGAAACTCCACTGCATTTAAGGGCGCGTTCAGATCAGCGTTCAGAATTTCGGACGGTTAAGCCCCACTATTCTGCCGCATTCCTTCCCCACCTTTTAAGCGCACTGTGCAGGTGTCAGTCGGCACACCTTCCACTGTCAACCCGCCTTTTCTCCTCCACAGGTTGGGAATCTCTAAAACCGACATCGTTGCAAACAACTGTGAAGTGTCGCACTGTACGCTGCCAACCGCTCCCCCCTTTTAATTACTCCCTCACGGCTGTTGAAGCTTTCAGATTCAAGTGAAGACGCCTTCAGCAAGCAGCTGTCGGATGCTCGGTCGTTTCGAGCGCTTAGTTGGCTGGGAAGTTGCCCTTCTCTCCATCTAACCTCCAAGCGGTATCCGGAAGCCGATACTTATCCATCAACAACCATGTCCTATAACTACGGTCCTCCTCCACCGGCTCCTCCGCCGGCACCACCGAGCAGTGCCCCGGCTGGCTATCCCTCGTACGGTCCTCCTCGCGGTGGTCACAGCGGCAGAGGCCGAGGCGGCCACGATCGGGGTGGGTATCACCAACCGCATCCCGGCTACAACTACGGCCAGCAACCCGCCTACGGACCTCAGGCTTCAGCTCCCTACCCCGGTCCTCCTGCCCAGCCCGGCTACCCCCAGCCGCCGCAGCAGTCGTGGCACCCCGAGCATGGACAACAGCACCCACCCCAAGGTGCACCGCACGCCCCGCTGCCGGCCCAGAACTACCATCCCAACTACGCCCCTCAGATTTACCAGCAACCACCGGCATATGGCGGTCAGCCTTCATACCAAACCCCTCCTCAGCCGCCGTATAGCCAGCCCTATCCTGCTCCGTCGCCTCACAGCGGTCCTCCCTCTCAGCAGTGGGGTGCTCATCCTCCGCCCACGGCTCACGGAGCATACGGTGGCGGACGTGGTGGGCGTGGTGGTTACAATGACCGAGGCGGTCCAAAGGGGCAGTTGATGGGTCCTCCGATTCGCTTGGGATTTGATGGCGGCCAACCTCAGACGGGGCCCGCTCCAGTGAGCGCTCCCTATCCGTATGGCGCGGCCCCTGCTCCTCCTCAGGCACCATACCCTCCTCCCTATCAAGGCTATCCGCCTCCGGCCCCATACATGCCCCCTGCGCCGTCGTTTGACGCTCACTCTGCTCACGGCCCTCGGCCTCATGGCCGCGCCGGTTTCAACCATAGCAAGTCTCGGTCTCATTTTGGTGGCGACAAGAATCGAGGTCGCAACCATAGTCAGAATCAAACCAAGGGACCGACTGTTCAGACGCCTGCTACCCAGCATCAGAAGCCTGATGCTCCTGCTCCGTCAGCTGGCAAGAAAAAGAAGCGCAAGACCAACACTCTTGGCTTGACGCCTGGCGACGACTCGGACGAAGATGACGAGAACGAGGAACAGCGCCTCAATGAGATGTATGGGGCGGACGCTCCCAAGTATGTTATATCGCGATAACGCTTCCCTAACCAGCACTGACCAAGTACAGTCCCAAATCCTCATCTGAGATTGCTGCGTGGATTGCCGAGCGCCGCGCCAGGTTCCCGACCAAGAGCAGGATTGAGGCCAAGAAAGCCGCCGCCAAGGCGCAGAACCGCGATGTCAGCCAGAGCAAGAGCAGCGCCCTGGAGCAACGGGCCGAGAAGCTCCGCAAGGAGCTAGAAAAGGTGGAGTCGAGCATCAAGCGAAAGCGCGAGCAGCAGGATGAAGGCGACGAGATGAGGGATATTGACGTGAGCCCGTCGAGCGATGTCAAGTCGGATGACGAGAAGCCTGAAGTCATGTCGACTCGTCAGGAGACCAACAATGTCCCTCCTCCGCCGAGAAAAGCGGATCCGACCAAGCATTGCAAGTATTTCTCGACCGGAGGCACGTGTGGCAAGCGGGGCAAGTGCCGCTTCGTCCACGACCCCGCCGTCCGCGAAGCCGCACTTAAAGCGCGCGAGCTGAACGGCGGCCGCATGACTCTGGAGCAACGCCTCCTGTTGAATGACAAGGACCAAGAAGACCTCGCTATCGTGGAAACCCTCAAGTACCTCCAGGACAAGGGCGTCCTGCCCAAGAAGACTTCGGAAGCCGCGGCATCAGACGAGCACGCGAGCGCCGAGGTTTCCCCCGTTCCGGCACCCGGGGAATCCAGCAATGGCCATGGCCTGCCGCCCATACCCCCTGCCCCTGCCTCCTCGGACGGCAGCAACGACAACAGCACAAGCAAGTACTCTGGCTGGAACCTGAGCGGCTTTGGGAACACGGGCGTCAGGTCGAGCGAGTAGCGATCGCGACCTCAGCCTCGTGCCGACATGAAACAGGGCCGCCGCCCTGCTCGACCTAACAGGTGGAGATTACGGCCTCGCTACGCAACCCCCAAGGCGCGGCCCTAGGAAGTATTGCGCTTGTTTTCTGCTCAAGGCCTTCCCAGGTGGGAGGTAGTCAGTCGACTAATCGGTTAATTCATGCGTGCGTTGCATTTCTTTTCAGGCGAACTGATGCTACGGTTGTTTTTTAACGCTCGGTTGCCTTTCGACAGTGTCGAGGGCGGCTCATGGTGTGGTTAAGGTTGGAGTGAAGAGGTCAAATCACGGCTCAGCTGGCCTAAATCGAGGCAGTGACTTTCCTGTTGTGGTTCTTGAGGTTTCTTGCTTTTATTACTGTGGTGTCGTGGGGTGTGAGGCGCGAATTCTTTGGGGCTACGGAGTCCGTATGGTTTGAAAGCCTTCTCGTCCTTTGGACCGGCCGATACCTCGTTGGCGAGTCGTGCTATGCAGAGGTAGATCCGGTGAATATGCATTTGGAGTGGCATATGGAAATTACATTCATGCATCATTGTCTTTTTCAAGGGGTTGTGGCTTGTCGTTTCCGGCTTGCTGCCTGTCTTTATACAATACAAAGCCGCATCAAGCCAGTCTTCCAAGCAGGTCCAGTGTTGGAGCAGCACAAGTGTGACGAATAGTGGAGGGATGTCGTGTATTGGTGGCGCCGCAAACCGCAACTGTCTTCGGTCTGCCTGTGTTGTGTCAAGTGTGCCGCCACACAACATGTTAAGAGTGTTTCCTGCCGTGACACACTACGACCATACGAAAGTTGAGGTCTGCGAGTTAGATGGATACCCAGAATGAAGTCACCGTATGCTTTGCTGACCCCGAGGGCCAGATGCAGTCAGCCGGGTTGCAAGTGGCAACCAAGGCACCCAGTGAATGTAGGCATATATGCCTTGGTCGCTCAGTTTAGTACTTTATACTGAATACCTTGTGTTCCGTCATACAGGTTGGCTACCAGCCTCTCTATCTATCGCCTGGGTATACGCTCCCTCTCTTCAGAACCGAGCAAGCAAAATACCTCCTCTACGTCATAAGTGATTGTAGATACCTAGGTAGATAAAACATGATCTTTACAATTCCACCTTCTCCCTCCCCCAATCCGGCTGCCGATCCCTCTTCAGCGCCTCTTTTATTTTCCGCCCCAGTTCATGGCTCCAGTGCTCCTTGTCCCGCGCATGTCTCTCGCGCAAAACCTTGCTTACCAACCAGTCCAGACATTCCTCCTCCCTTCCGTCTCTCATCCTCCCCGACGCGGCTCCCCCGCCGTCGTCGTCACCCCGTCTTGTGTGGAGCGAGGAACATTCGGCATTGGAAAGTTGGGGCTTTCTGGGCCACTGGCCGAGGGTTGCGCCCATGTCGGCGTCGAGGAAATTATCCAGCAGGAGGAGAGCTGCGCTGCGTTGGGTGGAGGCCCAAGCGGTTGGGTTGAGATCACGGGGCGGTATGGTCATGGTCAGGATGCGGAGGAGGTGGGCAGGGCCTGGGGAGGCGAGGAACTCGGTGCGGAAAAGCGGGGACTTGAGAAGGCCTGTGAGGAGGATGATGCGGGCTCTTGTTAGGGAGGCGTCTGCTTCTTGGTGGGTTTCGTTGTCTGCTTCTTGGTGGAGGAGGAGGGTAAAGATGCCGTTGCCGAGAGGGGTGGTCAAGGAATGGGAGCAGTGGGTGCCGGAGAGTTTAGGCCAGTGGGCGGAGAGCGAGGCGAGCGCTTTCGGGTTGTTTTGGGTTGCCGATGCCAGGATGAGGGAGGCGAGCCGAGCGCGGGTGGTGGATTGGGGGTTACCGGAGGATGGCCGTGCGGTGGAGAGGCAGAAGAGCTCTTGGACCGTGTCGTAGTCTTCGGCTATTTTGAGGCCGTAGTAGATGTCATGCGAAATCTCATCGAGCATCTCCAGCGCGCCGTCTACGTCGAGGCCCTTTTTGATGATGGTCAAGGACTTGTAGAAGGCGTGGCCCTCAGTTGGGTCGGTGGATTTGGGCTCCTTGATCTTGCCTGCTGGATCGTAGGCGGGGCCGTTGGGCGGGAGCTTGACTTGAGCCTGGTCTGGCCCGGCTTGGTCTCGCTCAACAATGACCACAGATGAGTCCACAGGGAGCCCTTCTAGTGCTGGGTCGTGCTCGTCTGGCACATTGATCTTGGCCTCCTTCAGTCCCGTGTAGACGTTCAGCCGGACATGGAGGCCAAGTGGGAGGTCCTGGTCCGGATGGACCACTTGGAACTCGTGAGTTGGTTGGAAAACCTTGGGATAACACTCTGTCGGTTTGTCGGTGTGGCAGATGAGCTCGACGTCGGCTGCTGGTGACGGTGAGGGTGATGATGAGGATTCACTAGCTGCAGGTGATGATGCAGATGCACCGCAGGCCATGAGGCCTATGAGAGCCAGGAGGTTAAGTGGGAGCATCTTTAGCTGGAACTTGGCCATCTTGTCGGTTGTGTCTCGGTATTGAAAATGAGCAAAACTTAGCGGTTTGTAAGTGAGTTTGGGATTTTCGAGCATGACGAATTAGGTACTTAAAGGCTTCAATAAAAACACCATGCCTCTTCTCGTCTGGGGTCTTGAAGACAATCGAAAATCCGCAATGACTCAGGGTCGGAAAGCCAAAGAAAGGACAGATCGGCAGTTTGTTAGAGCTTGAGAAGCCGACTTTGCCTCCTTGAACTTGTGATAACGAAAAAGGTGTCTCGGAAACAGCTCGAAACTTGTAATTTACGGGGCACTTGCTGATTGGCCTAGGAGAGGCGCTTTTACAAGCGTTATAAACGCTATAAGCGCGAGTTATCAGAAGTCACGTGTTGAAGCTGGCCCAGCTCCCGTGAGCGAACAAGCGTCACGACTCGACGATCGAGCTCCCCAATTAGTCGCTCACTAGCATACCGTCGCTTTGCACCGGGGCAGCGACGCAACGCATATTCCAACTTGGATTATCTCCGTCGGTAGTCAATCTGTGGCCGGGTGAAGGTGGAAAATCCCAGGTCTGTAAAGAGCTAGGAGGCGGCCCTTCAGCATCCGCCAGTCGTCGTCCTCGACCCGACCATCTCCGATCGCGCCGTCGTCGTCGGCAACCATGTCGGCACTCAGACAGAGGGCAGCACGGCTTGCACTGCAGTTCCGGACCGTCAGGCCGGGTACCGCCAGGAATACCAGGTCCTATGCTTCAGACCATGGGCACCATGAGGCACCGCACGCGGTCGAGGAATCGCTCGGGGTATGTTCGACAGCGCACCTACGGATTGCAATTGGCACTGTCCGGAGATGGAGACGTGTGTTTCTGTTTTTCTAGCTAACGGGGAGATAGCCTGCGTTCTACATTACGCTTGCAACGTTCACCGGCTCCATCTTTGTCTATTCGATTTCGCGGCCCGGTGAGAACGGCGAGTCGACGATTCACAGATGGCTTCGGAAAATCTCAGATTACGGCACCGAGTGGGAAACCAGGAACCACCTGATGACAGCGGCCCTCGAGCAAGCCGCCCACGACAAGCACCTGCTGTATGGCGCCGAGCGGAGCAGGCACTACGAGCTGACCTACCCTGAGTATGTCAATTTCCTACACACACATGAGGATTGGAAGAGCGAGGGAGCCATTGCCAATTGAAATGAAGGATGCCCTTCGAAGCCGAGCGCAATGAACATCTGATCGGCTTATTGGGTCGGCTTGAGGACGGAGGGCCTTTTGCAACTCGTCTTCCCAACCTCCGTTAGCGTACCGGCCAGCACCAATAACCCTTTCCCCCGTCTATTTCTCTTGGTGATCTGAAGGCTTCCAATCGGCAGCATATCAGACGAACATCCCGCAAGACCGGGCTATAGCTCCCTTGCTTGATCAAGTTCCAATCTTGGTTTAACGCTGGCTGACCATGTGACAGGGTTTTCACACACGGCTCGCCTTTCAACGTCCCGGCCGGCCATTACGCCAATATCGACAAGGTCGTTGCGCACTACAAGAAGCAGTACCACGAAGACGAGGCCCGCAAGGCGAAGAAGTTGGCTGCGGCTTCCGAAACTTCCCAGTAGCGTGACGCTGCACCTGCCGGTCCTTCATTAGTTAGACAAATACCCACATGTCGTGGCCCAATTGCCCCTACTTGTACATACTGCATACGGCTCCTCCCGGTCAATTTGACGCTGAGGCACCTTCCCGCAGCCAGCACTGAACCAGTTGCATCTCACATACATCCGATCCGGGACTGTATTTCCTCTTCCCTTCTCTCTCACTGCCACCTAAAACACGCCGCATCTTTGACACCTCCATTTCTACGTTAAAATACGGGAACTGGTGAACTCTAAGCCGATGCACGCTCCGTCCGCGATCCAGCCGCCGCTCAACGTCCGAAAGCGCAGCTGACACCAGCATGGCAAACACGCGCAACAAAGACCCTGCAGCTGCAGAAATTGAGGTGTTTGACGCGGCCAAGCACGCAAAGGCATGTAAACCCGTGCAGTAAATGCAATATCATACATTTTTCATCATCATCCCGATGATATGCCAAGTTTGGAACTCCCTCCCTTCCGCCCACCCCACAACCCATTTAGACTTCCTTGCATAGGTATATATACTTTCTAACTTAGACACGTGCTGACACTGAACAAAATAGACCCCCTCACACCTCCTCGCCAACCCACCTCTCCCCTTCCCTGCAGTCCGCATCGGCATCGTCAGCTCCGCCATCGGCTACGGCCTCTTCGCGGCGCGCGACCTCGCGGCAGGCGAGTTCATCTTTCACGAGGCGCCGCTCATGACGGCGCGCTTCAACGAGCGCTTCAGCGCCGACGCCGCGCTAGTGGCCAGCCAGGTGGCTGCGTGTCGTGGCGTGCTGTTTGGTGGTGGAGGCGGCGGCGGCAGGGGCAGGGACAGAGACAGGGACAGAGACAGGGACAGAGAAAGGGACAGGGACATGGACAGGGACAGAGTGGGAATGGTAGCGGCTGTTGCGTTCCCCGCGCTCACGGCTAGGTTTGGGATGGAGCCTGTTGGATTCGAAACGGCGGGTCGAGTCTTGGGAGTCGGAACCCCGGCCAGAGGTGAAGAGGGCGGGATGGGAATGAACCTTGTCAGGGGGCAGGGGATGTTTGCTGGGTCGAACGTTACGCGCGAGGAGTACGAGGCGTATACTTCCAGATTTGCGGCTTCGGCTGGGGTGACAGAGGCCGAGGCGAGGGAGGCGTGTCTCGACTTCTTCAAGCACTACGCATTTCAGGTGTATGGCCCGGGGGATGCGAGTGGCTGTGGAGATGGTCGAGGAGCAAGCCGCGGACTCGCAGCTGCCACACGCGAGGCCTGCGTCTACCTGCTGGGGTCGCTGATCAACCACTGCTGCACGCCGTGTTCTTCGTTTCTGGGAAACAGCAGCAGCACCGAGAATGGGAGCAACACGGGGCCGAATTGTTCGTGGCGCATTGGGCCGTCTGGTTTAGCCCAATTTATCAAGCCGCGCCATATCTGCGTCCAGGCTCGCAGGCCGATACACGACGGGGAGCAGCTAACGTGGGATTACGGGAAGAGGGAGAAGGGCTTTGTTTGTGAATGCGATATCTGCCAGGATAGTCTCATAGGCGGACTGGGCTCAATGTGCGGCATGTTGTGAGGGCGGAGAAACCACTGGTAACGGGCGCTGCTTTGGTTTGGGAATTGTTCACTGCGTACTGGGCGTGGCTATCTCTCAACCCTTGCTTCACTCCGTCATCGAGTTGAGCTGATACAGCTATCCCTGACTGTTGCGTGGCATAGCAGATAAAACGGAATACGATAAGTATAGTGAAACATGTGGAAGGCATGTCACTACTAAACCCACTTCCCATCTTCACCCGAGCAGCTTCATCATGTCATCAACCTTTGGCCCAAATGCAGCACTCGAATTGCTCTTTTGTACTATCTCGCGACCCCTCCAAGATAGCGCCGGCATCTCATCACAATGCCCGTGAGCAGAACCGTGTCCCGTTTCGCCGAATCCATGATTGACTGAATGCAAGAACCACCCATATCCCAGAGCCCTTACTTCAGAGGAATGAAACGAGAAGAGTGCGTGGCACCGATACCTGGCCGACCGTGCTTGACAGGCTTGCTGTGGGGTTGTTAGATGTCTGCTTGGCGAGAAGGGATCCAAGACAAGGAGAGGAACGCACTATGTGATCGAGAACTCGCCGAGGTAGTGGCCGACCATCTCGGGCTTGATCTCCACCTGATTGAACTCCTTGCCGGAGTAGATACCAATGACGCTGCCAATCATCTCCGGAACAACAATCATGTCACGGAGGTGCGTCTTGACGAGATCGGGTTTCTCGTTGGGCTTGGCCTCCTGCTTGGCCTTGCGGAGCTTCTTGATAAGGCCCATGGGGCGGCGCTTCAGGCCCCGGTTGATCTTTCTCCGGGCACGGGCGTGGACGACATCGCGGAGCTCATCGGAGCCGAGGTCGAGGAGACTGCAGTGACCGTGTCAGCGACTTTGCTCTGTCCATACAACCATCCATGCGACCGATTTGGCTTCTCTTCCTATCTCCCTCCTCCTATTGTAGCCGGTGCCAAGCCTTGCAACCTCGTGGTCCCGGTGGCGTCGATGGGAAATGCGGTAAGAAATGCAGAGGGGAACCTACGCATCGAGGTCAATGCCCCGGTACGAGAACTTGCGGAAAGCTCTCTTCTTCTTCAGCTCGGCAGCCTCCTCGGCATTCTGTCGTTCTCATTATCAGCCAGGCGTCCCAAATTGAAAGAATCCGCGTGCTTCGAAAGAGGGCCGTTGAGCGGAATGCGGTGCGTCTGGAATCGTGCATTGAATCGTGGAGTTGGCACATACGTATTCGCTGTCAGCCATGATTGCGGTTGTCGGTGATCACGGATTTCGCTGTTCGATAGCGCTGGTATCGAAGAGCGAAATTCTGCTTGTCGCGATGGAGTGGATTTGACTGCGGGCGGTTCTCTGGCTGCGTGGACGGTTGGGTCGCTTCTCGCCATGGGGCCCCACTCACAAAATTTCGTAGGGTTCTGTGCCCTCGGCCGTCTGCGGCGTCTTGATTGGTGTGAATGGCGACGCCAATGTGGCTGGAACGTGGCGCCCGATAAGATTACCGAGTCCCGTCGCTCCTTTGGTTGCTCTGAGACGGACCCATGTAAGTCAACAAAAGGAGTCACTCCTTAGAAGAACAGAATCTCTCAGCACCTTCGGCCAAGCACCCCCGAGAATCTTGCTGGCCATTTTTCACCTTACATTCCATTCATCCATTGATCCAGTTCTGAGGTTTTCACCAGCAGCTTCCAGACCCATCAAACAAGGCCAATACTACGACTGAGCCACTCAACGTCAATCCACTTTGACGAACATCATCAGTCAACCTGATTTGGTTGTTTCAGCTGACAAACAGACAAGGTCCATCATTCGCCCCATCGACTATTCGAAATTGGACAACATAGGCACCGACTCTGAGGCAGAAAAGCCGCAGCAGTCCAAGAAGCCAGTGCCGAGGGTCAACCCATCACCAAATTCGGCCACCCGGCAGCCGGCTCCGTTGTCGACTGGCGGCGAGCCGCAGCAGCAGCAATAACAGTCAAAGCCGACGTCGGACCGATTTGATGGCTATGTTTACCTGCCAAAGTCACAGATTGAGGCGGGGTTGAAGCAGCAGAAAAAGTACCTGTAGCAGAAGCAGCAGTCGCAGCAGCAAATGCTTGAGGGCAACCCAGCACCTGCTTCAGTCATCCCACAGTCAGCCCCAACCGTGTCGTCGACAGCGGCGCCAAAGGAGATCCAGGGCGTCATCGTACGATGCCACATGGAAAAGGCCAGACATGCACCTTGGTCGAAGCATATGCTCCCTTCCGACCACACCCTCTTTTAACCGCTCTTCTCGATCCCCGACATCCCGCGGCTGAGTAAGATCCCGGTCATCATGTACCGACTAAAGACGCAGTCCGACCGGCGGGCGGACCTTGACAATCAGATCATCACGTACATCAACATCAACGCCGAGTCCGTGTGGCTGACATGCAGTGGCAGTCGCATGTTGGCACCGTCGTGTGACCCGGGCGGACAAGAAGCCGCTGCTGCCGCACCATCTTGAGGGCGTGTGTATGTACTGAGACATGATTCTGGACCACTTCAATGAGGGTGAGAGTCCGCCGAGGCGATTGCACCATTGGAAGGCATTTGAGGCGTGGTGGAATAGTTATTGTGAGGAACAGAAGGGCATTCGCATGAGAAAGGGAGGTGAGGACGATCTGAACGACTGGAGTTCCGTCAGGTCGCCTTACGAAATGTGAGGAGGCCGAGTGTAGGTTCTCTGTCGGAGTGGTCTTGTACGCAAGGCGGCTCCTTCAGACGGTATGCCTCAACTTGCAGTTGGACATCGCGAAGATTCGCGAGATTGAGCAAATACAGTAGCGCTGATCTCCCTTGGTACTATGGTTGGTGTTTTGAGTTGTTCGCTCTTCTCGCTTTGAGTTGTCGAGGAAACCACAACTACCATACATCATCGTTGTCATCGTCTGTTCCGGCGCATCCCTTACTCTCGTCACTTCAAGCTGTGACTTGTTGAGTGACGCGAAACTGACGTGTTTTACAATTCTATACGACTCATCCAATGTTGATATCCAGGAAGTCATCACGTCCGCCCCTTCTCAGCGCTGATTCGCTTTCCCAACCTCTATCCTGGTGAGCTATAGCCTGCTCTCATATTCGCTGGAAAACGGAGAGGCTCGACAGCGCTTGTCCGTTCTGCGAAAACATGGTGTTGTCGGCGCACGACGAGCCCAGGTTGGCGTTATGGATCCATGCAGGCTCCCAGTAGAACAGTCCGACCCCGCGGCTCACTGAGGACACGACGCTGGCCACGCTTGTGACGTAGATTGTCTGTCCGGCCGCAGAGAAGGGGATGTTTCTGACGTCTGGGGGAAAGGAGTACTTTGGGTTGGGACACGAGGTCGGCCAGTTCGTCTCGACGACGGCGATCTCCTTGTTCCATCCCCTGGCCATGTTGTTGAGGCTCGTCCTGAGCGCGTCCAGGCTGGCCGAGGCCGAGTAAAAAGGGTAGAACGAGACGCCCATCATGTCAAAGTCGGACAGCTCAAATGTGCCCTGCTTAAGGACGTTTGTGTACCAGTAGTTCTGGGTGTCCCAGTTCCTGTTTTCTCAGGTCAGTCTCTTTAATTGTTGTTGAAAGCTAGAACATAGAAAGTCGCTCACCAGCCATTATCGAGATGGATCATGATTTTGGGCGTCGGGTTGAGCCTCGAGTCTTTGATGCCCCAGGCGGCAGAGCGCAGAAGCCGAGCAATATTCGCCCAGTTGTTCGTTTGACCGGTGGGCCACAGCAGGCCAGGCGTGATCTCGTTTCCAATGGACATGATCTTCGGCTGGACACCCGCGGCCTGGAACCGGTTGGAAGCTTCAAGCGTGTAGTTGTACAGCTTCCAAGAGAGGTTGTCAATGTCGGTCGGCCAGCCGGATGGAATGGTCTGATGCGCGGGATCCGCCCACGTGTCGCTGTAGTGGAAGTCGATATACAACCCCAGGCCGACGGCTTTTGCTCTTTTGGCGAGCGCGATGTTGTAGTCGAGATTGTAGTTGCCGTCCCTGGGGTTGACCCAAACGCGCTGCCGGACGGTGTTGACACCGCTCTCAACCAGGATTCTCTCAAGTGGCTGGGCGATGCCGTTCGCGTTCTTGTATGAGACGCCAGCGCGTTCCTCAACCAGGATCGACGACCAGTCTACACCTTTGTAGGTGAGGACTGCGTTTGCCACCGAGAGGCCACCAAGAACGGCGGCGAACTGTGTGAGCATCGTCCCAATTACGGCGGTTCGACCAGCCGTTGTATGTTTGATCCAGCAGAGCACTTGACTATACGTCGGAGGGGATCAGGTTTCTCTTGAGAAGACACAGTTAAGGCGTCAATAGTCAGGGTCTCTACCGACCTTCTGCAGCGCAGGTACTGGATCAAAGGTGGCATCTGCCCGCCGTTCTTCCCCGGCAATTATTACACCTGGGACTGTCATCAACAGCAAACAGGAGAATGGTGCGCTTACCCATGGCCAAATCTGCCGCCAATAGCGGTACAGTTCGGATGGAGTCCCTCCGGAGCTGCTACCGTCAAAGTCCGCATGAGCCCGTTCCTGTTTCATCAATACAACCCCTCTGACACTTCCGGCTGGTTATTAGGAGTCCGGTAGACTTTATTGTTGCTCGAACAAGGAGCCGACAACATGAGATCCCGAGTCAGGCAAACCCCCCTCTACTTCAAGGGAACTCCACCTTCGTGTGCACCAGACGCACTTAACCAACCCGGAGTTACAATAAGCCTTTGCTGAGGACTTATACATGAATGCAACAGCTATAACAAATCTTCAGTCCTCTTCGTCCGCCACCCTCCACACGAGCTTTTCTCCCGAGACCGCGTTGTCCCTAAGCAGGCTGAGGGCGTTTTCTGCCCTTTCTAGCAGAGTGCTACCCTCTACTACTCTCTGCTTGTTTGGCCGGATGACTTCTTGCTCCAGCAGGGCAGGTATGATCTCGGGCTGAAGGTGACTCTTGAAGAACTCGTTCTACGGACGAGGTCAGCATTCCGCCATCCAAGGAGTAACCATGACTTCAACTCACCTTCGCGTAACCATGCGTCCTGACTCCCTTCAGCTCAATCCCCTCCTTCCATTCCCCAGGAAGAGCCTTGCTGACGTCCATCTCGAGGTCCGGCTCCCTATCTCTGGCCGCATGAACATTGATGACAGGCAGCATGACCGCAACCTTAGTTCCTTTCTCGGCGATCTTGGTCAGAGGTCGCAGAGTTCCTTCCTTCGACCCAATGCAGTCCACAATATACGGCACCTTCGGCAGCACATCCGCGTCATGCTGCTTGGCAATATGCCCCAGGATCTCCTCTACTGCATTTTCTCTCCGATAGTCGAAACACGCCCCGGCTCCCAACTCCTTCAACATGCGATGATGGCGCTCGCTCGCAACAGCCAGCACATTCCGGTACCCCCAGTGCCTCAGCACTTGCACGAGATACATGCCCACGCTGCTCGCCGCGCCCCAGACCAGGATCACGTCGTCTGCGCGCGACGGCACCCATCCCTGCGGAATTGGCCTGTCCAGACTCACTGTCAGCAGAAGAAAATCCTTCCTCAGACAAGATAGGTACCCGAACTAGAGGCCGAGAATAAGTGCACGGACGGATGATCGCTCAACAACAAACCTACCACGGCAACTCCAGTCCCAGATCCTCCCTAATGGTGTGGAAAGCAGTAACCAAATTCGTCGGCACCGCCACCGCCTGTTTCAGTCGCAACCCCCTGGGAAGCTTACTCACCCGCCACACCGGCACAGTGACATACTCCTGGAACCCAGCCTCTTTGGGTTCGCCGTCCTGAACGAAGCCAAACACCTTGTCGCCCACCCGCACATGACTGAGCTCCGAACCTAAGGCGACGACGGTGCCGCCGAACGAGGAGCCCAGGATGAAGGGGTTAGTGGCGGAGACGTCGCCTAGCAAGAGGCCGCCGTCGGCGCGGTGGAGGTTGAGAGGGGTAGAGGCCGTCCAGGTGACGCGGATGAGGGCTTCGGAGGGGAGAGGTGGGTGTGTGGGCAGCGTGGTGAGTTGCAGCGGCTGGCGCGGAGCGGTGATAGCCACCGCGGCGTGAGTGGGCGGGATGAAAGGGGGAAGGGTGGTCATACTGGGCGTGTGATGGGAAAGTTTATGGGTTAGTTGGTTAATGTGGTGAGTGAGTGAGCGAGTGAGTGATGAGTGAGTGAGTGGACAGAGGATACGGGTTCAGGGCGTCCGAAGTCTGCAGAGCACTTGAAGTGGCAGTGAGGCACTTTGACTCAAGGACGGGGAGAGAGATCTAGTGACCTAGAAGCACTAGTATTTATCTTCTTTGTTTTGCTCGAGGCCTATCGCCTACGTCAGTCTTCAAGGCGGCTGTCGCTGTTGATGTCCTAAATCCTTCGGGTGTACGGTTGCCGGATTTGTAAGCTGCGCCCAATTATTCAGCTGGGAAAACGCGATGAGGGCATTCCGAACTGATGCAACGTTGGCAGTTTTCTTGGCAAATCGCCTGCAAATCATCTAGATTCGTCGGAGAGACGACAAGGGCGAACACTCAAAACTCCTTTGATCGCCGGTGACGGATGATGTGAAATGTTCAAGCCGGTACCATGCTTTGGAGCACTAGAGCAACATCGGTTTCTAGGCTGTTGGTAAGTGCTGCTGGATATGGTTACCGGTAGCAGGTTGCACTTTGCGGCTTGGTGGTCGGTTTCCGTTGCCGCAAGGTCTGGAACGGGGGGAGCCTAACTATCTCGGCGACAGACTTACAGTTCAATGCTGGTTGTTTTGTTAGCGGGGAACTTGGGTGTTACACATCTCTTTCACATGAATCTCCGTATATGCCTCCTTTCTTCCGTCTTCCTCTTCCTCTTTCTTCTTATCTTTATCTTCACCTTTCTCTTTTCCTTTTCTCTTACTCATTGTTTTTGAATTCCATTATCGTTTCCTCTTTTGCGTATTTTCTAACATTCCTTGACATTTAACGTTCCTTGATTTCTAACGTCGCTTGAATTCTGTTTTCCCATTTCAATTTTGTGGCCGCCACATCCTGCGCTAACGGACAAACCAAGGCTATTTTGTAGCTTGCCAAGCCGGAAGGCTTCCACCTTCCCGGCATCCGCGCCTTGGCAAGCAGAGGTTGCTTCAGCCTGCGAGATGGCAATTCGGGCGCCGAGCTCCAACCTCCTGATATCTCCTGCAGTGCCGTCTCTCACTGCTTGATTCAATGCCGATATCAACGCGACGAGTCACTTTCAACTCTCGCATTCCATCGATACAACAACCAGTAGTGCATTAGTAAGGAACATCGCATCTTGTTTTGTCGCGATCATTGATTGCCTTTACAACAAGCCCCCTTGCGCTTCGAAAGAATCCCTCCCGGCAAAGCAGCTGCCATGCCGTCTCAAAGGCGTTTGCGCGCCATAACTTATTTGGTCCTTGCTGGGCTAGTCCTTTTCCTGTACTTCACTTCGCAGGCTCGCCATCCTCGAGACCCCCACACGCGGTCCCTGCAGGAGTTTTACTCCAAGACCGTGAAGGCGATGGACAAGAGCCACGGAGCTGGCGCTACCGGGGGCCAGAAGATTGTTGCCAACCACGATGTGGATGCGAATGGTGACATTGATGAGGACGACGCCATAGTCGCCAAGCAGATGGCCGATCGTCTGCGTCAGGCCGAGCAGAAGGCCAAAGATGGCGCCCAGGCCAAAGGGCCCAACAAGCCCGAATCCCCTCAGGAGGTCATTGGAGTCGGGAGCTCGGCGAGTGGACAGAAGCGGCCTGCGCAGGAAGCAAAGACTGAAACCGAGGTGGAAGAAACCGACGAGGACCACGAGGTCGACGGGGTACTCGATTCCGTCCTGAAGAAGTCTCCAGGTATCGATGGACCTTCCCGTCATGTACAAGTGGGATAACTTCGCTGACCTTCTTTCCTCGCAGTTGTCATTTTCTCCAAGTCGTACTGCCCCTATTCCAAACGGGCCAAGGGAATTCTACTCGAGAAGTACGTCATTGAGCCTGCGCCGTACGTCGTCGAGCTGGACCAGCACCCACTGGGAGCGAAGATCCAAGCAAGGCTAGGACGCATGACGGGCAGAACAACAGTGCCAAACGTTATGGTGTTCGGGAACAGCATTGGTGGGGGAGACGATGTTGCTGCGCTGGACAGGGAGAGAGCGCTCGCCGATAAGATCACATCCCTCGGCCGAAGCCGCGTCGATGTGTCTCTGCGTTTCGCGCGGGCTGCGCAAAAGGCAGACTAGTGGGCTGCTCACAGACCATATTCCCGTCCCAGGAGTACAAGCTCGACAGTTCCTGTCCGCACTACAGCTGCTTGTGCCGTCAGTGTGAACGTAAGGGACTCAGGATCTCCAAGTCGGCGGTGCCTATGCAGAGAAGTCGCGTCACGCATGATGACCCTGCGCTCACCGGCGCCGACTTTTCCATGCCAACGGTGCGATCGCTTACATCACGGACAGGTCACGGCCCGCCATCTCACGATTGCGCTTCCACCCAGCCGAGCTCAGCAAAGGGAAGGCCTCGGCGAAGTTAATGACCAGAGGGCTTCCTCAGGAATGTAGAGGGCCACCCTCTCTACCTCCGGATGCTGCTGTCTACGAGGTTGCCGGCCGGCCTTGTGGTGGCGGAAGTGGAGCGGTTGTTGTCATGAGATATGATGGTTCGCGCGTGTTGACGCCATATGCAGGTCACGCTCTACTCCTCGAGTGACTAAGGTTCATACCCGCGCGCTATTGCAAACTCTCAACGTCATGGGGTGTGAATTCAAGTTCAGTTCGGACTTGATAATTACCATTGAGCTCTTGTGTGAATAGAGCGTTAGGTTTACGAGGCTGGTTTTGCGCCCGCCGGCCACAATCTCTACCTATATATACTTGCTTCATCCGGCTTTCCTTCAAGATTGCTCACTACAACATCAGATCTTCTCTGTAACTCGCTTCCTGTCATTTGACCGTCCATACAACGCGAGATCATACGTGCTGGTTCTTTCGAGGCGGTCAATATCAAGTTCAACCACCCTTGCTGCCTTCAACCACCCTTCGCTGTCTTTTGAGCCGCAACCTAACCATCGACGCGTCACCGGCACTGGAAAAGCACCAGACGCAATGGCCTTTCTCAAGGAAGACGTGGTCCTCATCGCCGAGCAGCCGCCCTTGATGGCTACGTCCAGGGCCCACAACAAGTTGATCAAGGCGTATGAGCGCTCCATCGCAAAGGCCCGAATCTGCCGTCTGACACCCTTCGCCGCGCTCCGCCCGCGCTCGACACCGGTCCTCTCCACCAAGGTGTTTCCCCGTCTCCTCCTCGCGCCTGAGATCTACGCCGCCCGCTGCGAGGTCATCAACAAGCTCGGCCGGCTGGACCTCGCCTTTATCACGCAGTTGGGCTTTCTCGCGGATGCGATGTGGAGGAGGCATCGCCAACACGTGGATTTCTGGAGAGCTTTTAGGGAGGTGCTGCTGCAACAGGGCACCGTGTTCCTGCACCACGTTTTCGTGGAGATAGTCAACCCGGAAAGCCGCAGCGATGACCGGAACGAACTGTTCGCGCAGTCCTGGGCTGAGTTGTGCGGCCAGCAGATCCGGATCAACCTCTGGAACGAGGGTATTGATGCGGCCGATCGGTGGATGTTCCGAATCGAGGTTTGGGAGGATGAGGAGGGTCTGGAGGATATGGAAGAAGACGCAGCCCACCAAATTCTGATGTCTCATTTGGGATTCAGCCCGATTTTCTGGCTCATTCGAGGTTGGCTTGACACGGGATAGGAGTGAGCACAGCGGTCGGCCCTCTGCCGTTTGTACACAGCTTTTGGAATAGGATGGGAGATTGGGCTTAGAGTTACTCCTGCTACACTTGCTTAGAGATCGTTGCTTGGATATCAATAGTGGTTTCGGCATGACGCTGACCTCAATAGCTCAGAGTATATAGTTGAAGCCTTGGGCTGGCCAAGTTGTCCACTGGCAACCTACAGCAACCTCCCTGTCAACTGGACCCATCATACCCATACCCATTCCATCCTCAACTGAGCTCGCCAGTTACGGTGCGGCTGAGTAGATGCATGGCTTGGCAGGTCGAACACCCACGCGGTGTACAATGATGTCGTCTCTGTATCTCGGCTCTCCTGATAACAACTCGCGTCTTCTTCTGACACAGCCAAACTGCACCAAGGCCGACCTTAACGCACAGCATGTCGGCCGAGAATTTGGAACCCCTTCTTCCTCGAGATAAGGCGGATGGCGAGCTGTCACCTACTTGAATGCCGCCCCGATGCTGGGTTTATCAAGACCTCTCTGGTAAACCCCGGGCATAGAGGGCGGCAGCATCGGATAGTGTAGGAAATACCAGGTATCGCGATACATTAGAAACACAGGGCAAATACCCTCTCCTTGAGAGGGACGTGCTAAAGTGGTGGTTCAGTTGGATGCTCTTATTCTTTTCTGAATAAGGGGGTGCGAATCTTGCAGCCGCAGTAGTGGTCCTCGAGGTCCTAGACCACGTGACTACTACCCCTGTAATAAACCTGCCCTCACCCGGGTCCTCCTGCGAGGACCTCACTCTGGCGTAGATATTCCAACAGATAGCTTTGGGATGAGATGGCCGGGATCAACCTCACCAGCTGAACCGCCTGACATGGTCCACCCTGGGATTGATTATGCGAGCCAACCTGGATATCCGCCCATCCCAAAGTACCAACAGTCGGCACGGAGCGATTGTCGATGCTGCGCGTAGTCAAGGGAATTGGAGGATGCTGGGCGCCGTCTTGGTCGTGGGCGTCGTCCAACCTCTGCGTGACGTGGCTCTTGGATCAGACAAAGTGGGAATTCGAGCTGCGAGAAAGCGAGCACTCGACTAGTGCGAAGCCGTACATGACGCTGCTCGAGGGTCATGTTGACGCAGACCCCGAAAATCCGCGGCCATCAGGGCTGGATACATCAGAGTGAAGGGTCCCGTGGTCAATGCCCGTCGTCGGAGCGTTCCGATTTCCGCAGCTGACAGGCTGCCTCCTTGAATGCGCAGTCTTCGCCGCACATGAATCTCCTGACGGCGAAGTCGGCAGAGTCCACAAGCAATATCATCTCGCAAACCGCCGAGCAAGTCAGCATAGCTTTTGTAAGGACTCAGCGAGGCCTCGTTTTTGAATTCTCCCCTGGTGACGAGTTGAATCCATTACTGGTGCTCTGCAAGAAGAAGGGTATAAATGTCTCTTCTACGGTTGAAAAACGCTGTGTCAAGCAGAGGTCTGTGGCTGCGAGGACGGTTGGTCGGATGAGTTTTTTTGATGCCTCCGGGTCGCTCATGTTGTCGTACGAGACCAAAGCCCCAACCGCGTGATCGAGGACTGGGTGGTGCTGACGTGGATCAAAGAACAAGCGACTTAGAAATTGGCGTCGGGCATTTCGCAAAAATTGGGACGTCGACGAACGGGTCCAGGCTGTTGGATGATGCGGTAGAGCCTCAATCTGCATCAACTAGCAGAGTTGTTGATACCTGAGTCTCATATCATTCTCGAAGCTTTTCTTCGAAGGAATGCGTTGTTCCTGTAATCAGTGTACTTGTGATCTCTCCAGTTGATGCTAACGAAGAGACAGCACAATTCTTCTGTGGTTCTTGCTCAGGTCTGTAGGTTCAAGACAGCCACCATGTTCGCTTCAAACTGGGTTCTCAACTGTCCTTGCTTATCGAACAAGGACCCGGTTCCAACTGGATGCCGTTGTAGCTGAGCAACAAAGCGTCCAACCAGTCACCCAATCCCAGAACGATGCTATTGTTCGTTTGATTCGCGAGCAGCCGCATCCGAACAAAGGCGAGGTTGATGAGTATATTAACGATCCAACCCTTTTGTCTCGGTATCCGTCTTCCATCCAGCACATCCCCGTCTTGCACCCAATGTTTCAACAGACAAGAACAGCAAAAAAAACCGAAGCAAACGACAGCACCAAAGCAAGATGTGCATCTTTCATATCTCACACTACAGATGTGGCCATGATATCAAGAAGCTGGTACACGAGTGCGATAAGTACCTTGGGAAGAAGGCCGAAGCTGGCAACTTGCTTTGCAAGGTCTTGTCCTTCACTCGCCCGAAAACATGCGGCGGAAGGAACGTAATGCTCGAGGAAGATATTATGAGTGCATGTGGTGCCGCATGTGCCAGAAAGCTCCACGAGAACATGAAGAGACATCAGAGGGAGCTGAAAAGAAAGGACAAGGAGCTAGAGAAGCGGGAGAAGGACAGGCTGGGGAGGGCCCAGGCCGTCGCTCGCGAGTATAGACAGCATAAGCAGAAGGAGGAGGAGGCGTTGCGGCGACAGAAGGAGGAGAGGGAACAAAAAGAGAGGAGGGAGAGAGAGAAAGAGAGGACTGGTAAGTCGGAGCAGGCCATCGTCAAGAACATCCAGCCCCTGTGGCACACAGCTCGTGGTGGGACGGATGTATGCACAATGAGGTCCAGTCAGCCGGTGGTGCAGCAGGTACCTCCGACACGAACAGAGGCTCAACGTGCTCTTCCTCGGCTCGCCGACCGGCGGGTGATCCCGCAGGCATACCGACAGCCCCCTACCAACCCTGGTACCCACCCCCTTCGTAGTCAGGCTAACGTTGATTCTCTAGGACGTCAGAGACAGGGAGCGCAGAGCAAGCCAAATCTGCCTTTCGGTTCGGGTACTAGCCGCAGCGGCAGTTCGGTTTCGCGGAGCAACGCGCGGCATGTCGGACGGCATCAGGAGGGAACTCTTGACGATCCCAGGGTACGTATTCAGCCTGGTAACAGGAGCGGATTGACACGGCGCCAGGTTCAGGGACCTCCTACTCAGGCTGTTGCTGCCCAGGCCGTTGCTGCCCAGAAGCCAGCCATGGTACGTTCGCCCACCAACGTCCCGCAGCCGGTTTGCGCAAGGGTTGATTCCTGGTCATCGAGCGTGACTTCATCGGTCGGACAGGTTCAAAGTCGTCCGACCCAAGGCCAACCAAGCACTGCACGCTCGCCAGGAAAGCCAGAGACAAGTCCGCGGCCTTCCGTTCCAGCGAACACCGAGTTCAGACCGCCGGTCCCGCCGAAAGACCACAGGCGACCGGTTCTGCCAAAGGACACCTGGCAACCTCAGCACCCGAACTTGGTTCCCGCCCCTCTTTCCCTCCGGGCCAAGCCACCAGCCAGGGCTGCAAGGGTACCAGCTCAACAGCCGCCTCCTCGTGGGCAGTTGAACGGAATCAGGAGGGATTTACTGGAGCTCGACGACCGCCTCAGTGCCCCCAAGAGGACAGTTCCCAAGAGAAAGCCTGTGCCGGTGAGTAACACCGCCCCGGCCAGAGCGCAGGCGCCGTCGCAGCTAAGCGGCGCGGTTCCCGGGTACAGGCCGAACCCGATGTTAGCTAATAAAGCGGACAAGAAGCCGGCCCAGGTGAGTGCTATAAAGCCGGAGAAGAAGAGAAACCCTTGGTTCAAGCGGCTCGTCGGCGCCCCGTCTTCGGACACGGTCGATTCGGTTGAATGGGTCTCGGCGGATGCAGCCCGCGTCGAGAGGGGTGAGTAAAGGGATTCGTGAGTCGTTTACTGTCTTTGTCATTCTCCTCTGTCGGTAACCTTATCATGAATGATGCCGCTGTGCATATGTTGTTAGCCATGAATTAGAAACGAGGTTTGATGACAAAGTTTAATCTCCGTTTGTACTGTCTGTCAATGTGATTGTGATGCTGAACAACGAAAGGAACGTTGAGTCTTTGCAAATCGAAGCAGTGTGAGATATGGGAAGCGTAGTAAATTGATTACCTGTGACACCCGATGATGGAATGAGTCGACACTGCGCCGTGGATGAACGCTCTTTGAGCATACCTAGCGGTCAGTTTGACTCGCGACTTCCTGTGCTCTGCTGCTGATGTCAGCCTACACTACCTAAGGTAATCCCCCGATGCCGATGGGAAGGAACACGGCGCCGTACCCTGGTAGAATGGAAGGCAACGAAATCTTTAAAACCCCCTTCCCCCCCACCGGGCCTTTTCATCCTTTTCCTTCTTTTCTTCCTCCTTCGTCCAACTTTCCAGCCGCTTCACCATTTATCCTGGACAAGACTAGATCTGCTTCATGAACTGGGTTCCTGATGTCCGGCGACGTTGACACACGGTTCAGTAGGGAAGTCAAGTCTCCGCAGCAAACGATCTTTTAAGCCAAACCACCGGTCGGCCGGAGGCAGAGCGGTATGTTGCTACTGTCCATGGGTGCTGAAGGGACATGGATGGGACGCATAGAGATGTGGACTTTCGGACTGGGAAGGGCAACAAGCTGGGGGGAAAGAGATGTGGGAGAAAGGAATTGTAAAGTAGAAGGCCGCTAGCCGCTGATATCCAACTTACCCAAATCGAATTTCCAGATTGCGGGTCTTTGAAGCCAACTGCGCGCTCTCCTCCTCCGTCCTCGTTCAGGTAAGTCGAGCGATTGAGGCCGCAGATCTGGAAGAATCGAGACGAAACATGAGAAAAATTGACATATCGCTCTCTGACCACCTCAATCGGCTTTATTGATTACTGTGGTCGCTTGCATAAAGAAAACCCCAATGTCAGGTACCTGTGGGGCACAACAGGCTGACGCGTTTTGGCCAATCAGCTGAACACACCCAAACTTTCCACTTTACACAGTACTGTGGAACAGCGTCTTCCAAAGCATCTCTTATTTTCGATAACTCACAACAGCACGATGGCACGGCCACAGGGATCCAGCGGTACGAAACAGCTTACTACCGAGGAACGCCAGCGAGTTCGGGTCTTATATTTCGATGCCAGCAAAAGCCAAGCTGAGATCCAGAGTATTACTGGCTATACTAAAGCCCAGATCCGGACCGCTATTCGCGCTCGCGACGCCACTGCTAGGCGGAGTACTGGCCGGCCACGGACGTTAACACCAGAGCAAGAAAACGAGCTTGTTCAGTATGTCGTTTCCAGTAAAAAAGCTCGTCGGATGGGCTTCCTTGAGCTCTCAACAATCATCTTCGCTGGGGTCTTTGGCGT